AATCCTCACCCAACGATACTGTTCCATTGATTTTTTTTTAATTTTATTTTTTTCATGGGCTTGGGCCTCTATTTTTTACTTATTTATTTATTTATTATTTTAATATATTTTATTGATTTTTTTTTTAGAGAGGAAGAGAGAGGGATAGAGAGCCAGAAACATCAATGAGAATCATCGGTCAGCTGCCTCTGCACACCCCCCACTGGGGATGTGCCTGCAACCAAGGTACATGCCCTGGACCGGAATCGAACCCGGGACCCTTCAGTCCGCAGGCCGATGCTCCACCCACTGAGCCAAACCGGTCTCAGCTGTTCCACTGAATTTTAGAGAGAGTGGAAGAGAGGGGGAGGGACAGAAAGAGATAGAGAGACACCGATGTTAGAAAGACACATCGATTGGTTGCCCCCCGCATGCGTCCTGAGCAGGGCAGGGATGGAGCCTGCACCTGAGGTAGGCGCCCTTGACCGGAATCGAACCCAGGACTCTTCAGTCGACAGTCCGACCCTCATCCACTGAGCCAAACCGGTCAGGACAGGAACATACTTCTGTAGTGCCCACTCCTCTGCCACATGGATGTCCCCTGCCTCCCCCCACCACCCGCAAGACACCTACACCGCCTTGGCTGCCGCCTGCGCACCCCGCCCCGAACCCACCACGGCCGGCCACCAGCCCTGTCACCGCCTCCCTGGCCGCCGTGGAGCCATGGCCTGGTCCCCACAGTGCCCCACGTGGGGGCGGCACCGCGGTCGTGAGCTGGTGTCAGCCCACTTCACAGATGGAGGTTGAGGCCGATCAGGGCCTGAGTGGCCTCCCTGGGCGGCAGAGCTAGGACTGGACTCCCAGCGCCGGACAGCGCCACCGCCAGCCCCCAGCACCGCCCGCACCGCCCGCCTCCCCGTGCCCACATCCGCCCCGAATGCCCCGTGGCCGCCATCGCACAAAGAAATCCCGCCACCTCCCGAGGCCCCCAGGCCTCCACGGAGCCCCTCTCTGCCTCCGCCAGCTGCGGGGACGGGGACGGGGACAGGGTCGGGGGCAGCCAGGCACCCTCAGCGCCAGCCGGAGTGAGGCGGGTCCGAGGGGTGAAGCCAGCGCTCCTCTCTCGCGCTGGTGCCCACTGCCCCTGCCCTCGGGGCTGCTGAAAGCCACCTGCTCCCACACCTGCCGGCTCTGCCTCACCTGCCAGGCCAGCTCAGGTGTCTCCTCCCCCCGCCCCACCCAGGCGGCCGGGAGCCCTCCCGCACACCTGTCACGCTCACACATACGTGTCATTCCTGTCACTTGAAGGAGGTCGGCTCACATCTGTCTGCAGCCCCACACGCCGCACCCCCCTGCGGCTCCCGGACAGAGGGACAGACATCACGCCTGCACCAGGCGTGCCCGGCCTGTGCACACGATGTTTGGAACGGGACAGAAATGACAAGACACGGGAAGAAGTAGGAAAATGTAGCCTGTGATAAAAACCATCTAACGATGTGGACCCCACGTGACCCAGTCACCAGAATGAGCCAACACTGCAGTGGGAGGGTGTGCGGGCGAGGCGAAAGGAGTAGCAGAGGAAGGAGGTGCTCTGGAAGAGAAACGGGAACTCTAAAACCTCTGAAGGGATGGAAACGCCGAGAGCCATGCCATCACGGTACCGATGGGTCAGAAGATGGGATGGGCGGGGCTCGGAGCTCACACGCCGGTGTGAGCCGTCACACTGACCCGGAGAAACACGCGTGACCGCGGACAACACCCTGCAACGCGCCGCGCCGCGTGTAAAGTCTCAGGAACATAACACGGGAGGTGTATGTGCAGAAACAGCGGCTAAAAACTTGTAAAATTGGATTTTTTTAAAAATCAATCCATAGATTCCACCAGAAAACCACTGAGGCACCCATTTTTGAAAACAAGAACTGAAATCTTTGCAGCAGCCAGGGAAATAGATACATTATAGGCCGGCCAGCGTGGTTCCATGGCCGAGCAGCCACCTGTGAACCAGAGGTCGCACGGTTCCATCCCCAGTGTGGGGTGTGCAGGGGGCAGCTGATCCATGATTCCCTCTCATCACCGATGTTTCTCTCTCTCCCTCTCCTTTCTTCTCTGACTTCAATAAACATCTATTTAAAAAAAAAAAAGACGCTGTGAGCTACAGTAATCGAGAAGGTGCATGCAGACCCGGGGACTGAGGGAAGCTGACCCGCTGTTGCTCAGAGAATCGATTTTGACAAAAGCGAAAGCCACCGCCAGCGGAAAGGGAGACTTTAACCGGCGCTGGGACACGGGGACCTGAACGGGGTCTAACTCGCATACATCCAGGGATTGACCTGAGGTGGATCCATGACCCAAGCACGCTCACAGCTTCCGAACACAACAAGGGGAAGTCTGAAGGCTTTCAGGACCAGAGAGCTCTCGCCGCAGAGAAAAATAAATCTGATCATTTTCATTTTCTCAAAAGCAAAGTCTCTGCCCACCCACAGACACCAAGCTCCCCTGCCCACACGGCGGTGTCCCAGGCTGAACGGACTCACCGCCCTCCTCCCACCACTGACGGCCGCACGCCGCGGGCACACCGCTGCTGGCGCCTGCCTGCCGTCCTGAAGCGAGACCTGGCCCAGAGCGGCCGGAGCGGCAGTGGGGACACTCGGGTCTGCAGGCCCCAGGAGGCACCTCTCGTGCGCCCAGGCTCGGACCCGAGGGAGACTGAGGGCCGGCGGGCCCGGGCCAGGCTGCACGAGCAGGGAGATACGTCGGCCGTGGGGCCCCAAGTCTGGGATGTAGGTCCCACCCCACCTGAGGGGCAAGGCCCATCGCCCCAAACCACGTGCCCTGCGCGGGGTGGGCTCAGAGGCTCCGCAGCGTTACTTTTCTTGGCTGTAAGCTAAGCAGCTGCCCATTAGAATTCCATTCGTTTCACAGCTCGAGCTGCAGTTGATATTTCTAATTATCGGGAATTAAAATGGTCCCTGTAATTTAAGGATAATTGCGGGCGATGCCAGCTGGTGCCGGAGCTGCGCTGCTCCGGCAGAACGTGTGGGTCGCTCACAGGAGAGGCGGGAAGCGAGGGGGGTGCAGGCCTGGGCGAGGCGGGAGGCACCTCCGTGCGGACTGAGGACAGTGTGACACGCTGGGCCGTGGGAGCAGGAGCGGCGGGGCCAGGGAGCGGGGTGAGGGGGATGGGTGCCCAGGTCCCCTCAGGTGAGCCAGTCCCGCCCTCTGCGCCCCGCGGCTCCCAGACGGCAGGGCCCCGCGGTGCCCAGGAGGGAGGATGGTCCGTACGGTCCGGACTGAGCCCCTGGGCGGCGCATCAGACGGACGGGGACCGCTGTGCCCTCGGCACCCTGGCGCGAGGCCGCGCGCACAGCACCGGCGACCCAGACCCCCTGGGCCTCCATGTTCCCTGCTGCTCCCCACCCACCCCAACCCCGCAGCCCTCCCGCCGCGGCCCCCCCCCCCGGCCGCTGCCGCTGCGCACAGGGAGGCGTGCTGAGCGGGCCCGGCCACGGCCTCGGCCACGGCGCTAGGCCACACGGGCGTTTCAGGGGAGGACTGGCCCCCGGTGGGCCACGCACACGCCTGGCCGGCCAGCGGGGCCGTGTCGGTCACACGGTGACCCCGTGGAGGCGGGCGGGCCCGAGCCGGTCAGCTGGGCCTGCCCCACGGGCCCGCGCCCCATCGCACAGCGGTGCCGGGGCACAGGTGTCCCTTCCCGGCCGCGGGCACAGCGGCCTCACGTGGCGGCCGGACTGGCCTTGGCGGGGACGGGCACGCCCTGGAGACAGGAGAGTTCCCAGGCCAGGGCCCAGCCACAGCAGGGTTTGTGCCCGTGCGCGGGGCTGGGGGAGGGGTCCTGCCACCCAGCTGGTGACCTCTGCACCCCCGGTGACCTCTGCCAGGTTGGGTTACCTCCACACCCCTGGCTGCCCGCCAGGCCCCAGCAGCAGGGGTTCCCGGCACAGCTGTCCCCCTCTGCCCCCTGCCCTCCACTCCCCTGCCGCCTCCCGGCTGAGTCCAGCCCCTCCCCATGGGCCACCCTCCCTGCTCATGATCACATCGCACGTGTTTACTCCTCAGTCACGTCTGTCTGCTCCCCGATGTGAGCCCCCCAAGGACAGGCCTGTGTCGGCCTCGTCTGCCCAGAGTGAACGGGAGGGACCGTGGCCGGAGGGTTCCTTTATTATTCCCACCGAGGGGGCGGCCCAGCCCCATGTCCCGGGCAGGCCCGTGCCCCTCAGTGTCCCAGAGCATTCAGGGCAGGGGGTCCCCCTCAGTGTCCGGGGCATTCAGGGCAGGTGGGGGAGCCCTCAGTGTCCGGGGCATTCAGGGCAGGGGGTCCCCCTCAGTGTCCCAGAGCATTCAGGGCAGGCAGGGGCCCTCAGTGGCCGGGGCATTCAGGGCAGGGGGTCCCCCTCAGTGTCCGGGGCATTCAGGGCAGGCAGGGTCCCCCTCAGTGTCCGGGGCATTCAGGGCAGGTGGGGGAGTCCTCAGTGTCCCGGGGCATTAAGTGTAGGGGGTCCCTCTCAGTGTCCGGGGGCGTTCAGGGTAGGGGGGGCCCTCAGTGTCTGCGGGCATTCAGGGCAGGCAGGGGAGGGTGAGGAGAGCCGCTGTCCGTGTTGCGGGCTCTGGACCAGCCCAGCCTGGGTTGCGCCTGTCCAGGACGGCAGGCTGTGCTCCCTCGGGGAGAGACACACGCGTAGATCCGAGTTCCAGGTGTGGTTGGCGGGGACGCGGTGGAGCGTGAGGACACACGTTCTCGCGGGGGCCCTGGCCGGTGCCTCAGGTCCGCGGCGGGGGCGGCGGGTGGGGGCGCCGGCCGGGGCGCAGGGCGGGGGCGGCAGGGGCACAGGGTGGGCCGGGCCGGCTAGCCGCTGGGCTTGGCGAGGATCGTCTCCAGCAGGCTCATCACGCCCTCCTGCAGCTGCAGGCCCTGCACCTGGAGGCGGGGGCGCAGGGCGGGGGCGCAGGCGGGGGCGGCGGGCCGGCTAGCCGCTGGGCTTGGCGAGGATCTTCTCCAGCAGACTCATCATGCGCTCCTGCAGCTGCAGGCCCTGCACCTGGAGGCGGGGGCGCAGGGCAGGGGCAGCAGGGGCACAGGGTGGGCCGGGCCGGCTAGCCGCTGGGCTTGGCGAGGATCTTCTCCAGCAGGCTCATCATGCGCTCCTGCAGCTGCAGGCCCTGCACCTGGAGCAGGTGCTGCTGGTCCAGCACGCGGCGCACCTCGCGGCAGGTGTCCTCCACGGCGCGGCTCAGCCGCCGCTGCTCCTCCAGCATCGCCCCCAGCAGCCGCAGCTTCCGCTTGCGGAACGCGCCCGGCGCCTTGCGCTTCTTCACCGGCTGCTCCTCGGACCTGTGGGCACAGCGGGCAGTGAGCCGGGCCCTGGAGCCGGCACGGCCTGACCCTCCCGGGACCCACTGGGCCGGACAGACCGAGGCCCAGGGAGCTCAGCCACCGCTCAGCGCTCAGCGTCCGGGACAGTGAAAGGGCCACGGGGCCACGGGCCCGGCCGTCCACAGGGACCCAGCAGCTCGGTCACAGGACACCCAAGTCCCCTGAGCCTGGGAGGGTGGGGACCCCTGCCAGAGGACACCCCCAAATGCACTGAGCTGGGGGCTGGGGGGCTCGGGGTGGAGGCCGCCCAGGGAGAGAGGAGGAAGGCTGAGTGGGACGGGTGCTGGGCGGTGTGGCTCCCCTGTGAAGCCAGAGACCACCAGTCCTGCTGGCCTTGGGCAGATGGGGAAACTGAGGCCGAGGCAGAGAGGGCCTGGGGTGGGAGGCAGGAGGGCAGGCGCCTGGGGAGGGCAGGGAGGAATCCCGGTGGGCAGGGTGAAGGCAGCACAGGCAGGGCTCTCTGCTGAGGGTGGGGCACCCCTGGTGGAACCCACCTCCTCTGTGGGCAGGGAGCTGCCCAATCTCACCAGACCCTCGGGCCCTCCCCCGCCCCCAGCTCCTGAGTAGAACAGCGACCGCAGCCTCAGGGCGAGTGCAGAGCGCAGGGCCCCGCCCCCATCCGGGGAGCAGCGCCCGGGAACAGCGGGCCGGACTCAGGCTGCCAGCTGCCGAGGCCTGGCTGTCGGCAAAGGCGCTTCTGCCCGGGGTCTTTGTGGAGAAATCCCGCCAGCAAGGGGCACCGGACGAATGGAACGGGCGCTCTCCCACCGGTGTCAGCACTGAAGGCCCCGAGATGCCCCCTCAGCCCCCCACCATGGCAGACTGGAACACTGGGGCTGGGAGGGCCAGCGCCATGGCTCAGATCCAGACTTCCTGTTCTCCTTTCCAACTGGCCAACTCCTACTCACCCTCGGAAACCCACCCACAGGTCCCCGCTCTGGCTCTCCCAGCCCCACACCACAGGCTGAGTCTCCTCGTGGCCGTCGGTGACATCCCCGTGGCCGAGTCACGTGGCAGGAGGCATGTGACAGACAGCAGAGGCGAGGGGCGTACCCACAGCAGCCAGGCTAGAGGACCCTGGAGGCTCAGCCCGCACCTCTCCTGATGGGAAGGGGACCCGGGGCGGGGCCCGCTTGGGGCCCAAGGGGCCGGAAGCAGAGGCAGCGGGGCAGGCAGGGCGGGCGCACCTGGCGCTCCTCCATGTGCCAGGCCCTGGCCTGCGTGTGCCCTCTCCTCTGACACTCCCAGCTGCCCGCAGAGAAGCCACGGACTACCCCGTTTACCGAGGGAGACGGAGGCCCAGAGAGGTCATGACCTTCCCACACAGCTCAACAGCGACGCAGCCGGAGACACAACCACCTGTGCCAGGACCGCCGCGTAGGGTCTGCGTGCCTCCCTGCGGGGCCGCCCTGCGGGGTCCCCTCTGTAGCCCGCCAGCACGAGAACACTTCCTGTTCCCCCTCTCAACTGGCCAACTCCTATGCACCCTTCAAAACCCGCCCCCCTGTGCCCCCTGGCCGCTCTCAGCCCTCCTGCGGGCAGGAGAAGGGCGCACACTACCTGAACTTAAGGGACAGTAAGCTGGAGGAGCTGGAGGAGCCGTCGTCCTGGAAGCGGCCTTCGTAGGAGCACCGGTTATACGGTAAGTACAGAGGGGTGGACTTAGCCGACGGCGACAGGGACTCCTCGGTCTGGGACGTGGAGGGCCCCGGCTGCTGGCCGTCCGGCAGTTTGCCATCACAGGACTCGGGGGCCTTGGCCAGAATCCTATCAATGGCTAGGTAATAGGGCCAGTCGGGCGGGACGGACTCGCTATCTGTCATGCATTTTAATTTCCTGCAACGAGACACACAAGAGCGGAGTGTGAGAGACAGCCTGCCCCGCCCGGCCCGCCGGCCCCTGGCGGAGGCAGCGCGGCTCCGGGGCCGGGCCCGTGGCGCGGGCGGCACCGCTCCTGGGCCGACAGGCCTCCCCAGGAAGACCGGCCTCAGGGCCGGGCGGCACTGGGCTCGGGAAGAAGTCGGACTCGGGCCTTCGCGGCCTCGGACGCTAAAAGCCGCAGGGCGGGCGCAGTCGGGGCATCGCCATCGACCCGCTCCTCGCCGTGCTGCGGGGTCTAAGCTCCCTGCTGAGTGAGCACTGCCCGGCGGGTCGGCGCGGTAAACACCGCCACGCACTACAAGCCGGGCACACCCGAGGGATTGGACACGTGCCACACCGACACCGGGCACAAGAGGACGCCGTGTGCTTCTGGAGAGGCCGCCTCGAGGCGTGGAAGGGCATCTCGGGGCCTTCGATGCTGAGCGGGACCCGCAGGCGCTAAGGGCAGAGGCCTCGGCGTCCGGCTGATCTGAGTCTGTGTCTCGAGCTGCCACCTGCTGTGTGACCTTGGGCAGGTGCATTGACCTCTCTGAGCCTCCATGTTCACATCAGTAAAATGGGGGTGACCACCGCGAGCTCCTCACATGGCCGTAGGAAGGCTTAGTGGGACGATGCCCGATGCCCGGCGAACAGCGGGCCGTCCAGGTACCATGTTGGCAGAAGGTGCCAGGAGGCAGCTGGGCTGGGCCAGGCAGGCCCCTGCTCACACTGCCCGACATCTCTCATCTCCATTCAGACCTCAGGCCAAGAGCCCCCACAGCCCAGCGTCCTGCCCGCCCTGCAGACAGGCCCTGGCCTGGGCCAGCCCCGGAGCTCAGGGCCAGGGAGGTGGGCCCCCCGGAGAGCTGGCAGCCAAGGCCAAGCCACAAAGAAGCCCAGGTGGGTGGGCAGGAGACTTGGTGCTTCCTGCGCTCCACAGCTCCCTGGCCCCGCCTGGGCCTGTGCCCCGGCCCCGCCCACGCTGCTCTGGCGCGGGAGACCTTGCAGCTGGAATGCCCTGTGGGGGGCTCCCATCTCCCCCAGGGGCTCCCCACGGGGTGTGGCCCCTGGCTGCTGGAAATGGCCTGGCATCTGAGCGAGCCACCCCCGTCCACAGCACAACCAGACAATGAGGGGCCGCGGCTCAGGGAGGTGAGCAGAGGCTGTCTCAGCAGAACACTGCCCCCACCAAACGCCACGGACAGATCACGTGTGGCAGAGCGTGGCTGCTGTCTTCCCAGCCACGGGACCCCATCCATTCCCTGGAGGTCGGGCAGACCCACACCAGCCTTCACCCAGGCGCCCCTCTAGCCCGAGACCCCCTCAAGCCAGCCCACTCCTTGGAGGAAAAAGGAAAGGCTGCCCCCAGCACGGGAGGCTCCTGAACGATGAACAAACCATACTGCGTGGAAGCCCCCAGGCGACCTTAGCCTGAGCCTCAATATGCAAAGAGCGACTGTGAGCAAATAAGGGCAGCCTCTGGGAGGCGGTAGAGAATGAGCCACAGGGTCCCCGCTCAGGGCAGTGCAGCCCGGGCTCTCGCCTGCTCTGGCCTCAGTTTCTCCCTGGCGACAGGAGCTGAGAGGCACCGCACGGAGGATGTGGCACAACCCGTGCAGCCTGCACACACCCCAGCCTCCGTGCCCGCCGGCGCCAGGTGCCTGCTCAGCTGCACCTCCCTGCGGCCGCCTGACACGTCCTCCGCCTCCGGGATCGAACCGAATCCCTCCCCTGGGACCGAGGCTTTCCTGGTAGATAACGGGTCACCCAGACCCCATGGGAGCCCGAGCGCCGCCATCAGCCCTTCACTAAGCGACTCCCTGCCTCTGACCTCGGCTCGCCCTGGCGGGGCCTGCCTGGGGCCGGAAAGGGCCTTTGGACTGGGCCACAGAACGCTCAGCTAATGCACCTGGAAACAGCCTTTCGGGGGCCAGGGCCCGAGGAGCCTGCGCACACCTCCAACCTCCCACCTATAGGGGGGTAGACCCCCCTAAGTGCGGCTCACGGCGCTTGGGGCCACCCTGCAGGGCCGGTCTGCACCGGCGTGGCCACCCCGCTGCTCCCTGCCCAGGCGGCCACCAGGCCCAGGAGGCAGCAGGGCGGGACCAGCGGGCCCAACCAGGACAGCCCCTCACGTCCTGGGCACTGCCAGGCTCGGGGGCAGCCAGGCCAGCCCTGCACAGGCGCCCACAGGACTCCAGGCACATGGCGCTGCCCCCATGGCTCCCAGCTCCTGCTTAACTTTCGTCAGCAAGACCCGGGCCCGTCTGCGACCTTCCACCAGCCAGTGACCTTCACCCTGACCATGTCCCTCTCCACACTGTGCCCCTTGCAGACAGGCCTGGGCAGCATGACCCCAAGGTGCTGGGCCCGCGGGCCACGCCCTCCCTGGACAATGCCTCTGCCCCCCCCCCCCCCCCCCTCAGAGCCTGTCTGTGCCCTCACCCGCCGTCCCCCCAGGCTGCCGGGCAGGGCCACCTGGAGCGGGGCTCCACCTCTTCCTCCCACAACGAGGCCCCTCCCACGAGCGCCCCCCTGCTCAGGGCTCCCTGACCCTGAGGTCACAGTGGCCGCAGCGGATGCTGCCAACGACTGAGCATCAGGACCGGGCGGGACTCACAGGCCCGGAGCCGAGCCTCCTTCTTCCTCGGCCTCAGTTTCCCCGTTAGCAGCACCCGAACACCTGCCGTGGAGCCAGCCTGCGCCGGGCCTGCGGGCTCCGGCCGGGCGGGAGGGCCGAGGGCAGGCGGCCGGGGCCTACCTGTACTGGAAGGTCATGTTGGTGATCTTGATCTTGATCTCCTCGCCCAGCCGGTGCTCGCCCGTCATGGCCAGCAGCTTGCAGGCCATCTTCTCGTACACCTTGGCGTTGCGCTTGGTCTGCTTCAGCTCCTCGAAGAACTCCTCCCAGACCAGCATGAGGCCGCGCATCTCGGCGTCGGTCCAGTTGCGGGCGCGCCGGTGCTTCTCGGCCTGCGGGGACACCAGGGAGCCGGGCACCTCGGCCGCGGCCATGCCAGCGGCGCCTGCGGGGAGCGGGCGCTCAGGGCGGCCGGCGCCGCGCGAGCCCGGCTCTGGGAAGGCAGCTCCGCGCTCAAAATGGGGCCTACATCTGACAGGCAGGAATTTAGTTAAAAGCTTTTAAACGGGAAACGTCATTTTGATGTCACGTTTCCATAGCAACAGAGCAACTGCATCAGCTACAACAACAGAAACCTTTTAACTGAAAGCGCAGGAATCGGGGCCGCCGTGACGGGCCATCAATACTGCAGCGGGCGGGCCGGGCCGACACCACGGCCCAGGTCCCGGCCCTGCCTCCGCCCCGCCCGGCCCAGCCAGCCGCCAGGCCTCCGTGGCCAAGGCCACACAGGCCCCGGCGCCCACACCAGGCCACCTGGCTCCCGCAGCCCCGGCCCCCGCAGGCCCCCGCAGGCCGCAGCCCAGAGAGCCCAGGATGGGGGTGGGACAAGACCCGGAGATGGGGCAGGCGGAGAGGGGGATGGAGACTGAGGAGACAGGTGGCGAGGCGGGCAGAGACGGGCATGAAGGGGGAGGGGACAAGGAGCAGACACCCTCAGGGACATGCCTCGGCTCCTCTCCCAAGGCCGTGCCCTCCCCACCCCCCACACACAGCGGCCCGGACCACAGGCTCACGCCTTACAGTGGGTAATGCACGTGGCACCCCAGGCCGTGGGGGAGCGGCCGCCTCCCTCCTGCAGGGGCTGCTGGCCGGCCAGGGTGCCGGGTGGGCTGAGGCCAGAGAGGAGTCGGGAGCCAGTGTGGGGGGCCCTCTGCCCTGGGCAGCTCCACTATGGCCCCGGCCACACTGAGCTGGCACCAGCCCAGCCTTCCTCCTGCGTCCCCAGACCCACAGGAAAGGGCCGGCAAGGCTCCTGAGAAAGTAGGTGAACGGATGATCGGACCCACCCCGCCCCAGTAGCCTAGACTAGCCTTTGCTCTCACTGGCGAACTCCTCCTCATCCTTCAAACCTGCTCTGACCCCACCTCCTCTCGGAAGTGCTCCCACTGCACTGTGGTCCTTCTGCCCCTCCCCATCCTGGGACGGGAGCCAATGAGCCAGCTGCTTGGTTTCCTCCCTCCAGCTGCGTGGCCCCTGTCAGACCCCATGAGACAACGCTGAGGAGCACTGAGCACCGGGTGCGGGCTCCGTCCTACACGCTGTCCTGTGTGCCTTCTGCGTGGACCCTCCACACGCGTGTGAGGGAGACCAGCTCTGTTAACTCCCGCTTTACAGACGTGAGGTCACCTGCAGGCAGGGGCCGGGCCAGGCTTTGGCCCCAGGCAGGTAGCCGGGCTGGGTGTGGCCCCCGCCGGCTGGCAGGCTCCTCTGCACCACGGAGCAGCCGATGCCAACTGCTGAGGCCCGGCCAAGGCTCCGTCACCGCCTCCCGGGCGGCCTCAGACAGGTGGCTGCTGGTCGGCTGGGTCCAGGGCTGGAGGACCCTCCCCCTCCTTCGGGCCTGTGAGGATGTGACAGAGGCTGGCCTGTCCGAGGGCCAGGGGACAGACCCTGACCTCCAGGGGAGGGCACCGTGAGGCGGTGAGGCTGTGTCTCGGGAAGGTGGGCTTAGGAGCTGGCTCAGGTGCCCGGGGCAGCCATGGGCCATGGGCAGGGAGCTGTGAGGACAGCGCAGAGAAGCCATGGTCCATGCCATGGCCCTGCTGGCCCTGAGGAGCCCTGCGCCGCCCAGCCCCCGCCTGGCACCGCAGGGCTCTGGCAGTGGCCTGAGTCAGGGAGGTGCCGGGACAGGGCAGCAGCTGAGGTGCCTGCTCCCTTCAGTCACAGCTGGAAGGGCAGCGGCAGGGGGCGACCTCAGAGCAGGCTCCTGGGTCAGGCCTGGTCCTGCCACCAGCTCCCAGCAGGAGCCCTGCCCTCTGGGCCTCAGGGGTCACTGGGGTCATGGGGAAACCACCTCCTGGCCCTGTCGCACCCCCAAGATGGCTCACGGCTGCCACCCTCCCCTGGGCCTTGGCACTGGGCACCGGCTCAGGGGCGTTTGCAGTGAGTGGTGAGGGAGGGACTAGAAGCCCACTCCCTCCAGGAAGTCCCACCCCTCGGGCGAAGGATGTGCATTCTCAGTGGGCCTGGGGTGGCCTCAGCCGCCGGAGCGCCTCCCCCACCGGGCCAGGCCCGCGGCGGCCTCACCTCGCTCTCAGCACGGGGGCGCGGGGCCCGGGAGAGCAGAGGCTGGGGCTGCCTGGCTGGGGCCGGCGGGTGGCTGTCAGGACGTGCTGCCACCGCGGGGTCCCTGGCCGGGTTACCACCAGGGCGGCTGCCGGTCCCGAGGCCTCCGGGCAGCAGTGGACCCACAGGTGTCACTCCCTGGCTCAGGGCCCGGGCACCGGGGACTCCAGCGGCCGAGGCTGGAGCCGGCTGTTCCTCTGCAGGTGTCAGTGGACACAGTGAGCCCCAGAGACCAGGAGCTGGCCTGTCCTCTGCTGGGGCCTCCGTACCTGGGCACAGCTGCATGGCCTGCTGGGACCCTCAGGCTCTGCGGGAGGGGGAGGCAGAGGGCGGGGGCCAGGCGTCCAGCTGCACCTGCGGGAGAAGGGGGGTCTGTGCGGAGCTTGGCAACGGGGGCTGCCCCGGCCCAGGGCAGAGCCGGCAGAGCCGGAAGGCCGTGGGCACCGGGGGCTGCGCCTGGTTTCCCTAGCCTTGGTGGCTCCACCAAGCAGTGCCCTGTGCCCCGGCCTGGTGGCACACCACGGCTGCCCAGGGACCGGGGGGGCCGGGGTGGGCCAGGCCCTGAGGCTCCCTCCCTCCCACACCAGGGGCCCCCAGATGGCAGTTTGAGGCGGGGCTTTCTCTGAGAGTAGGGGCTGCCCTCGGCCGCGGGGGCGTGGCTTCCAGCAGACAGGCTGCCCCGGACCTGCCTTCCGGGAACAACGGCGTGCCAGGCGGGGCCGGCCGGCCTGGCCAGGGGAGGGCCGATTAGGCGGCTCTGAAGGGCGAGGCCATGGGCCCAGGGGACACAGACAGAGGTTCAGAGCCACTGGGGTGGCCGGAGCCTGGCGTGGCCACGGGCCTTCAGCTCACAGCCCGGCTTTCTGTGCAGGTTGGCGAGCACACACGGGCACAGGCACCGAACAGACTTCAAGGCCGCGGTCCTGGGGACGCCACAGCCCAGTGCACGGGTGCCGACAGCTGAAGAGCTGGAAAGCCGAGCCCTCCGCCGCTCCCGCCTCCCAGGCCAACGTGGAAGCAGATTCTGCCGAAACCCACGGCCGTGTGGCTGCTTTCACCCGAGCGGCACCTGCGGTGCGCGGGCCACGTGAGCCCCCGGCTGCTCCAGCAGCACTGGGGCGAGGGGGCCCCTCCGCACGGCGGCGCGCAGTGCACCTCGGTCCCTCAGCAGTCCAGGATTCCAGGAGCAAAGGCCGCACACAGCTCAGTTTGACCTCCTTTAATTCAGACGTGCAGGTCTGCAGCCGTTTCAAAAACAAGATGCCTCTCCCTCCCTCTCCCCTCCCCTTCCAGAAGCAGATGGGTCCAGGCAGGCTCCAGGATGCGCCCATCACTGCCCTGCTGACCCCAGTGCTGGCTTGAACCACCAATGGCCACTGTGCTGCAGCCCACCGAGCTCAAGCCACACCCCTGTGATGGCCAGCAAGGGCTGGGGGTGGTGGTGGGTGGCTGCAGCGGGGGCCCGGGGGGGGGCCGTAGCGGGGGCTAGGAATGGCTGGGGCTGCAGCGGGGTCTGGAGGTGGACGGGGGCGGGGAGCAGTGGAGGGTGGCTGCACAGTGGGGGCCAGGGCCACCGTGGGTGCTGGGGATGGCTGGGGCCACAGCGGGACTGCAGTGGCTGCCCAGGGCAGGCTGCTCCCAGCAGCACAGGGATAAGGAGGTACCTTCTGCTCATTAGGAAGCGACAGGCTGGCAGAGAGCAAGGCCCAGCTGTCCAGGCCACCTTCCCTTGCCACCGCCATCTGAGCAGGCCCCTCCCTCCGTGCCGAGGGTGCAGGGCCTCGGGGGAGGCTGCGGACAGTGGTGCTCCTGGTCCCGCTGAGCCAGCACCCGCCTCCGGGATAGAACACGGCCCAGGCCAGCAGCCTCGGTTCTGGTTTGGGCCCTCACCACCGAGCGAGGGACAAAGCCCCGTGAGGACACTTGGGAGGAAGGAAGCAGGCGTGCAGAGGAAGCGGGTGCCACACCCCCAGAATCCGGAGCTCCACGCCGACCCCTCGCGCCACGCTGCTGCTCCTGCAGCTCAGAGTGCGGCCGGGAGCACAAAAGCCAGCCGGGCAGCGGGCACTGCAGGCCAGGGTGGGGCTGTGGCGGCCTCCGGGTCCCGCTGCCAGGAGAAGCGGCAGTGGCAGCGGCAGCGTGAAGGCACTCAGCGGAGGCACTTGGTGGCGTCAGGTGTGTGTGTGTGTGTGTGTGTGTGGTGTGTGGGGAGGGGGGTGGGCATGCTGCAGGGCCGTGCACACAGGCCCACCTGGTGTCGTCCAGTTTCCTGATGCTCCTCGCAGGAACCACCCACACCCCCCGCCGGCGCCCGCTCTCGTGTGACTGCGCAGACTAAACGCGTCTCCCGGCACAGCCAGGGGCTCAGCGGCCCGGTGAGCGAGGCCGCCTCAGCGCCGGCGCGCAGCGCAGCGACCGGGAGGCAGGCTGCTCTACGGAGAGCTGGAGGGCGGCTCCCGGAGGCCTTGCGCCCGAGCGCCATGACGTACACACGTGAGTACAGGCGTGTGCACACGCTCACCGCGCAGCGAGGACACACACTGGGCCAGCGCTGCTCCCGCCATGAACGGCTGCCCAGACCGGCTGTGCCTGAGGCGCACCACGCCCGGTGGCCCAGGGTGTGGCCCTGGGGGAACGGTCCCAACCCCACAGGCACCCCGTTCTCTCCCACCCACCGCACACCCCAGCTGGCGCTTAGGGGAGCCGCCAGGATGAGAGATGGAGCCCAGGTGAGTGAGGGAGGAGGGTGGCTCTCACCTTTCGTCAAAACTCGGCCGAGCCTCGAGGGGCTGCTGGGGCTGCCGGAATGCCCACAGCCCCCATGTGGGCCACAGGCAAACCCTGGCCCCGCTGCCCCCCCCCCCCCCCCCCCCGCGGCCTGTGCACAGGGGAGATGCAGGCCTCGCGCAGGGAGGGTCACTAACCAGGCGCCTCCTGTGCCCTCGTCTGAAAGCTTCAAAGCGACCTCCCCTGACCACGCGAAACGCCTCGAACCCTGACTGCACTTGAGCTGAGGAGCAAACGGCCAGTCCACCTCCGGGGACCGAGGAGGCAGAGTTCCTGGGGGACGGGGTTTGGAAGGACAGCAAGCAGAGCCCCCCATGCACTCGTGGCTCCTGGGGCAAGGCCCCAGCTCTCCCGTCCCATCTGCACTGATGTTCTGGCCACGTGGGGCGGAACAGTAAGCTGGCCCGGGGGCCTGGGCCTGGGCAGAGGGGCCGTCTGAGGGGCCACACTGGTCAGTGACTGCCGGCCCCGCCTCACCCTGCCCCTCCAAGAGCCCACCCCCCAGGAGGCCCGCACAGGTGTGAGGAGGGGCTGGGTCTCTAACACCTGCCAAGGCACCAAGCTTTGCTCCCAATCCAGAGGGCGTCCACGCTGCAGCTGGTACCCAGGGGCCCAGCCTCCGGAGCCCGCCTGGTGAGCACAGGCCCAGCGGGAGGGGGCGAGCTGAGCCCTCCATGGGAGACGGGGACCTGGACAGCATCTGACCGGACCCTCACACACTCTAGCTGACGTCGCTGCGTGGAAACGGGGAGGGAAGGGTTGCCCTGAAGGCGCCATGTGCTGAGGGGCAGGTGCCGGCAGCGGCCGGACAGCGGTGGGGAGGGGACAGGCCTGCGCGCCCAGGGGCTGTGGCGAGCGGCGCAGACCACACGGCGTGGAAAGGCACCTTAAAATTAATCTCTTTACTGATAGATTAAACTTTAGGTCCTGAGAAGAAAATGAGAAAGGGAAGCGTGGTGCCGGCCCGCGTGCTCCGCCGCCCACCGCCCACGCCCGCCGGGAGCAGGACGCAGCCCAGCCCCGGCCCGTGCCGCCGGCCGGCCGTCAGACGTGAGCAACGGCCGCCCGGCCGCCCGGCCGCGGAGGAAGGTGCACACCCGATCCGGCACAATCGGCTCCATGCAGGCCGGCCACGCGGCCACGCCTCTCCGCCAGGGCGCAGGCTCCGCCCGCACCGGCCCAGCGCCTCCTGGGCACAGCCCGCCGAACCCGCCGCACCGCGCTCAGCTCGCGGTGAGCTTGTGAACGTTCCGCAAACAAGCCAGCAGCCGCTGGTAGGGGTTTCCTGGCTCCGCCACCACCTCGAACACGGACTGGAAGGCCCGGCGGTCCAGCTCCTCCTCCACCTGGTGTCGGTAGAAGTCGGCGGCCACCAGGCAGAAGAGGCTCACGTCCACATGCTCCAGCTTGCCCATCCTGCTGATGACGTGGGGCAGGCTGCCGGCGAGTTAAGGAGCCAGGTGCAAGCGTGACGCCGACCCACGCGGGTCTCAGTTGCCCAGAGGGTCCGGAGCCCAAGGCCAGGGCAGGACCGCGGACCGGCCACACCCACAGCCGCCTCCCACCTCCGACAGCTCCCAGCGGGCCACCCCTCTGCTGCCTCCTCTGGCCAGGAAGCAGCTCTGCCCAGCAGAGGGGGCCGGCAGCGCAATGGGGCGCTCTCCTCCGAGCACTTACCTGGCCTGGCTCCCCATGCGGCCGGCGGGCGCCTCCTGCTAGCCCTGCTCCCTCAGAGTGCGGAGCGCCAGGCCGCCCTGCCCAGCCCTCCCGCTCCCTGCAGAGGCTCCGGGAACGCCCCCTTGGCAGCCAGCACTTGGGGGTGGGTCTGGAGCTCCACTGAGCCTCCCCCGGGGACACGGGCACAGCGACAGGATAATGAGAACCAGCACAGACCGGTGCAGGCGAGGGACAGGGCCTGCCTCTCCTGCCCGTGGTCAGCATGCTTTCTGGGGCCTGTCCACGTCTCGCTCTCCAGGGGCTCACGGTCATGGCACCCTGACGCCTGGGTCTGGCAGAGGCGAGGCTGTGAAAGTCACAGACAGCAGCCCAGACCGACGGAGAGGGGGCGGCGGGAGGCAGGGCTGTCCGCCCGGCCCAGGACCCAGGAGGATACATGGCCGAGACCCACGGGCTGGTGGACGCGCTGACGAAGAAGCAGGACAGGCTCCACACGGCCATGGCCACGGGGGTCCTCTGCGTGAAGTTGGAGAGGGACAGCATGACCCAGTCCCGGACCATGGATGACTGCCCCGTGCTGTGCAGGGTCTGGAAAACCTGCGGAGGGAGGCGGAGCGTCAGGGGGCGCAGGAGGGGCACCCCTTCAACAGGCACCGTGCTGGCTTCAGGGGCAGGAGGCAGGCCGCTGGAAACCCACTGGCCAGCACGTCAGGCGGCAGGAGACGCCCAGGCTTCCGAGCCAGGTCACCCGCTGAGGCCTGTGCCGCCCTCACCTTGTACACCACGGTGGCCATGAACTGCGGGTAGGGCTGCTGGTTGGACAGGAACTCCCCGATGACTTTGTTCATGACGTCTTGCGGAGGGAAGAAGTCGTCTAAAAACTGAGGGAGGATCCGCGCCACCACGCGGGCTTCACAGGGAAAGCCCTTCCTGATCCTGAAAGGAGGGGCTTCGTCAGCCCGCCCCCCACGCCCCACGCCCCACGCCCCGCTGGGACCTTCAGAGCCGCTCCAGGCGGGTCTCCGGGCACCTAGAATGTTAACTGAGGACCTCACGAGTGACCCGCAGACAAGCGCCCAGGCTTGGGGCACCCCCACGCAAGGCCACGCTCCAGAAGGGGCGAGGCCATGGGGTGCCGGGGGGCGGGCAGTGGCGCTGCAGTGGAGACCTCACGCGTGATGAACGCACTGCCCCTCTGTGGCCTCTCGGCCCGTCCTCACCTGTGGCCCTGCAGTCCGCGGGGACCTCCTCTCCTCTCCTCTCCTCTCCTCGCCTGGACCCATCTGCATCCTGCCGGTCCCCCCCTGTGGGCCTGGAACCTGCCCCCGAGGGGTACGGTTCTGGGCGCTGGGAGAGCCGTTTGCTCACCTTCAGGTGCACACCGGCGGGCGCCGTGTAAGCCGCGGGCCGTGCCTCCTGCCAGGTGTGCCAACGACCAGCCGCCCATAGATAGCAGCACCCACCGGCCATCCCTCCCGCCCGCCAGTGTCCCCGTGCTGACCACATGACAACTGGGCTGACCCCATGACCGGCAGGATGACCTCGTGAGGGCCCTGCTGACCATGTGACAACCGGCTGACCACGTAATGGCCGGGCCAACCCTGTGACGGGCAGCTGACCCTGTGAGGGCCAGGCTGACTATGTAATAGCCAGGCTGATCCCATGACAGGCAAGATGACCCTGTGATGAGCAAGATGACCCCATGACAGGCAGGCTGACCCTGTGACGGCCAGACTGACCCTGGGACAGGCAAGATGACCCAGAGATGAGAAAGCTGACTCCGTGATAGGCAAGCTGACCCCGTGATGGCCGAGATGACCCTGTGATGGCTGGGCTGACCCTATGACAGGCAAGCTGACCCCATGATGGGCAGGCTGACCCTGGGACAGGCAAGCTGACCATGCGACAGCCGTGTGGACAGAACCAGCCTCCCCGAAGCCATACACATCATGCGGTCCTGAGCCTGTTCCCTAGAGCTGGCAAGCGAGGGACCCAGCTGGCGCAGTGTGGGGAGGCAGCCAATTCTCTCAGGACCTGCCTGCTTGCCACCCACGCCAATGCTGGGCCCACACACCCTCCCTTCCTGCGGGCACTGCGTGAGCCTGCTGGGACCACGCCTTCCCCAAAAGGCAGCAGGTACTGGCGGAGGTCCCGTCACTGCACAGCCCTCCTCACACCTCCATGTACCCACTGGCCCCACTGCCGTGCCCGCCTTCAGGGGAGGCACATCGGTGCCAGGGCCAACACTGCCCTCTCCGGAGCCAGCGAGGCTGGGCTGTTGGGGCACGGTGGGGAGCAGCGGCCACGAGGACGGAAGCGGGCTTCCCTGCTCACCTGTCGAAAAGAACTGACACGCGCTCCATGGCCACGATCACAGACTCGCTGTCGGGCGTGGCAGGGCCGGGCTCGGAGGTTCTGCCGGGACTGGCTTTCTCCTTCCCTGAAACGAGGGCAGCACGGCTAGGGCCTGAGAGGCGGCCGGGCTCCGCAGAGGCGCCGGGCCACACAGCGGTCAGCGAGCCCGAGACGGCCTGAGCAGGAGGGAGCCCTGGGCTCCGGGGTGTGACCCCCGCGCGGCAGCACGACAGGGGGCGTGGCTCTGGACTGCCCCCCAGAACCTCGGGGACTGGTCCACGGCCGTGGAGCGGCGACAGGAGACACGGGGGTGGGGGCACGTCCCCTCACCTGTGTACATGCAGGTGAGCATCAGGCCCAGGGCCGCCATGGCCCGGTGCGGGCTGTGCACGTTCACCCTGTCCACGCTGAGCTTGACGAGGGACTCGGCGTCCAGCCGCGACAGCTGCTCGGACAGCAGGAGGCGCTCCAGGCCGCGCAGGACGCAGTGGTACACGGTGGCCGGCGTGGCCTCCTCGCTTCCCGACAGCATCACCCCGCACATCTGAGAGAGGAGGGTCTGAGTCAGGGCCGCTCGGGCTCCCGTCCGCCCCGCAGGGTCCCCCACGGAGGCGCCAGGCCGGTCACCTGTATGATGGACGCGGAGAAGTCCGGGCCCACGTCCAGAGGGTAGTTCTCCACCAGGTAGAAGGCGGTGGCACACATCACCAGCACGTGCTGCTGGCTGTGCAGGTTCACGCAGCTGCAACCGGGGGCAGCCGATCAGTCACGCGGGCACGCCGGCCCAGGAGAGGGGCCCGGTGCGCGGGCTCCGCTGTGCCCGGCCCGCCCCCCGCCCTCCACCGCACTCACTGGGCGCTGCTGCGGAGGTTGGAGAGGAGGTAGTCGCTGATGACGGGGATGAGCTGCTTGGCCGTGTCGTCCAGCAGGTCGCACTCGAGCACGTAGAGGGCGCCGTGCAGGGCCCCGATCCTGCTGGGCAGGTGGCTGCTCCTGAGCGTGCTCTCCAGCAGCCGGCTCACCGGCTCCGCCACGGCCTTGTCCTGGAGCCGGGCAGAAGCAGGGGCTGGACCTCGAGGGCAGGAGGCCGCTAGGGCTCGCCTGCAGGCCGACTGCCGAGCTGGGCGTGGCGGGGGGGGCGTGCAGGCTGCCCTGGGCAGGCGTCCGGCCCGGGGTACGGGGAGTGCTCCCAGCCGACTGCTAAGGGGCAGCCTGTGCCCAGCCGTCCGTGTGGACAGTGTGGGGGTGCTGACCCCCACCTCCGGGGTCTGGAGTTTGGGTCAGGCCAGGTGGGGCCTCCCTGGTGGGCAGGGTTCTGTGTGTTTTCAACGCACTGCCCGGAAACAGCGCCTCCAGGTGACTCCGGAAGGGGATTCCAAAGCTGAGCCTGCTCTCCTGTGGACGTGGCCCCAAACGCCCTCCCTCCCTGAATGCGTCCTGTCACTGCAGCACATTACAGCTGAGCTTGGGGAGCCCGGGAGGCAGTTCTGGGGACCCGCTGTCATCTATGCGCCCTAATCACACACGTCAGGAGGAGCCTACACTGTACCCTCCGCGTGAGACCCCACAGAGAGCAGGTGCAGGGGGGCAGCCTCAGCGGCTCACAGACCATCCCCTGGGAAGGCGACCCCGGCCGGCCGGCGGAGTCTTAGGGGTTCCGGGAGGCTGCCTGACAGTGCGGCCCCACAGGCACTGTGTCCCTGCCTCCTTCCGTGACCGAGGACTTCCCTCGCTCCTCCCACAGACGGCTGGACCAGCGAGGGACCCTCCACCCGCCCCCAGGCCCCCAGGCCTCCGCTCTGAAGGCTCCAGCAGGGGCGCAGGGGCTGGTGCGTCAGGAGGAGAAGCCCGGCCCCTGCACCGCCGCACAGGAGTCCCCAGGGCACCATCTGGCCGCGGGGCTCTTTGCACACAGTCCTCACTGATTGATTTACTGACACAGCACTCGCCTGCGGGACTGGGCCTGAGCTCAGACACGACCACAATGGAACGGCACCCTCAGAGCCTCAGAGACAAAGGGCGCCCAGAGCAGCTGCTCCTGCGCTCCGCGACCCACACTCGGGCGCAGCTGGGAAGGGGGCGCGCAGGGCACCAGGCCACCCAGGATGGGGGACACCCGCTTGGCGTCTGGGCCCGCAGGGGCGGGTTCTGTGGGGAAGGCTCACCCCTCTGCCCGGTCCCTGGCCTCAGCCTCCGCTCACCAGGGGCAAGATTCAAGGTGAGGGCCTGCCAGCCCCAAGACAGGCGGGGCCGAGCACGGCCCGAGGGGACGGCCAGGGCCAGGGCAGCCGCTGGAGCTGCCGGGGAGCGTCTGCACCAGGCGGCGGCAGGGCCGGAGCGGGCACACACAGGGCGAGCCGGGGGGGGGGGGGGGTGTGCAGGGCAGCGGCGGTGCTGACGATCTCTCCAGTGCACCCTCGGAGGCTGCCTTCCTCTCTGGGACGTCTGCCTAGCAGGTGCCGCGTGTACAGACTCCCTCAGAGAGGAACACGGCCCCGGCAGCAGAGGCGCCTGGGAAATGCTGGCCCGTTTAACCCTCTGCTGTCCGAGCTCAGCCTCAGGCTGGCTGATCCTCAGGAAGCGAATGCGCCCCCTAGAGGGCAGGCCGGGGCCGGGGTGATGGCTGCCTGACGCGCCTCTGACCTGCAGTGGCCGCTGCCTCGCCCTGTGTGCGTTTCTCCGGAAAGGGGGTGTGGCGCAGAATCGGGGGGGACCCCAGAGGCCTGTCTGCCCTCCTGTAAACAGGAGGAATGCAGGGGACGGGGACAGAGCAGTCCCGAGAGGGCCTGGCGATCGGAGGCAGGGGCCCGCAGCATCCCGGGAAAGGGGCCCCCACACAGCCAGCTCCGGGCGCACACACCGCCGGGACGACCTGACCAAGGTGCACAGGAGCCCCAAGTGCAGCTCGCCCACACGGCACCCCCGGGCGCGGAGCCCAGAGCGAGCGGAGCCCCGGCTCGCACTGCGGAGCTCCCGGGGACCCCGCCGGCGGCCGCTGGCCCCACGGCCCCACGGCGCCGCGCGTGCCGTGCTCACCATGCCGAGGACGGCGGCCGCCTTGCAGGTGGCGGGCACCAGGTACTGCAGCAGGATCTCGTCCTCCGGAGGGTGCGCCCTGCGCAGCTCGGTCAGCGTCTGGTACATCATCTCAAACTGGCTGCGCTCCGTGAACAGGTCGGACACCACGAGGAGCTGCGGACGAGGCGCGAGCGGGGGGGGAGCGGCCGTCAGGGAAGGAAGCCGGTGTCCGGCACACCCCAACCAGCCCAGGGGCCACGGGCTCCAGGCACCTCTGCCCCGGCACGCAAACCCCGGCCACCCCAAGTGCGGGGACACACGCAGCAGGGCGTCCTCACGAAGGCCTGCGTGCTCGCTGCGGGCGGAGCGGGGACGGCCATGAGCTCAGGAGCCTGCCCGCAGCGGGACCAGGCCAAGCCCTCGTGTGTCCGCCCCCGGAGCCCAGGCCGCTCCCTGGCGCAGGTCAGGCTCAGAGCCCGGCAGGAACGTGGTTTCGGACATAAATGCTTTGCCAGGGACTCTGTCTCCCCAGATGCTCAGCTGCCGAAGGCTCGGCTCCTCACGGTACGTCTGAAAGAAGCACCGGCCCGCCGGGGGCTCCGTGTCTGAGCATCAGCTATGGTCCGGCTCACAGCTGCGTGCCCAGCCAGGCACAGGCCTGGGGTTGCAGGCAGGAGACCCACGCTTCTCTCACCACAGATGTTGCTCTCTCTAGCCCCTCCCCTCTCTAAGCATGTCCTCGGGTGAGGACTAACAACAAAAACAAACAGCTCCTCAAACGCGGTTCCTGGTGCTGTAAACACTGACAGACGGACCCCCACAACAGGCTCTCGGTTCCCCCATCCCATGAAGACCCTACAGGAGCTCCGAGACTAACAGTGTGAGAATAAAAACCCCAAGATGGTGCTTCTTGGAGGGGCGTGTGGGTGTGCTTCTCAAAGGGCGTGGGGGCCTGTGAGCCCGCCCCAGGGAGACCCCTATGGACAAGGGGGAGCCCCAGCCTTGGATGGCGGTGTCGCAACGACTCCACCACTGCCCTCGGGCATCTGCCCGCTGTGGGGGGACCAGGCAGACAGCTGCTCCTGCGCGGCCTGAGAAGTCTCCTTAGGCTCCCAGAGATGACACTGCGCATGTGCGTGCTGTGGGTGCGTGTACATGTATGTCTATCTAGGACGGGCGAGGGGAACTCACAGATCGCACCACTTCGCTGATGAGGATGACGGGGGTCCTCCGGCCGGAACTGGACGGCAGGAGCCAGCGGCTGTACAGCTCCAGCAGGAACTGGGAGCAGGAGTGGATGTCCACGCCGGCCCGGTGCTTCCTGCGGAGCACACACCCAAGTCATCGCAGGCCCCGTCCTCCTGACCCCCGAGAACCCGAGGCTCAGCCAGAGGCGGGACCTGGAGCTGACGGGCGACGTGGGCGGCGATGAGGGCGCGGGGACGTCGGGCTCCTCCTCCTCCTCGTCCCACTCCTCCTCCCTCAGGGGCGTGATGCTGCTCCCCAGCCACACCGAGTGGATGGACACCTGCAGGCAGGCCCGGGTCAGCGCGAGGGGGGGGTCAGTGCGAGGGGGGGTCAGCGTGGGCCGGGTCAGCATGAGGGGGTTAGCGCAGGGCGGGCCAACGCGAGGGGGGTCAGCGCGGGCCGGGTCAGCGCAGGCCCAGGTCAGTGCGAGGGGGGGGTCAGCGCGAGGGGGGGTCAGCGCGGGCTGGGTCAGCATGAGGGGGTTAGCGCAGGGAGGGCCAACGCGAGGGGGGTCAGCGCAGGCCCAGGTCAGTGCGAGGGGGGGGGGTCAGCGCGAGGGGGGTCAGCGCGGGCTGGGTCAGCATGAGGGGGTTAGCGCAGGGCGGGCCAACGCGAGGGGGGTCAGCGCAGGGCGGGTCAGCGCAGGGTCCTGGGGCTCAGGGCAGCAGGTGTGGCCCGGGATTCTGGCCTCTGTGGGGCCTGCCACCTGGTAGGGCCTGCTCAGGCAGACTAGTGGGTTGGGGGGAGGGAGGGCCTTCAGAAAACTCTGCCTTCAAAACGGACGCCCTTACAGGAGGGGAGTGCTGGGAGCCGGGCTTTTGCGTGACGGAGACACGCTGAGGGAGAACAGCCACTGCGGGACCAACACTGCCAACTCAGGCTCCCACTGCCTCCCTGCCATGTACGCAAGGGCCCGCATTTTTCCAATCAAGGACCAGTGACAGCAACCCCCCAGCAGCACGGGGCTGGGACACGCCGCCCTCCCTCCCCTAAGTCACCTCACACTCTCTCCTGTTCACATGCACCTACGTTACCGACTCATAAGACACCCACGCCCTCCTCAGGACAGACGCCGTAAGTGCAATAACAGGACCCTCTGCTAAATGCCTGTAAGTCTGCTCCTGAGGGCGAGTGGCCGGGGCGGAGGGCGGAGGGCGGAGGGCGGGGACGGGGCGCTGACCTGGCCCAGCTGGTAGCCCATGCTGCCCAGCTCCCGCTCAGGGTTGGTCTGCAGCAGCAGCTTGTCGTGGCTGATGAGGGCACCTGCGGGCGACAGGATATCAGAGCCGTCGCCAAGCCTGGCGAGGCACAGCGAGAGCCCTAGCGGCCTGGGCACTTGTGTCCCTTCACAGCAGGCAGCCGGCGGGGCCGAGGCAGTGCGGGCCCCTCTCTCCCGGAGGCACCGGCTCTGGCTCCACGGGCACTGGCTGGCGGAGTGGCACAGCCAGGTCTGCAGCTGTGGAGGAGTCGGCACAGCCGCGCCCCCGGGCAAGGTGTGGGCAGTGCCCCCACTCACCGTCTTCCCCGCCCCTCGCTTCCTTCCGAGGCCCAGGCCACCTGAGCCCGCACTTCACGCTGGTGGGTACCACCTGCCGCCCCCCCAAGCCTCCCTCCTGGAAGCACGTGCTCTGCGCACACCCGCAGCGGCTGCTCCTGGGACGCCGAGACGCCTCTCCCCTACCGGCCGAGACCCCCAAGGGACCAGCACACTTAGCTGACTCTCGCCCAAGGTCTGAGCGCACACGGCACACGGCACATAGCATAGCCCACGGAGCCCGCAGCTAAGGCTCAGGACGGAAACTGGAGGACCCAACACCTCCCACAGCCCAGGGGTCAGGAAGACTAGCCCGGAACACTGAGCACCAGCCTCGAAAAGTGCGCCTGAGAAAACCCCAGCCCGGCTGGTGCGGCTCAGTGGTTGAGCGTCGACCTATGAACCAGGAGGTCACCAGTTTGATTCCCGGTCAGGGCACAGGCCTGGGTTACAGGCTTGACTCCCAGCATGGGGCGTGCAGGAGGCATCTGACAGATGCTCCTCTCTCACCATAGCATTTCTCTCTCCCCCTCCCTTCCTCTCTGAGACCAACAAAAACAAAGAAATGCCCCACAATGTCCCTTTCTCTTGACTATTGGCTTCCTGGCTTTCAACTCCAGAGGGTTACGCAGGCACAGGCCCGGGCAGCTCACGAGGTCCCAGCCTGTCTGCCCACCGCTGTGCCAGTGTGTGGGCCCTCCCTACAGGTACCTGTGGCGGCTGGAGACAGAGAGGGGACAGGGTCCCACGCCTGGTACAGGTGATGGGTGGCGATGTTCTCCCTCTTCGACACCATTGCTTGGATTTCTTGCTCTACAATTCCTCGGATCACGCTCAGCTTCCGCCCAAACCTAGAACCGGGACAAAGGTTAAACTTTCATTCCTTTAACATCGTAGACGTGAGCGAAGCCAGGACCCACCCCAGCGCTGCGTAAAGGAGAGGCCCCCGCACCACACGCTGCCCGTGACTCCTGCTGAGCCCGGCAGCCGCCTGCGGCCGGCCGGCTCCTGCCTTGCTAGCCAGTGGCCCCACCACCGCAGGCCGTGTCCACGGCGGCTGCTCAGTCACTTTAGCACATGCGCCTCTTGCAGCAACATGCACAGCGCTTTGTTTTTTAGTCCCAGCAACAAACGAAAGGGCCGGTAGCTGCTGGCCCCAGGGTGGGGGGTGGGGGGCGCCTCTAGGCCCACCACGCTGGCCCCGGACACACGGCAGCACGGGCAGACCTGGTGTCGAGCGCTTTCAGGGGCTTGTTCCGGGGCTGCTGCTCCAAGCAGCTCACGGCGGGGTTGCCGGCCACGGGCACGGTCATCGCGCTCAGCACGAGGGAGGTGATGGCCTGCACGGCCAGGACGTGGATCTGGGTCCTCTCCGTGTCTTCCTGGAAAGAGTCCACATGTGATCATGTCACGAGCAGCCAGACACCAAGCATGACCTTGGCCACCTGCACATAGACCACGGGGCTGGCGGAAGGAGCCTGAGTGCCAGGGGGACTGACGTGTCTGCCTGCACCCAGCACAGCCCCCACACCGGTCACTGGAAACACATCTAACGGACGAATGTCCACAGCTTAGAGCAAGGTCTCCCTCAGGCACAGCTCCGAGCAGGAACCACTGACATTCAGCACCGACTGGAGAACTTAGCACACAAACCCCCGCCAGCTTCGACGCGTGGACCGCAGGCGTGTGGATGGCTGCGATCGGTCCCCTCCGCGTCACGCCACCTCCTGCCAGAACAGGGCCTGAGGGCCCAGCACGCTCCCTGCCCCGGGCTTTGCCTGGCCGAATGGCGGCCTTTCCCAATATCGTGTCAATACTCAGCCTACGCGCAGAAGCCTGGGAGGTCTGTGCGGGATGGTCAAGGTGGATGAGCACGGGCCTCGGCTGGGCCTTAACGCCCTTTCCTTCTGACTTCACTCTGCGCTGAGTCAGGAATTACTGACCCGGCGCCTAACGCACTGGGCTCTGAGCGCCCACATGCGGCCAGGCCGCACCCGACAGCGGGAGACGGCTCTGCTCCGGAGCATCAGTCTGGACGCAGCCTGGCTCCTCTTAAAAGTAAGGAAAGCCGGGAACGCAAGCTTGCTGCCCCCTGCGCGGGCGCCTCACCTCCGGGGGGCTCTCCTCCTGCTCCAGCACGAGGGGCTGGGTCACCAGGACGCCCAGGAGGGTGGCCCACGTTTCCTCGAACTGCGTGCGGCTGGTCCACCCTGTGATGCAAACATTACGTGAGACAGAGGGTCACCCACTCCTCCCACGATCCAACGTGAGGACACAGCGGGCTGCCGGCTCTACTGGAGTGGGCAGTGCCCAGGCCCCGACCAGCAGCTGCCTCAGCCTCGGCAGGTCTGCAACACACGGACCCCGCGGCGGCTGCCCTCCAGCGCGGACACAGCACACACATCCGCGTGCTGCCCTGGCAGTGGGGCGTGTGTGTGTGTGTGTGTGTGTGGGTCAGACACCCACACCTGGATGCAAAGACGGCAGACGTGTATGGGCATCGCCAAGGGAGGAACAGAGGCCGGGTCACCCAGAGGAGAGGAGCACGAGCGAGGCGGGGCAGAGCTGGCCACAGGACTGCCGGGCCGAGGTCCGACTGACAGTCACGCACAGGCAGCCCGGAGGGGGCTGGGAGGCTGGGAGGCCACGCTGCCATCTGCGAGGACGGGGAGGGACTGCCCAGGCGGTACCCCATGCTCCTCAGACCGCATCGCCTCAGTGGGCGCATCGTCCTCGGGACTAAAGGGGATGCAGACCAACGAGGTGTCTGCTGACGGAACCTTCAGGACCAAGGTCAGTGCCACATCAGCAGAAGCCCGCGGCAGTAGGCACCACAGGGACCAAGGGTGAGCTTGCTGGTGCCCACAAGTGCCAGCCGGACTCCTGAGACACTCCTGCCCCTCACTCAGCACCGCCCTCTCGACCCTGAGCAGGTCACGCCTGCGCCATTGAAGGGGACAGAAGCAGCCGCCCGGTTGCTGTGCCGTGCGCCATGCGCAGGGCGCTGAGAAGGCTGCAGGCAGCAGGGCCCGCTCAGTCCCGATGGCAGAGCTGGGCCGAGCTGGACGGCCTGCCCACCCAGAGCCCGGCTCCCTCAGCAGGCTGCCTCCTCCGCATCTGCCACGGTGGCTCCACACACCCCTGGCCGTGCCGCACACGAGGCGGCATCAGTGACCACGAGGGAACAGGGACAATCCCCGTCCCAGCTGGCGGGTGCCTCCTGCCGAGATCGGATTCCGCCCTCCATACCAACCACCAGGTACCAACCCGACTTCCAACAACGGACACATGGACACTCGGGACTAAGCGTTCACACAGACATGTGGGTGAAGTTCCCACGGTGAGTTGTGTGCACGCAGAATGCTTTCCGCGGGCAGGCGCCTAGACCTCACGGGGCCAGAGGTGCAGAGCACGCTCCGGGACGGGGACATACCCAGCGTGTTGATGCGGTAGATGAACTCTTTGAAGACTTCCTTCTCCTGGAGGAACTCCACAGGGATCTCGGGGAAGGCTGTGCCGAAATCCCCTCCCGGCGTGGGCGACCACCCGAGCTTCCAGACCTGAGGGTGGAACAAAGTCGCTGAGCTCCAGCCCCCAGGCCCCAGCGCGGGTCACAGCCGCCCTCCCGTCCTCGGACAGCACCAGCATGGCCAGAGCAGAATGGCTGCTCCAGCTCACCCAGGTGCGAGCTCCCCCAGATCAGACGGGCTCCCCCAGGGACAGGCGGGCTTCCCCAGGGACAGGCGGGCTCCCCCAGGGACAGGCTCCCGCAGGAACAGGCGGGCTCCCCCAGGGACAGGCTCCTGCAGGAACAGGCGGGCTCCCGCAGGGACAGGCGGGCTCCCCCAGGGACAGGCGGGCTCCCCCAGGGACAGGCGGGCTCCCCCAGGGACAGGCGGGCTCCCCCAGGGACAGGCGGGCTCCCGCAGGGACAGGCGGGCTCCCCCAGGGACAGGCGGGCTCCTCCAGGGACAGGCTCCCGCAGGGACAGGCGGGCTCCCCCAGGGACAGGCGGGCTCCCCCAGGGACAGGCGGGCTCCCCCAGGGACAGGCTCCCCCAGGGACAGGCGGGCTCCCCCAGGAACAGGCGGGCTCCCGCAAGAACAGGCGGGCTCCCGCAGGGACAGGCGGGCTCCCGCAGGGACAGGTGGGCTCCCCCAGGGACAGGCGGGCTCCCGCAGGAACAGGCTCCCCCAGGGGCGGGTTCACCCGGGGGCGGGCCTATGTGGCCAGCTCCCTGCGCCTCCTTCAGAAAGGCCAGCCTTGCTGCAACCCCAGTTGCACGCCAGGCCGAGGGAACCAGGCAGGGTCAGGACTTCCCGAGGCACCAGGCCACCCAAGGCGACAGCCGAGCTGGCCCGACTGTGTCCCCGAACCCGCCAGGACTGGCCGCACTCACCAGCGGGGGGATGCGCGTGTAGCTGTTGACGAGGGGCAGGCGGGCCAGGCTGACCACGATGCTCCGGAGCACCGGCGTGAGGAAGGCGGGCGTGCTGCTGCTCCGCTCATGCCCCAAGGCCAGCACAGACGGCAGGGCCTCCACCAGCTCGGCCACCGCCCTGCAGGCCGCTGGGACGCACTCGGGGCCTGAACCAACACCGCGGGTAAGAGGATGGGCCCCCAACCTCCTGACCTCCCTGCCTCCCGGGGAGAAGGCATGCCCCACCCCAGAAAGGGGGCACCCCCAGACCTCTGGCTGGTCCCTGAGGACCTACAGACTGCAGCTCGGGCTCAGCTACCCTGTGCCAGCCTGGTCTCCTGTCTCGGGCCCTGCCCCGCACCACCCGCCCCACACTGCCGGCCACTGCTGGCGGCATCCGGCCTGACCCCAGTGCAGGACTCGAATGGCCTGGGCCCTGGAGGCAGGTGACAAGGAGCCCCTCCGTCCAGAAGCCCTCCCCCGCCCGGCCTCGCACCACGCTCAGGAGAAAGCGCGTGAAGAGCCGAAGTGTGTGCCCGAGTGTAGAACAGGGCTAAGTGATGGGATGTGGCCTTCCTGTTTCTGTAGGAAGAGCAGGAGTTTTCATTTAAAAATCCAGCAAGATGGATGGCTGATGGACACTCAGGCTAGCTAACGTTCTGGAGGGTAGTTCCACTAGCTGCAAGTTCTTTGGTGTTTGTACTCATTCACCCATCACTCTACACACATCCCATGGTCAAGTACAAGTGAGAACACACAGAGAAACACACTCCCTGCCCACACGGGGCCAGAGTCTGAGGTGAGAGACATAAGTGCACAGAGAACAGAGCCAGGATGGAGGGTGGGTGGAGGAGAGGACGGAGGGAGGCTGGAAGAGGGGAGGAAGGGAAGATGGAGGGGAAGAAGGGTGGGGGGGGACACACCGGCCAGGGCCCAAACGGCCTTTCCATGTTGGGATGAGCAATGGGACCAGCTACGTTCACCTTCAAGGGCCCACGTTTGCCACTTTAATGTCTTTTGTTAATGACTTCCAAGCCCCAAATACGGCCTGACACTTACTCTGTGTGAGTGAGAGCCCGCCATCCGCCCGGGCGGCCTTCCCGGAGTCTGTCCTCCTTTCCAGGCTGAGAAGCTGGTCCCCGGGCTGCACCACAACTGCATCAGGAAAGGACACGCGGGAGGATTGCCAACACCCTTCCCACCCCTTCATTCATGCGTCTGTCATGCAGCTCTCAACACGCAGTGACAGACGATGCCCACAAGGTCTAGACATCCCGGAATCGATGCGGACCGTTCCAGGCAACACCAGACCTCAGTACCAACGTCCTGGCCAACCTGCAGCGCAGGCAGACAGGCTCCTGGGCCCCGACCCCCCATTTCTGCTGCTGCCCCCCCACCCCCGGAGGTCTCCTGGGGCGCCCAGGGTTCACTGCTGCCAGAGGCACTGAGGCCCCGGGGGCCTGGCTTAAACACTGCTCCCTGGACCTTCCTTTCCAAGCTGACTACAAATGCACAGATGAAAACAATTTAAGCAATGAAACTTCAAAACGCACTCTATAATGTTCAATTTAAAAACACAAAGCTTCAAACACCCTCCCACATGTAAAGCCAGAGCGCCCCATTTGTTAAAGACCCTGGCTAGCCACCCTCGCTGAGGACACGTCCCTGGGAAAGAATAACTCATTGTCACTGACAGCCGCTGGCCCATGCAGCACAGAGCTGGCATTCCGTCCCAGGCAGCTGGGCCACCGCCGCCGCTGAGGCCTGAAGGTGGGCCGTCAGCGGGGCCAGTCACCAGAGACGGGGAGGTACAAGCGTTTCTGCAGGAGCTGGGGCTCCGAGGCCTAACCCAGTGACCAGAGAGCAAGTTCACGTCACGTCCTGTGAAGACCAAGCAAGACCCGTTTACCACCTCCACACCCTCTTCCTAACGCAGGCGCACAAACCAATGCCTGTGAGACTGGGGAGCTGATGACCTGTTCCGTGTCCACGGACAGCCCGTGGAGCGACACTCACTGGCTTCCAGGATGAGGCGGACGCAGTGGACGAGGGAGCAGGCGCGGGTCACCATCTCGGGGGAGGCCAGCAGGCGCCGCAGGCCGGGCAGCTGCAGGGCCAGGCAGCAGCAGTCCAGGCCCGCCTGCAGGTCCACACTCAGCGGGATCTGCTCGTGGATCAGGTGCCAGGCCAGCGCCTGCGGGGAGGCCCACGTCAGCGCGGACCGTCCCTCCTGTTGCAGTGTCGGGGAGCAGGCAGCTCCTGGGGCCAAGGAACCGTCGAGGCCCAGAGGCCAGCGGGACCCCACAGCCCTCCCTCCCAGAGGGTGGGCCGCATTCCCACTCCCGGTCAGTCCTGGCAGCGGCTCCCACCATGCCCGCTCCCCTCGGCCGGGACCCGCCGGACCTGCTGCCTCTCCCGCCAGCACGGCGGGCTCCCCTCGGAAGCCTTCCCCACCCGCCGGGCCAGGCCTTCCCCACACAGCGCTGGCCTCGCCGCCTGGCGGCCAAGGGGACTGATCTGAGGGCCCGCGCTCCAGAGAGCTTCAAGCGCCGGAGCGGCCACGTCCTCGCTGGGGACCTCTAGCCCTGCGCCCTGTCACGTGACAGCGCCTTCCTCTGCTCCGAGCGCCTCTCACCTCCAGGGTCATGACCACAAACTTCACGGTGTCCCTCTCCTTCTCCGGGGGAAGGTGCAGGTGGCCGGGCAGCTTGGGGAACAGCAGCAGGTACTGGGCCAGGGCGCGGGCCAGCGTGGTCAGGGAGCCGTACACCCCGGCATCCCCTGAAACAGAGGCTTCGTGGGGGACGGAAAGCGCACAAGCTGCCGCAGAGAGGCAGGCAGGCAGGCCGGCCGCTGCGGAGGCGTGGCTCCTCGGCAGCACTGCCGGGCCCTCCCGCCTGTGTGAGCCCCGGGGCTGCATCCCGGCCGCCGCAGTGCCTCCAGGGCTCAGGCCAGCACCGGGCCAACGACCAGCAGAGGGGCCCACTCGTCAGAAGACGTGCGGGGCTGGCGACCCGGTGCCGTCCCAGTCACTCCTGTCAATGCTTCGGCTGGAGCAGCAGCACTTGCCGCGTGTTTACTCTGCAAAGCAGGTCCCAGCGCGCAGCGCTTTAAAAAGTAAGACACGTTAGCCCTGGCCAGTGCGGCCTGGCTGCTTGGGTGTCATCACGTGCACCGAAAGGTTGCTGGTTCGATTCCCGTCGGGGCACGGCCTGGGCTGCAGGCTCGATCCCCCGTTGTGGATCATGCCAGAGGCAGCTGATTAATGACTCGATTTCACACAGATGTTTCTCTCTCTCTCCCTAAAAACCAAGTTTAAAACTCAAATAAATAAATTAAAGAGACACTTTTACTTTAATTACCAAACAGATTGCTCAACTGGCTCCAGTAAGAGGTGGGCTCCGCGGGCAGGGAGGGCGGGAACACCTGGTGGGCGGCGGGCAGCGGCTGCACCGCGCTGGCCACCCGGTCCAGCGTTGCCTCGCGCGCGGCTTCAAAGAGGGCGCTCTTCCGGCCTCCGGCAATTTCCTGCACGCCCAGGCCCAGGCACGGGGCTAGCAGGCTGACGTTGAACTCCTGCATTAGGGCATTGAAGGTCCAACAATTACAAGCGTTAATCAGGCAGGGACAGCAGGAAGAGGACAATGAGAAAGTGCCCGAGGTACACAGATTAGCAGCTGTAAAAACGCTATGAATATGCTGCATCTGTTACAAACAAGCCCTTCCACCTCTGCTCAGTGACCTACATGTCTGGTCTCTCTGGGGCGGTTTAATTTTAAAGAAGTATTTTCATTTATCACGCCTGCAGGTTTATTTGATAGAAGTTGCAGGTTTATTTGAAGTCAGAGTGCAGTATGGTGGGACTTTTACGACAGAGATACAAATCGAATTGCTGTGCCATCCAGACCAAGGAAGCACTTTAGCACACCCAAAGTCTGAAAAGGTGGGTTATGTCCAAAAACAGCTGAAATAAAATCAACATACCATATAAATGCCACAATTTTGGTTGGGAAAAAAGCATTTCATGTGGCGTTGCAATTTGTATTTTTTTTTTAATTTTTCTGGGGCGCGAAGCGGGGCTGGGCGCGCGCCGCGACAATTTGTATTATTTTGCCAATCTTTAAAAATCACATAAGGGTTTCTTTGGGCAATTTCCAGGTAGAATGCCAATCTTCAGTTAATATTCAGAAACGCCTATGTCACCATCAGTAACCCGAACCAAGCCTGTCTTTTACAGCCAGGACCTTTAAAGCTGTGAAAGTCCAATGACTAATTTAAAAAGTCCCACCAATTGGTCATTAAGCAAACAGGACATTCAGCAGCCAGCCTTCACAGAACAGGTCTCAGGACGGCTTCCGCCAGCTGACTAGCCCGGCTCCTGCATGTGCCAAAGCAGCTTCGTCACAAAGCGCCTGGAGATGGACTTTGGGGACACTCCTCACTCACACCGTCAGCCTCTGCCGCCCGCCCGGGCCCCTGCTGACGGGGCGGGAGCACTGTCCTGGGTGCCTGGACTCGAGGCCTGGCCACGAGGCAGACGTGAGAGCACACGGCCTGGGGCTGCCGGGACCGGCGAGGGGGCATCGGAGCCACAGGGCAGGGACTCGCACGTACCGGATGCCGCAGGAACGCGCTCATGTCACCTGGTGGGAGCCCATTCACCAGCTCCGCCCCTTCCAGCAGCGCCGAGTCAGACCTCGTCCAGCACTGGGACTTGACCAGGCGCACGTACCAGTCCTGGGGAAACACAGGGCGGTCACTCCTGCAGGGGGAAGAGCTTCTGGGCTTCCACTCTGCTGGGAACAGGCTCTTCCCCTGCCCAGACCAGAGGGCAGTGGCCGCGGGCTGTTGGCTGCGGTTCTGTAACAGGGACCCTGAATGGGTAGGCAGACGGCTCCCAACCGGAGGCTGCTCTGAAGGCACGCGCTGAACTTATCCAGACACCCATGCCTTCCCCTCGCCCGGCGAACGGCCACTGTCCTTCAAACTCGGTGACAGCACTGGGGGTCGCAGGCCCCGTGCCTCAGCCTCGCCGTTTGGCCTCGTACCATCTCCCACTGGGGAGGCAGCTTTGCACCCCTCCCCGCCGGGCCAGCACAGCAGACACGCTCAGCCCATCGCACCTGAGCACAGCGGTCGCTGTCCTGTGATGCCCGGGCTGGTCTGTAAATCCAGCTCACACCTACACGGAAATCCCCAGGAAAGCAGAGCGCCAAGGCCCCAAGCTGGTCTGAGGTCTGAGGAGTGCGTGGAGCAGTGAGGGTGGGGCACGAGGCCCTGGGCAGTGGGCTCCACGGGCAGGAGGCCAGCACACTAAGGAGAGGGGGCGGCCAGTGGGCCTGCAGTGGAAGGCCTGTGCAGGCGTGTGGATGCAACCCCCCAACACCCCACCAGGAGAACCCCACGTCAGCGCTTCCTTTCTCACCCCAGCCCTGCTGGTGGGCTGGACCTCGGGCAGCGTGGCCATGACGGCCCTGTGCAGGGCTGGCAGACGGGGCAGGCCGGGGGCTGCTGGGAGCCCTCCGGCCCGAACCAGCACTGCACACTCAGTGCCGCCTGGGCCACGCGTCACACACACGTGGACACTCACCTTGTCTGGGATCACTGTCTCGAGCGCCAGGGACCCCACCCCATCAAGCGGGTGGGATGTGGCCGGAGGACAGGGGCCTCGGGAGCCCGGGGCGGTGGCAAGGCGCAGCCGGTCCAGCAGGGAGTAGAGCCTTTGGTGTCTGGAACCAAGCACACGTGGGTTAGACACCCGCCATGGAGGAAGCAGCAGAGCCGCTTAAAGCCGCGTGCCCGTGACCCACACTAGCTTCAGACTGATCCTGACCAACACTCGACCAGTCGTGGTGCCAAGCCAGACCTGTTTCCTTTCCAGGACCGCAGCCCCACCCGCCATGATTCCCACACCTCATTCACACCACACTCCTTTCCCACCACCTATTCACACTCACACTCCTTCCTCTCTGCCCCATTCACACCCACACTCCTTCCTCTCCGCCCCATTCACACCCACACTCCTTCCTCTCCGCCCCATTCACACCCACACTCCTTCCCTGCCGCCCCATTCACACCCACACTCCTTCCTCTCCGCCCCATTCACACCCACACTCCTTCCTCTCCATCCCATTCACTCCCACACTCCTTCCTCTCCGCCTCATTCAAACCAACACTCCTTTCCCACCACCTCACACCACACTCCTTCCCGCCACCTCACACCACACTCCTTCCCGCCACCTCACTCACACAGGAAGAGGAAGCTGCCGCCATGCTTGGCAGCCACGAGGAGCCCATTGGTAAAGAGATGCCCTAACTCCCGGCGGAGGCTCCACAACTTGGCAAGCAAGTGAGGAGGCCCACAGCTCACAGGAGGGAAGACGGATCAAGGCGCAGCCCAGGGCTGGCTCAGGCCGCTCTGATCGGAAGTGCTCCCAGCCATCAGAGGAGGTGCTGTGACCTGTGCGACAGCTGGGAGTGCAGCTCCCTCAGCTGCCAACAGGGGAGTCCCCCCCCCCCCCTCCGCAGTGCAGCAGAGCATCCTGCCCGCCTTCCTGACTGCTGCACGGCGAGGCCCGTGCCTGAGGCAGGCGGATCCCCACCAGGCCCTGCACAGTCCCCGGGAAGCACACCTCTCGTCCGTCCTCACGATCTAAGCCTCAGCCCCAGGAGGGCCCGGCTCTGGCCTACCTGTGTGCGAGCCCACGGCTCTGAAGGTGCTCCTGGATCCGGATCAGCTCTTCCACCGGCAGCTGCGCCACGCTGCTCTGGAGACAGGACACGTCAGATGGCGCCAAGCGAGCCCACACTCATCACACAGAAGACATGCTGAGCCCGCCCTCACACACACAGAGGACACACTGAGTCCGCCCTCACACAGAGGACACGCTGAGTCTGCCCTCACACACACAGAGGACACGCTGAGTCTGCCCTCACACAGAGGACACGCTGAGCCCTCACTCACACAGAGGACACGCTGAGTCAGCCCTCACTCACACAGAGGACACGCTGAGTCCGCCCTCACTCACACAGAGGACACGCTGAGTCCGCCCTCACTCACACACAGGACACGCTGAGTCCGCCCTCACTCACACAGAGGACACGCTGAGCCCTCACTCACACAGAGGACACGCTGAGCCCTCACTCACACAGAGGACACGCTGAGCCCTCACTCACACAGAGGACACGCTGAGTCCGCCCTCACACAGAGGACATGCTGAGTCCGCCCTCACACAGAGGACACGCTGAGTCCGCCCTCACACAGAGGACACGCTGAGCCCTCACTCACACAGAGGACACGCTGAGTCCGCCCTCACTCACACAGAGGACACGCTGAGTCCGCCCTCACTCACACAGAGGACACGCTGAGCCCTCACTCACACAGAGGACACGCTGAGCCCTCACTCACACAGAGGACACGCTGAGCCCTCACTCACACAGAGGACAGGCTGAGCCCTCACTCACACAGAGGACAGGCTGAGCCCTCACTCACACAGAGGACACGCTGAGCCCTCACTCACACAGAGGACACGCTGAGTCCGCCCTCACTCACACAGAGGACACACTGAGCCCTCACTCACACAGAGGACACGCTGAGCCCGCCCTACTCACACAGAGGACACGCTGAGTCCGCCCTCACTCACACAGAGGACACACTGAGCCCTCACTCACACAGAGGACATGCTGAGTCCGCCCTCACTCACACAGAGGACACGCTGAGGCCCCCGCCCTCACTCACACAGAGGACACGCTGAGTCCGCCCTCACTCACACAGAGGACACGCTGAGTCCGCCCTCACTCACACACAGGACACGCTGAGCCCTCACTCACACAGAGGACACGCTGAGTCCGCCCTCACTCACACAGAGGACACGCTGAGTCCGCCCTCACTCACACAGAGGACACGCTGAGCCCTCACTCACACAGAGGACACGCTGAGTCCGCCCTCACTCACACAGAGGACACGCTGAGTCCGCCCTCACTCACACACAGGACACGCTGAGCCCTCACTCACACAGAGGACACGCTGAGTCCGCCCTCACTCACACAGAGGACACGCTGAGTCCGCCCTCACTCACACAGAGGACACGCTGAGTCCGCCCTCCCTCACACAGAGGACACGCTGAGTCCGCCCTCACTCACACAGAGGACACGCTGAGTCCGCCCTCACTCACACAGAGGACACGCTGAGTCCGCCCTCACTCACACAGAGGACACGCTGAGTCCGCCCTCACTCACACAGAGGACACGCTGAGCCCGCCCTCACTCACACAGAGGACACGCTGAGCCCGCCCTCACTCACACAGAGGACACGCTGAGCCCGCCCTCACTCACACAGAGGACACGCTGAGTCCGCCCTCACTCACACAGAGGACACGCTGAGCCCTCACTCACACAGAGGACACGCTGAGCCCTCACTCACACAGAGGACACGCTGAGTCCGCCCTCACTCACACAGAGGACACGCTGAGCCCTCACTCACACAGAGGACACGCTGAGCCCGCCCTCACTCACACAGAGGACACGCTGAGTCCGCCCTCACTCACACAGAGGACACGCTGAGCCCTCACTCACACAGAGGACACGCTGAGCCCTCACTCACACAGAGGACACGCTGAGTCCGCCCTCACTCACACAGAGGACACGCTGAGCCCTCACTCACACAGAGGACACGCTGAGTCCGCCCTCACTCACACAGAGGACATGCTGAGGCCCCCGCCCTCACTCACACAGAGGACACGCTGAGCCCGCCCTCACTCACACAGAGGACACGCTGAGTCCGCCCTCACTCACACAGAGGACACGCTGAGCCCTCACTCACACAGAGGACACGCTGAGTCCGCCCTCACTCACACAGAGGACACGCTGAATCCTCACTCACACAGAGGACACGCTGAGTCCGCCCTCACTCACACAGAGGACACGCTGAGTCCGCCCTCACTCACACAGAGGACACGCTGAGTCCGCCCTCACTCACACAGAGGACACGCTGAGCCCTCACTCACACAGAGGACACGCTGAGTCCGCCCTCACTCACACACAGGACACGCTGAGCCTGCCCTCACTCACACAGAGGACACGCTGAGTCCGCCCTCACTCACACAGAGGACATGCTGAGCCCGCCCTCACTCACACAGAGGACACGCTGAGCCCTCACTCACACAGAGGACACGCTGAGCCAATGCCCTCACTCACACAGAGGACACGCTGAGTCCGCCCTCACTCACACAGAGGACACGCTGAGTCAGCCCTCACTCACACAGAGGACACGCTGAGTCCGCCCTCACTCACACAGAGGACATGCTGAGGCCCCCGCCCTCACTCATACAGAGGACACGCTGAGCCCGCCCTCACTCACACAGAGGACACGCTGAGTCCGCCCTCACTCACACAGAGGACACGCTGAGCCCTCACTCACACAGAGGACACGCTGAGTCCGCCCTCACTCACACAGAGGACACGCTGAATCCTCACTCACACAGAGGACACGCTGAGTCCGCCCTCACTCACACAGAGGACACGCTGAGTCCGCCCTCACTCACACAGAGGACACGCTGAGTCCGCCCTCACTCACACAGAGGACACGCTGAGCCCTCACTCACACAGAGGACACGCTGAGTCCGCCCTCACTCACACACAGGACACGCTGAGCCCGCCCTCACTCACACAGAGGACACGCTGAGTCCGCCCTCACTCACACAGAGGACATGCTGAGTCCGCCCTCACTCACACAGAGGACACGCTGAGCCCTCACTCACACAGAGGACACGCTGAGTCCGCCCTCACTCACACAGAGGACACGCTGAATCCTCACTCACACAGAGGACACGCTGAGTCCGCCCTCACTCACACAGAGGACACGCTGAGTCCGCCCTCACTCACACAGAGGACACGCTGAGTCCGCCCTCACTCACACAGAGGACACGCTGAGCCCTCACTCACACAGAGGACACGCTGAGTCCGCCCTCACTCACACACAGGACACGCTGAGCCCGCCCTCACTCACACAGAGGACACGCTGAGTCCGCCCTCACTCACACAGAGGACATGCTGAGCCCGCCCTCACTCACACAGAGGACACGCTGAGCCCTCACTCACACAGAGGACACGCTGAGCCAATGCCCTCACTCACACAGAGGACACACTGAGTCCGCCCTCACTCACACAGAGGACACGCTGAGTCAGCCCTCACTCACACAGAGGACACGCTGAGTCCGCCCTCACTCACACAGAGGACATGCTGAGGCCCCCGCCCTCACTCACACAGAGGACACGCTGAGCCCGCCCTCACTCACACAGAGGACACGCTGAGTCCGCCCTCACTCACACAGAGGACACGCTGAGCCCTCACTCACACAGAGGACACGCTGAATCCTCACTCACACAGAGGACACGCTGAGTCCGCCCTCACTCACACAGAGGACACGCTGAATCCTCACTCACACAGAGGACACGCTGAGTCCGCCCTCACTCACACAGAGGACACGCTGAGTCCGCCCTCACTCACACAGAGGACACGCTGAGCCCTCACTCACACAGAGGACACGCTGAGTCCGCCCTCACTCACACACAGGACACGCTGAGCCCGCCCTCACTCACACAGAGGACACGCTGAGTCCGCCCTCACTCACACAGAGGACATGCTGAGTCCGCCCTCACTCACACAGAGGACACGCTGAGCCCTCACTCACACAGAGGACACGCTGAGCCAATGCCCTCACTCACAGAGGACACGCTGAGTCCGCCCTCACTCACACAGAGGACACGCTGAGCCCGTCCCCTCGCTCACACAGAGGACACGCTGAGCCAGTGTCCATGCTCACAAGAGGGCACGCACGGTGCATCTGACAGAGCAAGGACAGACTAGGAGAAGGGATAAGACGCACCCATGCCGTATCAGACAAACGAGTACAACCACTCACACAGGCACAGGGCCGTGGCTTCTGCCAGGCCACGTGGAGAACGTGCTGTGGAGAAAACACGGCCGACGGGCCCACTTGTTGGGTTTCCCGGAAGACACGCATGGGCTCAGTACCTGTAAGTTTGCAGCCAGCAGCATCTCCACGCGGCGACACGCGAGGGTGTCGACCATGCGAGCCAGCACGCGGAACGGGGTGCACAGCAGCTTGTCCACGTACAGCGTCAGCACGGCCCCCGACTGGCTCAGGTGGATGCCCTCCAGGCACTGCAGGGTCTTCCTCAGAGTGGTGGGCTGCGGGGAGAGGGAAGGCGGCAGTAACGCCGTCACCGACAGCGACAGGCCGCTGGCACTGCCCCAGAGGCGGGACTTACGGCCGAGAGGTTCTCGCCGCGGGACTGGATGGCCTGCAGGAAGAGGCCGCTGGCGGCGGCGCTGCGGTGCACGGCGCTGACGAAGTCCTGCACGGGCGGCTCGTGCGACAGGCTGATCAGGTCCTGGACGTGGTTCACGACGAGCCAGGTCAGGTGCTCGGAGTCGTGCAGGTTCTGGCACTGCGGAGAGAGCCAGTGCTCGTCCCAGGCCGGAGGCGGCCGGAGCCACAGGCAGGCCAGCGTGCGGTCCTGCCCACCAGTGACGGACAGGGAGGAGCTCGCCTTAGAGAGCCTGTCCCCCCACGCACACGCTGCGCCGAGACCGCTCCGGTGAGACCCCCAGTGCTGGAGGAGGAGCGTGTGGGCCGGGGGCATCAGCGGCAGAAGTGGTGAGCGCTGCCCTCAGGGCCTGCCCAGAGCCGGACGCCATCCACACCCACCCGCTCCCCAGGCCTCAGGCTTTCTCCCTTCCGTAAGGTCAGTGGGGAGAGGACTCCCTGCCACCGTCAGTTTCGGTAGAATTCCTGAGTCCAAACTACGAACGGACCCTGAAAGGGTCGTTGTGGATCACCGGAGGCCCGGTGGACATTGGTGCACTGGGGATGGGATGCGGTGGGTGGAGGTTTCCCTCAGCCTGGCCTGTGCCCTTTCCGGAGACTGGGAGCTGCAGTGGGACATCCTCAGCTGCAGCGGAGGCGAGTCACTGACCGCCAGCCGTCAGCCCGGCCTGTGGCTGAGCGGGGCTCCCCGTGGGAGCACACTGACCACAGGGGACAGCTCCTGGGTGAGTGTCGCCCCTGGTGGTTAGTGTACGTCACAGCGAGTGGTTGAGCGGCCTTAGCATCCATTAGCATATTACACTTCGATTGGTTCAAACAGAACCCTATTTCAAAGGCAGCAATGAACATCCAGCACCTGCTCTACAGCCCAACACCCCAACTGGACGCAGCAGCCGACAAGCGGTGCCGAGTGACCCCCCACAGACACGTGTGGAAGCTCGTGACCAGCGGCCAAGCCTGGCTTCCCTGCTGTCAGCAGGACTGCACGTTAAGCGGGACTTGGGCCGGCCGGCGGCAGGCAGGCAGCAGAGCGCCATTGGCCATGTTCTCCGTCCCCGCCCCCTCGCGCGTCCACACTTACAACGTAATCACAGAAGAGGATGAGCGCGCCTCGCCGGACGATTTCTCTGTTGCACATCCCCAGCTGGGACGCCGGCTGGGAGTCCTCCTCTCCTGGCACCTGGGGACTGAGTGACTTCGTGGTGGACAGACTGCGCCGTCTGGAAGGAGTGACAGGTACACTGACAGGCTTCCGGCCGCAGCGCTCGCTGTCCAGCACTGCAGTGGAGGCCTGGTCCTGTCCTGAAGCAGGACTGGGAGCTGCCACAGGGGTGATGGGCAAGACAGGCTCCTGGGTGCCCCTGAGCCACAGTGAGGCACCGATAGGAACCGGCGAGGACTCGCAGGCAGAGAACAGCAGTGCCGACGGCAAGCTCCCTGATCCCAGCTTGCTGGCTGCGGCCCCGGCTCCGTCCACGAGGCTGCCCACGCAAGACCTCAAGTCCCTACTCCCACCCAGTGCCAGGCGGCACACAGCCCTAGGGTGCCCCAGAGCCTGTGCCCACAGAAACCTCCTCAGAGCCAGAGGTGGCGGGGCCACAGCAGCGTCCCTAAGGAGCCGCAGGAAGGCCCCGGGGCTCTGTGCGAGCTGAGTCAGGCCTCCGCACAGGAGGCAGCACACAAAGCACTCCCGGCTACGGGCGACCACGTGCCACGGGAAAAGGAAATCTCAGAGCACGTCACAAAGCCTGTAAGGTGTGTGTGACGCTTACTTACTAAAAACACAACATGTGGCAAATGAAAGACCCAAACAAATGGGCAGGCCATGTCCAAAGACCAAACGACTCAGGATGGTGGAGATGGCAATTCCCCCAAGTTCACCCCAGTCACTGCGGTCCCAGTCCGCCCCGCCGAGAGCCGGGCCCTAAGGCACAGGCGCAGGAACGCAGAGGCAGCAGGAGAGCCAAGGCCGTCCAAGAGGAAGAGCAGGCCTCCCGGGCGGGGCTGCCGGGGACAGACGGACATGGAGTCAGGAGAGGAAGCCAGGCACATGCCCAGCTGACGCCTGACAAGAGCGCCAGGTAACGAAACACAGAGAGGACGCGTTTCTAACAAAAATGCTGAAGGTGATCTGTGAGGAGAAACACGACTCTGCAGCCTTCCATTAGATCGTCTGCAAACTTCACTCACAGAGGTACAGAACGCTAAGGCTGTGCGAGTCCCAGAGCCACGGAAGCAGACCTCACGATCGCGGGCCGCAGAGCTGCTCCCGCTCCCGTGGCGTTCACAGGGCACAGAGCGTGTTCAGCGCCTGCGCGGGCGGCCAAGTGGCCCCGGACGCACACGGCTGGTCTCCCCCGCCCCTCGCCTGCAGCCTCCTCCTGCAGCGCGTGCTCCCCGCTGTGCGCCCACAGCTTCCAGAAACACCGCCCTGAGGACTCCGCGGGGGGCAGGAACGTCAAAGCTTTTGTCTCCGCGTGAGTACAAATCAAATGTCTGAGTGAGGGGGGCCTAGAAGTTATGCTTACCCCGGAAAAGTCCCTGAAGACAGGGCCACCCACGATCAGGTGGCCAGCAAGTTCTTACAGAACGAGCCACAGGGCCTCCCAAAGGCCCTGACGCTCCCACACAATCACTCCAGGCCTCAGCAGCCCAGAGCATCTGACTGAGAGTCAGGATGCTCTGGAGCCAATTTGAGGAGGACCTGGCAGGGGAGGCGGCGGCAGGAACGGCCCGCAGGACAGGCCCACCGCAGCGGCGCGGGCTCCGGCTCCCGGGGCCTGGAGTCAGACCACATGTTTCTCTACAATGGGGTCCGACAGGAAGATGGATGCACGCAGAACCCTCACAAAGGCCATGGCGACCGGCCAAGCCCAGCCTCGGCGGCTCCGCGGCGGGGCGGCAGGCGTACCTGGGGGTCTGCTGCACCTCGGCCCACCAGCCGTAGTCCGTGTGGCTGACGAGCAGCAGGATCTGGCACCAGAGCAGCACGAGGGCCGGGTGGGTGGGGACCATGGAGCGCACATGCGCGTTCAGGCTCTCCAGGCTGTAGAAGCTGCCGTCCGCGCCGTCGGCCGTGAAGAGCCTGGAGGCGGCTGTTGTGATTCTCCGGAACATTCCTAGGAACCACCAAAGCCACGCAGGTTAAAGGAAAACTGCTCTTCACTGAGGCCCGGCACTGCAGAGCCAGGAGGGTTTACGTCAGGATTTGTGCCCGGCTCTTTCCTGCACCCACTCCTGCCTGCCGCCCACTCCTGCTGAGCACCGAGAGGCGGCAACGACAGGCCACATGGCCACTGCCGGCGGCAGAGGGCGGATGGCGCTGCATCCTGGCTCGGCCTCTGCAGGCTGCTGAGAGCTGAGGGCCGGTGGACTCCAGGGCCACCAGGATGCTGGCTGGGCAGCTACACCCGTAGGGCAGACCCCATGGGACCCCACCCACCAGCTTCCCCGCAGCACCCTCCTCGCCTAGAGCCACCCCCAGGAATGACATCATTCTAGTGTCTAGTGCTCCCTTGGACCCTCAGCACGCCTCTCCCGCTGGCCTGGCTTTCCCCGTGGGCCTGCGCCCAGAGTGGCCGGGAGGGGACGCTCCCATGGGGGGGTTGGGGGGCACCCACCAGACTTGAAGATGTGGATCAGGCACATGAGCAGTGTGCCCAGCTCCTGGCAGTAGAAGGTGTGCTGCTGCTCGCTCATGTCCACCCGGAGCTGCTTGGTGACGATGTCCTCCAGGAGGATGCCCACCAGCTGCAGGAGAAACCTGCGGGAAAGGGGGCGGAGACGTGACAAAGGGGCATGACAGGGCATGGGTCTCCTGTCCCTGTGTGTAGAACACACAGGACACAGTGTGGAGAGCAGGTGTGAGGGAAGCAATGCAATGTGTAAGCCCACCCCCGGGGCGGAGTCCCTGCCTCCATGCACATCTCCCTCCTCCCTGGGGCTGGCAGCGGCCAGGAAGACAGCGTGGCCCGAGGCTGTGAGGAGGCTGACAGCGTGGCACAGGACCTCACGCATCCATCTCCGCAGCCTGCTCTGGCGACCCTGCACGCGGCAGGTGCCACACAGGCTCCGGGTGCCTCTCCACAGCCTGCACCACCGATGGCCACGGCAGCCGGTTAAGGACACTATGGCGGCCCCGGCAGGAAGGTACGCGCGGCAGAATCGCACCCACGCATGTCCTCCAAAGCTCACACCGCCATCCTGGACACACACCGCCATCCTGGACTCACACCGCCATCCTGGGCTCACACTGCCATCCTGGGCTCACACTGCCATCCTGGGCTCACACTGCCAGCACACACCGCCATCCTGGGCTCACACCGCCATCCTGGGCTCACACCGCCATCCTGGACACACACCGCCATCCTGGGCACACACTGCCACAAACACCGCCATCCTGGGCACACACCGCCATAAACACCGCCATCCTGGACACACACCGCCATCCTGGGCTCACACCGCCATCCTGGGCACACACCGCCATAAACACTGCCATCCTGGGCACACCACCGCCATCCTGGGCTCCACCACCGCCATCCTGGCTCACACCACCATCCTGGACTACACCGCCAACCACAGCCATCCTGGACACACACCGCCATCCTGGGCTCACACCGCCATCCTGGGCACACACCGCCATCCTGGGCTCACACCGCCATAAACACTGCCATCCTGGGGCAACACGCCATCCTGGGACACACAACACGCATCCTGCTCACACACCGCCATCCTGGGCTCACACGCCTCCCTGGGCTTCAAACAGAACAAACAACCGCCATCCTGGGCTCACCCCCGCCATACCTGGGCTCACACCGACATCTGCTGTACACACACCGCATCCCTTGCTCACCACCGCCATCCTGGGCACACACCACCACAAACACTGCCATCCTGGGCACACACCGCCACCAACACTGCCATCCTGGGCACACACCGCCATCCTGGACACCAACACTGCCATCTGGCACACACTGCCACAACAAAGACCGCAAGCACACACCGCCATCCTGGGCTCACACAGCCAACAAACACTGCATCATGGGCACACACCGCCACACACCGCCATCCTGGGCTCACACCGCCATCCTGGGCTCACACTGCCACAAAGACCGCCAGCACACACTGCCATCCTGGACTCACACCGCCATCCTGGGCTCACACCGCCATCCTGGGGACACACCGCCATCCTGGGCACACACTGCCACAAACACCGCCAGCACACACCGCCATCCTGGGCTTACACCGCCATAAACACTGCCATCCTGGGCACACACCGCCATCCTGGGCTCACACCGCCATCCTGGGCTCACACCGCCATCCTGGGCTCACACCGCCATCCTGGGCTCACACCGCCATCCTGGGCTCACACCACCATCACACACCGCCATCCTGGGCTCACACCGCCATCCTGGGGACACACCGCCATCCTGGGCTCACACCGCCATCCTGGGCTCACACCGCCATAAACACCGCCATCCTGGGCTCACACTGCCAGCACACACCGCCATCCTGGGCTCACACCGCCATCACACACCGCCATCCTGGGCTCACACCGCCATCCTGGGCTCACACCGCCATCACACACCGCCATCCTGGGCTCACACCGCCATCACACACCGCCATCCTGGGGACACACCGCCATCCTGGGGACACACCGCCATCCTGGGGACACACTGCCATCACACACCGCCATCCTGGGCTCACACTGCCATCACACACCGCCATCCTGGGCTCACACTGCCAGCACACACCGCCATCCTGGGCTCACACCGCCATCCTGGGCTCACACCGCCAGCACACACCGCCATCACACACCGCCATCCTGGGCTCACACCGCCAGCACACACCGCCATCCTGGGCTCACACCGCCATCACACACCGCCATCCTGGGGACACATCGCCATCCTGGGCTCACACTGCCAGCACACACCGCCATCCTGGGCTCACACTGCCAGCACACACTGCCATCCTGGGCTCACACTGCCAGCACACACCGCCATCCTGGGCTCACACTGCCAGCACACACCGCCATCCTGGGCTCACACTGCCAGCACACACCGCCATCCTGGGCTCACACCGCCAGCACACACCGCCATCCTGGGCTCACACTGCCAGCACACACCGCCATCCTGGGCTCACACTGCCAGCACACACCGCCATCCTGGGCTCACACCGCCATCCTGGGCTCACACCGCCATCCTGGGCTCACACGCCATCCTGGGGACACACCGACATCCTGGGCTCACACCGCCATCACACACCGCCATCCTGGGGACACACCGCCATCCTGGGCTCACACCGCCATCACACACCGCCATCCTGGGGACACACCGCCATCCTGGGCTCACACCGCCATCACACACCGCCATCCTGGGCTCACACCGCCAGCACAGTGTGTGCAGTGCCTGCGGTGGGACCGCCACCCAGGAGCCTCTGAACAACTGGGAGCAGACGTGACCCGACCCTCCGTCCGGGCCCGACCTGGAGGGGAGGAATCAGACCACTCCCAGGGGTCCTCCCGGACCGAGCTTCTGCAGCAGCGCCACCCAATCCCTGCACCCAGGGCGCCGCCCCTCCGCCCTCCCCCCGTGGCAGTGGGTGTCGCCGGGCAAGAAGGCACGGGCCGGATGGGACTGACCAGGAGAGGTGTGAACCGACGCCCCCGGCAGGCAGCTGAGGAAGACGAGGGTTAGTCCCGACTCTGATCGCCAACCACCACGTGACTCCGGAGGGAGGGACCAGGGAGGGTCGTTACGCAGCCTACCTAGCGAATGTCTCTTCCGGCAGCGTCTTCACCTGTCTGCCCGCACCGTGTGCCGCGGGTGCCGAGTCCCGGTCCCCGTCCCGGAGCCTCGCGATGACGGGACAGGAGAGCAGGTGCGGGGAGAAGGCCAGCTCTTGGATGCGGGAGAGGACGATGTCTTCGGTCGACTGGGAGATGAGGACCCGCAAGATGGCCAGGATTCCCGAGACCCAGAGCTGGACGGTGCTCACCGACGCCTGGGGGGAGGGACGAGCCGCTCAGGGGAGGACAGAGCAGCACGCTGATCTGGCCAACAGCCCCCGCACTACCATGCCGCCGGCCGCGCCCCGCTCGGAGGGCTGCCTCCGCCGCAGGGACAGTGAACGCCGGCCCGGGACCGCGAGCCCGGGCGCCGGGCAGCACTCACCATGGTGTCCGGGGTGACGAACATGCTCCGCAGAAGCATGTCCACGGGCCGCAGCGAGGACGGGGCCAGGATCTCAAACAGCGTGTTTAACACGCCGAGGGCTTCGTGCGAATCGATGTGCATCTGTGGCAAGCGAACAAGCGAAGGCGGACATGACACCCGGGGCCCGGCCCGGCGACCTGCCCCGCCAGCGCCCGCACGGGAGGAGCCAGTGCCCGCAGCCCACCCAGCAAACACGCCTCCGGACGCCGTGTCTCCGCTGCGTTTTCCCACAATGCAAATCTCTCCCTGCGGAGTTTCACTATTTAAACAATTATGTTTTCTTTAAAAGTCAAACACATAAAAGACCAAGGAAAAAAAAATCAGCTGGAACTGCACCCCAACACAATCAGCATCCCTGGGAGCCGCCCGGTGTACCTGTACCCCGTTTTCCTCAGTGGGACCAGCGCACACCCCTTCCTTCCCCTTTGCTTTCCCTGCACCCCACCCCACAGCGCCAACGAGGAACCAATGCCAACCGGCAGCTGCGCGGCCTCCTCCTTCCGCGGAGGCGGCTTCTCGTTAACTCGCCTGACAAACCAAATAACACCCTGCGTTCCCTTAAAGACACAGCGGCGGACTCCCAAGCAACAGGGTTTAAGTCCAACGTGCCAGCGGGCGCAAAGCTTTCTGGGCTACGTCCCAGCTTCAGGTGCAGCAGGCCCGGGCTGCTCCCAGCTCCTGTCGCCGTCGCCCATGTCCACACACCAATGACAGCTCTGGAGAGGTGGCCTTCCCAGCCGGTCTGAAGGCGTCCGCGCTGAGCCTCCTCCACCGCCAGGGGACAGGGAGCCCGCGCCCCCGCGCCTTGACGGGCATATGCCGCTGCTCGGGCACCAGTGTGGCAACTTCTGGGGTCCAGCATCGCCAATACCCTTCAGTGCCAGCCTTCCCCACCCACCCCTCCTCCTGGGGCAGCCGCCACGAGTACCCCTTCTTAGTGTAACCCCCTGCCACAGTGGGGCTCCACCTCCTCCTGGTCTGCCAAGCGCCGCCTGAGGCCCGGGCCCACGGGCTGGCCTCTCAGCAGCCAGGGCTGCCCCTGCCTCCCTGGCTTTAGGAGCCCAGGCCGCCTGCTTTCCTCGTCCCACACTGGCTGTCCCTGCCCCACGCCTTCGTCAGTGAGGAGGAGGAGGAGGCTGGCCATTGTGGGGGTTAGTGGGCCCGGGTCCCACACGGGACAGCCAGGACAAGAGCGGGAGCGGCTCGCTGAGGAGAGGGATGGAAGCTCCCGCCCCGGGACCCGCGCAGACACTGCTGTGGGCGACGGGCCCGAGCGTGAAGGAAGCCACGTCCCCTCCTCCCCTCCGCGCACACCTGCTGCTTGGCGAGCATCGGGAGCAGGATGTCGGCCACCTGCCGCGACAGCCGCTTCCACCGGTCCTCGCTCTCCTTGTGGCACTGCTGCAGGACCAGGATCAGCATCTCCAGCACCTGCGGGCGGGCCAGCGGGCGGTCACTCCTCCCCCCTCGCCTGTCAGGGACGGGGACACGCCAGGGCCAAGCCTCCTGACCCCACGCGGGCCTGACGAGCCGGGACCCGGCCCTGGGACCCGGGGCCAGGGGCAGCTCCTCAGGGCCCGCTGCGCCTCGCCGCATTTCCCGTGGAGCTCCGAGACTTCGTAACCGAGAAACGGCACCAGCCGGAATGACGCCAACCCAGCAGCCTGCGCCTCACGCCCTCGGGCCTGCCCTCAGCGGGTCCCCCCACAGGCATCGCCCATGGGGGCCCTGCCTCTCAGGTTCCGTGCCTGAGCCACTGGCCAGCGGCCATGTCTGCGCAGAGGCAGCTCAGGGCCTGGCCCCCAGGAGCACGCTGACCAGGGCTCTTGCCCAGAACTGCAGATGCAACAGATGCCTCGGCGGGGCCTATGAAGCTTAAGACCTTTCCCTGCTTGTTTACAAAAAACAGGAATGGAGCAGATGGAGAAGTGTGCCATCGGGTCTCTAAAATACAACTGCTATAAAAGAGAGGCACCACCCTGGCAGGTGTGGCTCAGTGGATAGAGCGTTGGTCTGCGGACTGAAGGGTCCCAGGTTCAATTCCGGCCAAGCGCATGTACCTTGGTTGAGGGCACATCCCCAAGGAGATGTGCAGGGGGCAGCTGACCCATGTTTCTCTCTCATTGATGTTTCTAGCTCTCTATCCCTCTCCCTTCCTCTCTGTAAAAATCAATAAAATATATTAAAGAAAAAAAGAGAGGCACCCATGTAAGCCCACCCCCTACAGAGCCTGACCCCCCCCGTCCCACCGGCCTCTCCCATCCAGGCCGCGGCTGTGGTCTCACTGCGCGAGAACACCTCAGCGGCCCCCCACCAAGACCAGCCCCCGTCTGTTCACTCGCAAGCCAGGCCGAGAACGGGGAGCCACTCCCGGCCCCCCAGCCCGTGTGCTGGCCGAGAGCGGGCGGCGCTCACAGCTCCGGGCGGGGTGCCCACTGCGGAGGCGATGGGACCTAACCAAACACCACACGCTAACTGTGACCGAGCTGGAGCCCCCGGAGAGCAGAGGAAGTGCTCCTGAGGAAGCTCCTGACTTCACAGGTCTGAGACACACCGCTGGGAGGAAGGACAGAGGGAGGCCAGGCCGCCGGACACGCTGAGAGAGGAGTCACAGAAAGCAGCTCTCTGCGCTCCACTGCCTCTAAGCACCCGAGGTTCCGTCCACCTTACGGACGGCAGAAACAGGACCAGCTTAGGGAGCACTCACATGGTCCTCCTGGGAAGAGAGGGCTCGGGGTACAGCCTTCTTGACGGATGTGCGGTCTGCCAGGGGGGCTTCCCCAAGGGGCGGCGCTGCTTCAGACAGCCCCACAGACCCTCCGGCCCCAGCCGGCCCAGAGCAACACCCGGTAACGGGCGGCGGCCCCGCGGCCCTGCGCCCTGCAGGACGACGGAGGGCCCCTTACCTGATGGTACTGGATGAGCCTCAGGAGCATGGACACCACCACCTCCTTCTGAGTCTCCAGCTCCTTCCCCGCGTCAGCCTTATTGGCCCCTCTCAGGACGAAGAGGTCGTGGACGATGGGCTGGAGTGCCGGGATGGCTGGGGGACAGAGCTTCTATGAGAAGCCGCGCCTCCCGACAGCAGGGAGCACAGAGCGCCCGCGGAGCTGGGCTGGCCACGCTCGTCACGAAGGACCAGTGTTTGTCAGGCCCGATCTACCGCGCAGCGATCTACCGCGTCTCCATTCTCACTTACGGAGACTCCAAGTCCTCAGAGTGAAGAAGGTGCCCCTCCACGTGCACAAGCACATGTGTGTGAACATATGCATGCACATGCACCCATGCGCACACACAGGCTGCAGAGCAGCGCAGGCGCACAGGGCACGCCGGGGGAGGGAGGGCTGCCGTTACCGTGGGTCACGGCCTTGCGGCCGCTCGCCATGATGCCGTCGCACAGCTGGATGATCTTGGGGATCCCGATGATCTGCTTTGAGTGGTAGCGCTCGTACGACAGGAGCACCAGGAAGAAGAAGATGTTGGGAATGATCGCCTCCGAGTCCCTGGAAACAAAACCTCCATCAGACACTTCCTCTCAGACCTGACTCACAGCATCACCGAAGCAAACAAATCCTCACGGGAAGCGAGAGCTCGCACACGAGGAGCCTCGCGGGCTCCTTCCGTCCAGCGGGCACGGTGCCTTCTGTCCGGGCGGAGCCCTGCACCCGGCTAGCGCACCCGGCAGCCCTGGGCGCCCAACACAGCCGGCTCCCCGGTTCCCTCAGCGCCTCGCTCTTTGGTCCAAGAAAGTGACCAGAAGGAAAAGGGACCCACTCAGTCACGGCGTCGGCCAGAATGAGAGCGGGTCTCTAGACCCGAGGCCTCTGACGGCCCCGGCACGGACCCCACTTTTCTTCTTTCTTTTTTTAACATATTTTATTGATGTTTTACAGAGAGGAAAGGAGAGGGATAGAGAGTTAGAAACATCGATGAGAGAGAATCATCGGCCAGCTGCCTCTTGCACACCCCCTACTGGGGATGTGCCTGCAACCAAGGTACATGCCCTGGACCGGAAGCGAACCCGGGACCTTTCAATCTGACGCTCTATCCACCGAGCCAAACCGGTTTCGGCCGGACCCCATTTTTTACTGAGCAACTCAGAAGCTAACGGATGGGAGCCCGATGGTTGCAGCAGCATCCTGTGCACAAAAACCTGTGGGTTCAAGTCCAGTCAAGGCACATCCTAGCTTGTGCGTTGAATTCCCTGTTGTGGTATGCACAGGAAGCAATCAATCAATGTTTCTCTCTCTCTGTCAAATCAATAAAAATGTATCCTCAGGTGAGGATTAAAAAAAACAAAGAATTTTAATTTTCAATAGTTATACACCCATAACTGCCAAGGAGGAAGCATTAACCCTTCCTCTGCAGTGATCAAGGCTATTACAGACATAACTGCATGGCAATTGCCTTGATAAAGCCAACCACATCTAAACAGCTGCCCTTTAAGATTAAGAGGTGGCGTTCAACAGGCCAGAATTCCTTTAGCAACTGATCATAATTAGATGCTTTCAAATGTGAAATGAAAACTGATGGCACCTGTAATTAACAGATGCCGAACAGCTTCTAAACTTGCCTTCAGATACCCATTCATTTTATTTTTAAAAATATATTTCCACCAATTCCAAAGAGAAAGGGAGAAGGAGAGATAGAAACATCAATGATGAGAATCACTTGATCGGCTGCCTCCTTGCATGCCCCCTACTGGGGATTGAGCCTGCAACCCAGGCATGTACCATGACGGGAATCAAACTGTGACCTCCTGGTACATAGGTCAATGCTCAACCAGTGAGCAATACTGGCCAGGTTTCATTAATTTTTAAGAGAAACAAAAATGCATATCATATTAGTCAGGTTTCCATTAAAAAAAAAAACCTAGCAAAATTCCTAACAATCCACCCTGACTGCTGTGGCTCAATTGGTTGAGCTTTGCCCCCCTCCCTCACCCCCCCATGACCAAAAAGTCTTGGGTTCAATTCCCAGTCAGGGCACATGCCTGGGTTGCGAGCTCAATCCCCAGAGTGGGGCATGCAGGAAGCAATTGATCCATGATTCTCTCATCATTGATGTTTCTATCTCTCCCCCTCTCCCTAAGAAAAAAATCAATGAAAACATTTTTTTAGCCGAAGCCGGTTTGGCTCAGTGGATAGAGCGTCGGCTTGCGGACTGAAAGGTCCTGGGTTCGATTCCGGTCAAGGGCATGTGCCTTGGTTGCGGGCACATCTCCAGTGGGGGTTGTGCAGGAGGCAGCAGATCGATGATTCTCTCTCATAGATGTTTCTAACTCTCTGTCCCTCTCTCTTCCTCTCTGTAAAAAATCAATAAAATATATTTAAAAAGAAAAGAAAAAAAAGCACTATCTTTAAAAAAAGAAAGAAAGAAAAAGAAAACATTTTTTAAAATGCCTCGTGATCCTTTAAAGTGCATTCATGTTAATATCTAAAATTACGTGCACTTACGTAACCAGAACAGAAGCAGAATTAAGCAGACTAAGAGGACGCCGTTACCTGAACTGGCCCACTTCGATGTACTCAAACTGCTTCAGCACGAACCCAATGAACACCTGCAGAGGAGAGAAACAGCACTGCCACACGGCACCGCGCCCGGCTCCTTCGCGCCCACTGCCCTGTGCAAGTGCTTTACAGGTTTCCTGACAGCGGATAAGCCGCAGTGCACAAGAGCGCAAACGTGTTTACTGCGTCAGACAGGAGTTTCAGACCCTTCCAGGGTCCCTATAGACGTTTCTGTTCACAGAGGAGGGACCTGTCAGGAGGACAAATAACGAACTCGGGGGACACCGGCAGCACCCGCCATACCGGGGCCTCCTCTCCAGCTCGAGGAGCCCCACGCGGGGCGTGCTGGTGCAGGACCGCCCAGGAGAGACGCCGCGTCAGCCCGTGTGGGAGCCATTCCCGGCACCGCCTGCTCACCCACCTGAGCCCAGAGCTGCCTCCCCACTGCATCCCCCGCCCTGTGACCCCGCACACAGCAGGCGCTCAATAAATGGGAACGGGGCTCAGTGGCCTGCAGCTCGCTTCCCACCCTTTCAGGAAACCTGCGTGGCACCGAGGGGTGAAAGCAAGAACCAACGTGCGGGGCTGCTTATGGCCAAGCCGGGGCGGGCGGAGCTGTGCGGTGAGGTGGGAGCGGCGGCCAGAGGAAGCGCAGGCTGACTAGGCTCAGCGCGCTGCCGGGAAGCAGGCCTGTCGATGCTCACGCGGCCCTCAGCGTTTGTGGACAGAGGCGGCTCAGAAGGAAGCAGCGTCTGCCGCCTTGAACAGGCTGTGGGAGAGCCTCTGGCAAAGGTGAACGGGGGCCCAGGGAGACCCCAACAGCCCAGACAGATGGGGAGACCCTGGGGCGAGGGCAGGAACAGCCGAGCTTGCGGCAGATGGCGGCGCCGTCTCTGCGGCCGCTTCACTGAGTCGCGAACAGTGCGGAGATGAGAGACCGAGTGACAAACCTGGTCTGAATCCAGAAGGCAGTAGTTGACCCGCAGCTGGACCAGCTGCGCCAGCAAGTCCAGGACCTGCCTCTGCAGCTGCACGGACGTGGTGGTCGTGTACTGCTTCAGCGCCTTGATGACCAGAGGCTCGAACAGCCGGATGTGGCTGTGAATGGCGTTCTGGGACAGGCAGGGCGCCATGAGCGCCTCCGGAAAGGCCCGGAGCACGGCGCCTGGCCCCTTCCCCGCGCTCTCGGCCGCCCCGCGTACGGACCTTGTCTGCCCGGGTCTTTGTGACGCTCGAGAGGTTTGTCTTCAACTGGGTGGACACCTTCTGCAGCACGTCGAACCACCTGCCGGCGAGAGCGCCCTCACTACGCTGCGGGGCTCGGCTCCCCGCGGCCGGCTCGGGGGTCGGGCGCCCGTTTCCCAGAGGTCCCTGGACGGAGCAGCCCTTCGGGGACGCTGGCTCCTATCGCTATGTTCCTCACAGACCAGTGCCTGCTTGCTCTCCCGCGTCTCTCCCACGGCCGTTCCCAACTGCGTGCAGCGGGAGGGTTACCCCGGGGAGGGTTACCCTGAGGCGGCGAGGTCCGGCTCGGCCTGCACGGCGTTGCGCAGGCTGGCGTCGGCCAGGGCCTGAGTGAAGTGAGTGTAGGGAGCCATGAAGCAGCAGTGGTACAGGCCGGGCCTCAGGCTGGACGAGCCGAGGCGCTGGGCTCGGCCCTGGCACTTGCTGGGGTTGGAGGACAAGCCATCGCACTGGGCGGCCAGGTTTGTCCCAAAGAGAGTCTTCAGCAGCTGGAGAGAGAGGAGCCGTCAGCACACTGCCCCCAGCGTGGGCCCTCGCCCACGGGAAGCCATCGAGGTGACGGGGAGCGGGAGTGTGGGGGGTAGGCATGGGGCTCCCGCTGAGAACCCCTTTCACCTTCACCAACAACCCCGTGCTCTGAATTGTGGGGCTGAGAAGAGCCCGCCTCACCTGCTGGACGCAGACCGTGGCCATCGTGGGCTCCCGGCTGAAGCAGGACCTCAAGTAGCCCAGGATCTCCTCCACACACTGCGGGGGAAGCGGGCGCTCAGGAGGCGGGGACGCTCGCTCCTGGTATGCCTTGCCTGCGAGCCCTCACCACCGACTCCCAGCTCCAACGCCCGCCGCTCACTGGCCCCGCGCCCTCTGCTCACTGACCCCACCCGCCACTCACCGACCCCCGCCCGCCGCTCACTGACAACAGCCCACCAGCTCAGAGCCAAGCGCCGGGACAGAGCCGTGGGCACGGAGGCCTCCGGCTGCCGCCCCGCCCCAGGGGCCGGGCCCACACCAGCCCCCGGCACTGGGCCAGGCGCCGGCGTGTGGCAGCTGCGCTCACCTTCCCGATGTCCTGCAGCGTGGCCAGCTCCAGGATCTGCGAGAGCACGTCCAAGGCCGAGCGCAGAAAGCCCCCGAACTTCTCCGTGCTGTTCTGGAGGTCCAAGGTGACCTTGGGAGGGGAGAGACGATTACTGCACCGTCACGCCGGGGCGTCTCACGGGGGCGGCGCACACCCCGCAGCCGCACAGCCCGCTGGGGGTCCTGTCCATCTGTCTGTCTGGGGAAATGCCTGGGGCAGGAAATCACGCTCCAGTATCTGTAGGAGATCTGTTTTCTTTCAAAGGCGTCTTCCTACTTGTACTAACACTGCAAACAGAAATGGCTTCTAACCTTCTGCAAACGGGCACGACGGGACCACCGGTCATTGCCGGGCTGACCAGCAGCGTCCCCAACAGAGCGCACGTCCCCCCCGCGCTCACACCCCGCCCGCCAGCCTGGCGCCCGCACACGTGGGCCGGCTCAGGCAGCTCCGCCTCAGGCTCTAACGGCCTCGGCCTACACGATGCAGCCGCCCCCCATTTTCAGGCCGAAAGGACGGGGCAGGCCCCAAGGCATGATGGGCAAGAGTGAGGCCAAAGGTTAGAAATGGGCATGAGAACAGGAGCTGGCCAAGCCCTCCGACGTGCTGCGGCGCACAGAAAGCAGCTCAGCCGCATGAACTGACCGCCCCGGTGACAGAAGCCCGGTCGGGACACGGGGGATGGCCACGGAGCGGGAATGACAGTGGCCACTCTCCTGTCACCCTGCGGGTGTCACCCACAGGCCAGGAGGGACCGCCAGGTGAGCGAGCACTGGAGAGAGGGTCCGTGCAGCTCCGTCAGGGAGATGGTGGGAAGGGGCCCACCCCAGCAGGCGGGGGGCAGGGTCAGGGGGCAAGGGCGTGAAGACTGGAGGGCTGGAAGCTACCACTAGAGGCCGAGCCAACCTGGAACCACGAACTGGGCCTCACATCCCGTGTGCACACCCGCCACGAACCCCAAGACCTCAAGAACCAGGGAGCCCGGCCGTGGGGCTCAGTGACCGAGCGGTGACCCAGGAACCAGGAGGTCATGATCTGATGCCGTCAGGCAACGTGCCTGGGTTGTGGGCTCGATGCCCAGTAGGCGGCGTGCAGGAGGCAGCCTATCAACTATGTTTCTCTCTCAGGGATGTTTCTAGCTATCCCTCTCCCTTCCTTTCTCTCTCTAAAAAAAAAATCAACAAATACATATTTTTTTAAAACGTTATGTTACAGATCAGTGCGTCTCAGTAAAACTGAGACTGTTTTCTGTGCACCTCAAAAGAGGGTGAGCCCGCGGCACTGGGCGGGCGCTGGTCGGAGCCGCGTACCTTGTAGTTGGCGTGCGTGGCCTTCAGGACGTCGTGCAGCCGGAGGTAGGAGGGAAGGTGGTAGAAGCTCCCCAGCGACGAGGGTTTATTGGTCGTGACGGGCCCTGCAGCATCTGCCTGTCGGGAGGCTGAAACACACGCACACACACGCACACGCACACGCACACACGTTAGATGGACAGTGAGCCGCGCTAAGGCTAAGCTAAGGCAGGGCTGCAGTAGCATGTCAGAGCGTGCCAGAGGGAAAGGAGGCGAACTCGTTCCTGGCTCTCTCTGGCAGCCATGGGAATCGGCTGATGGACAGGGCGGAGTCGGACCTCCCGGGACACGGGGAAGACGAAGGGCAGTGACTGCTGCTAGCCTGCTGGCCGGTGGCCCGGCTGCAGGTAGGAGGCGGGACTGACCCCGCCTGCGCCCATCACACAGCTCAGAGCCCGCGCTGCCTGCAGGACGGTCCCAGCCGGTTTGGCGCCGGCCCTCACGGATGCGGTGTCATTCTCTCAATGCTGCGCCCTCCCTAAGCTGCTCAAGCTTCACAGACTGGGGGACCCTCCGCCGGTCCCTCAGCAGCCGGCCCGCGGGCTACGGTCGGTCTCCCGCCAGCTCCGGAAGCTCACACCAGGCTCTCCCAGCAGAGGGAGCAGAAGTCGGACTGGCGCCCACCCCGCCCGCTCTCCCCGGTGCCCCTTGAGCACAGAACGCGTGGCTGTGTCCGCCGAACCTGAGCCTCGCTGGGGGCAGCAGCCCTCCAGCGGCTGTGCACGCCCCAGTTCCTCGCGCTCAGACTGTGTCCCCTTAGTCTCCTGCGGGCACTCCCCACTGTAAGGTCCCGCTTCCCACTCAGAACGCCCCTCTGGGAACCGTCTCTGCCCCCGACACAACCCCGCCTCCCTCACTGACTCCGCAGGGAGCCAGGCAGCAGGCAGCCGCGGCTGCGGTGAGGGCCGGGCAGGCTGCTGTGCCCGCTGTGAGCGAGGCCCACTGAGGCGCTCGGGGCCGATGTGGGCTGCACACACGAGTCAGGTGCACATCTGGGACCACCCCTGGACACCGTTCCCCTGGCCTCACGGCTGTTATTTATCACGTCGCCCTGACGGTAAGCTCAGGCCTGAACGTACGTCCAGGACACGGGGCCCCGCCCGTCAGCGCCTCCTACCTGGGCTGGCGTCGCTGCCTTTCTTGGGGCTCAGAGGCACGGACGCCTGCTCGGCCGGCTCCTTCTCCTTGCCTTTCCGCCGAATGGGACTGAGAGAAGGGGCGCTGGTGAGGGATGGCAGGGCTGCCTGGAGCGGAGAACAAGGGCTGGGCGTTACCCCCAGAAACTGCGGTCCACACCTGCCACTGAGAGCTCAGCTTCCCTTCCAAAGCCCGCACTCCCCGCCACTGACCAGCACCCACCCAGCACCCACCCATAGCTCAGCTTCCTCCGAATCCACTCACGGAGCTCAGAAGCCACAGAGTCATGTCCATCCCCCAACCCTCACCCCACACAGGGGGCGTGGACGGCACTTGCTGACAGGCTAAGGGGAAGGGCCAGCACGCAGGACACCAGTGTGATTCCACTTACATACATGTCGCAACGGGCACCTCCCCACAGAAACGGGAAGGCCAGGGCCACCGGGAGCTAGGGAGCATGGGGGTTAAGGGTGACGGCTAAGGGGCACAGTGTTCCTTCCTGGGTTCTAAAACTGACTGCAGTGGCGAGCACGTGACTGTGGGCGCTGAAGTGGCCCGCACACTGAAGGGGGAGGGGCAGGGGCGTGGGTCATGCCAACTGTATCACACCAGCATGCTGCTTCCCCACAGCGAGGCTGCTCCGCCTCCAGAGGAGGCGCTCCGTCCGCCCGTCTGGCCGGGGCAGTGGCAGTGAACAGAGAAAACAGCCTGTGCTCCTGGGCGTGAGCATGTGCCTGTGCACGGGTATGTGAGCACAGATGTGTGCACACATGTATGTACATGTATGTAAATGGTTCCTTGTGAAATACTCAGTGGGGAAAACAAAGGACGTGGGGCGAGAATGAAGAGCTGCAATGACGCCCACACTTCCAACTTTACAAAACACAAAGTGAGCTCGGCCTGTGGGTTCAGGGGCTGAGCATCGGCCTATGACCAGGAGGTCACGGTTCAATTCCCAGTCAGGACACGTGCCCGGGTGCAGGACTGATCGCCGGGGGGGCGTGCAGGAGGCAGCCCACCAATGATTCTCTCTCATCATTGATGTTTCTCTCTCTCCTTCTCCTTTCCTCCCTGAAACCAATAAAAACATTAAAAAACACACAAGCCCTAACCGGTTTGGCTCAGTGGATAGAGCGTCGGCCTGGGGACTGAAGGGTCCCAGCTTCGATTCCAATCAAGGGCATGTACCTTTGTTGCGGAAACATCCCCAGTGGGAAGAGTGCAGGAGGCAGCTGATCTACATTTCTCTCTCATTGATGACTCTAACTCTCTATCCCTCCCCCTTCCTCTCTGTAAAAACATCAGTAAAATATATTTCTAAAAAAATCAAAACACACACCATGAGAGGAGTGGGCCGGCACAGACGGAGGCCGCGCAGCTCCGGGAGCTCCGGTGTAGCGCCAGGCAGACGTGCCGTGGGGCAGCGGGCCACTGATGCTTAGATGCTGCTGGCGACGGGCGGGGCCGAGCTTACCTTCCCCGCGGGCCCAGGCGCCACCTCGTCCAGCACGTGGGCGCAGATGTTGACCACCTTCAGCAGGTGGGAGAAGAGCTGCTCCACCATGGGCACCAGGCTCCGGTCCCCCAGCGCGGGCCACGCCTCCTCTTGCTTGGCGGCGGCCGGGCTGGCCTCGTCCTCGGCAGCCCAGGAGCTCCTCAGAGACCGGGGGGCACTGGCTGTGAGGCAGGCACAGGGTCAGCTCCGCCCGCGGCGGGTGGCAGAGGGCACTGTCAGACCCATCCACACCGCACCACACCTGCCAGTCAACGACACCTCGCCTCCACCAGGAAGCGGACATCCCCCCGGAGCACGCTCCCGTTCCCACGCCCGACACCGTCACACTCCCTCCGAGGGACAGTGAGCGAGGAGCCTCCGCTCCCGCCGCCCGCTCCTGCACCACCACATCCTGTGGCCTCGCTCTTCCCCCAGCCACAACCTGAGCCTCCCAGTGCCCTCCTCCACCCCCGTCAGGGCGCGGGGTGGCCCTCCACACCACAGGAAGGCCAGGCGGGTGAGCACTGTTACCGCCACCCATAACACAGCAGCTGGTCAGCGATAACAGACCACTCTGTGATGTGCGAACTCACAGCTGTGAGCCCGCTTTCATTGGTCATTTTCTTTTTAAACTTAAATTCTTTACTGCTGAAAGCATTACATGTCTCCTTGTTTTCCCATGGACCTCTCCCTGGCCGCTCCTACCCCCCCCCCATGCTCTCACGCCCCTGCTGTGTGTGTCCATTGGCTATGCTATAGGCATACTAGTACATACAAGTTCTTTGGTTGATCTCTTACCCCTCACCCTCCCCCAACTTCCCTCTGAGATGATTCTCTGTCTCCGCATCTATTTTTGTTCATCAGTTTAGTTGTTCCTTATATTCCACAAATGAGTGAGATCATGTGCTATTTATCTTTTTCTGACTGGCTTGTTTCACTTAGTAAAATGCTCTCCATGTCCATCCATGCTGCTGCAAATGGTAAGAGTGCCTTCTTTTTCACTGCTGCGTAGTATTTCTTTGTGTAGCTGTACCATGGTTTTCTAATCCCTTCATCTGCGGCTGGGCACTTAGGCTGTCTCCAGACCTCAGCTATGGTGAATTGTGCTGCTATGGACATAGGGATGCATATATCCTTTCCGATGGGTGTTTCTGGTTTCTTGTGATATAATCCTAGGAGTGGGATCACTGGGTCAAATGGGAGTTCCATTTTTAACTTTTTGAGGAAACTCCATACTGTTCTCCACAGCAGCTGCACCAGTCTGCATTCCCACCAGCAGTGCACGAGGGTTCCTTTTTCTCCTCATCCTCACCAGCACCTGTTGTTTGCTGATGTGTTGATGGTGGCCATTCTGACAGGTGTGAGATGGCGCCGCATTGTTGTTTTGATTTACATCTCTCAGATAATCAGTAACTGTGAGCATGTTTTCAAATGTCTCTTAGCCTCCGTATGTCCTCTTTCAAAAACTGTTTATTTAGGTTCTTTGCCCATTTTTGATTGGATTATCTTCCTTTTGTTAAGTTGTGTGAATTCCCGGTAAATTTTGGAGATTAAACACTTATCGGAGATAACATTGGCAAATGTGTTCTCCCATGCAGTGGCCTTTCTTGCTATTTTGTTGGTGGTTTCTTTTGCTGTGCAGAAGCTTTTTATTTTGATGTAGTCCTGTTTGTTTATTTTCTCCTGAGTCTCCATTGTCCTAGGAGATATATGGGTAAAGATTGCTACAATGTATGTCTGATATTTTGCTGCTGGATTCTTCTAAGCATTTTATGATTTTCCGTCTTATGTTTATGTCCGTTAGCCATTTTGAGTTTATTTTTGTGTATGGTGTAAGTTGGTGGTCCAGTTTCATTTTTTGTAAGTATCTGTCCAATTTTCCCAACTCCATTTATTGAAGACTGTCTTGACTCCACTATGCTCTTGCCTCCTTTGTCAGATAATAATGGAGCATAATGGCTTGGGTGAGTTTCTGGGTTCTGTTCTGTGTTATCTATCACTAGCTGTTGTATTAGTTAGCAACAGTGTAACCTATGTTTGCCCACCCGTCCTCGTTCGCCTGTTGGTCCGGTTCACGAAGCCCCTCAATGGCCCCCGCAGCAAGCAGGCCACGCCCTCCTGTGGACGCCGGGACCTCACACATCGTCCTTCCGAACCCCCTAGCTGCTGGCCCACGTGCCCCCACCTGGAGTGAGAGAAGAGCTTGCCTGCACCTCTGCAGGGGCTCGACCGGGAAAGGCCTCCGTGGGGACGCTGGACACAGACCAGTGTCCACAGCACATGCCGCCAGCACACGCCTACACACGGAGGCAATGCCTGACGTCAGGAACCAGCTGTCCCTGGCAGTGACCTCAGCGCTTTTCCCTCCTATGCTCACTGCCCGCCCCTCGCAGGAAATCAAGAGCTAAAGACCCGAGGTCCCTGTTTCAACCCAGAACCAATACCTGCGAGCAAGTTCCCGGCCAAGACCAAGGCATCCTGATGGGCGGCGAGGTCCAGCGGGAACCACGCCGACGAGAGCAGCGCCAGGATCGCCGGGGCCATCCCGACGGTGCAGCTCTTCCTGGACTCGTCCGAGGCGCTCAGCGGGGGCACCCTGGGGGCAGACGTGTGCGCGGCCACGTTACAGAAACATTGTAAAGCAAACGCTCTTTTGTTGTTTTATTGATTACTTTGGAGAGCAAGGAAGGCGGAGAGAAATGCCAGTTGAGTAAAACCTCCATCGGCTGCCTCCTGCAGCCCCGGCACAGGCCCGCCCGTCCGCACCCGCACATCCGTTCATGGACGACGCCCACGAGCCGAGTGCACTGGTCAGCTCCAGAGCAGGCAGCCTGGCTTCCCTCTGAACCACAGGCCTGTCACTGGCCCCGCACACCAGCTCAGCGCTGACGATCAGCTTGCCTCTCTCCTGTGACCCACAGCTCTGCGCAGCCACCGGAGCCGGGGAAGCCGGAGGCTGGACAGATCAGAGCGTCTTGTGGCTCCTCCCTCACCTCGGAGCACTGCACTCAGGCAGGAGCAGGGCGGCTTGGCTGAAACTGCAGCTGCTCCGAGGTGCTTGTTGCAGGAAATCATCACCCAGACGGGAGCGCCCTCCAGCGGACACGGCTCCCTGGCCGTGATGGGCGGGGCTTCCCAGCGTGCCGTGAGCCATGTCCGAGGAACAGCAGCTCCCTCACTCCGCTGCTGGACAGCCCGCAGGCTGCAAACCGGACTCCCTGCTAGACTCCCACCTGCAGCACAGCACCCTCCGCCCACTCCTGTGGCCGCCGCACGGCCACGGTGGGTCACGTTAGATTTTAAACAAAAATGCGTCCACAGCCGAAACCGGTTTGGCTCAGTGGATAGAGCATCGGTCTGCAGACTAAAAGGTCCCAGGTTCGATTCCGGTCAAGGGCATGTACCTTGGTTGCGGGCACATCCCCAGTAGGGGGTATACAGGAGGCAGCTGGTCGATGATTCTCTCTCATCGATGTTTCTAGCTATCAATCTTTCTCCTTTCCTCTCTGTGAAAAATCAATGAAATATATATATATTTAATATTTTTAATATATAAAATTATATATTTTTAATATATAAAAAGATACATCTTCATTTAATATAGATGTATCTTTTTATTTTTATTTATTTATTTATTAAATATATTTTATTGATTTTGTACAGAGAGGAAGGGAGAGAGATAGAGAATCAAAAACATCGATGAGAGAGAAACATCGATCAGCTGTCTCTTGCACACCCCTTACTGGAGATATGCCCGCAACCAAAGTACATGCCCTTGACCGGAATCGAACCCGGGACCCTTCAGTCCCCAAGCCAACGCTCTATCCATTGAGCCAAACCGGTCTCGGCTCAATGAAATATATTTTTAAAAAAAACATGCACCCACATGTTCTGTCCGCAGTGACTAATCCTAAAGAGAGGCAGCGCCTGGCCAAGGGCAGTGCGTCCTCCCGGACACCACAGGCTGCAGGCCATGCCTGGTCGGGTGGTATGAGAGGCCCTCCGTCCTGTCCATGGTTTTCTCTCCCTCCTCCTCTCTCTAGAATCAATGAAAACGGGTCCTCGGGGAGGACAGGAAAAGGCAGACTCGGCCAGCACACGGGGTTCTTGTCGCTGAGCCTCCCCACGCCGAGGAGCAAGCCTGGTGCCCGTTCCTCGGAACCAGCTCGGTGCTGCCCAGCAGCTCCTGCCACCGGTCCCAACGCCAAAGCACAGAACAAGCCCCGGGGGCTTCCCCAGGCCAGGGGACCAGGGACGGCACAGGAAGACACAGCTCCTATCGCCCACCCGCAGACGCCACGTGCCGAGAAAAACTTACCCACAATGCCAACCGAGGCTCCAGGTGCAGACAGGGAAGGCGGTCGAAAGGAGACACAGAGCTTCACAGCACCCGAACTGGAGGAAGGACAACGGAGTCACCGGACACAGGAGCTGCTTCAGCCGCACAGACCGTGTCTACCGCGGGCAGTGTGCCCTTCGCCCGAGCTAAGGCTGTCCTGGCCTCCCCTGGTGTACAGCCCCCAGTCCTCCCCTCCCCCTGCCTGCACCGCTCCCCCTCCCCTCCCCCTGCCTGCACTGCTCCCCTCCCCCTCCCCCTGCCTGCACTGCCCCCCCCCCCCCTCCCCCTGCTTACACTGCCCCCACCTTCCCCCTCCCCCTGCCTGCACTGCTCCCCTCCCCCCTCCCCCTGCTTACACTGCCCCCACCTTCCCCCTCCCCCTGCCTGCACTGCCCCCACCTTCCCCCTCCCCCTGCCTGCACTGCCCCCACCTCCCCCCTCCCCCTGCCTGCACTGCCCCCACCTTCCCCCTCCCCCTGCCTGCACTGCTCCCCCTCCCCCTCCCCCTGCCTGCACTGCTCCCCCTCCCCCCTCCCCCTGCCTGCACTGCCCCCACCTTCCCCCTCCCCCTGCCTGCACTGCTCCCCCTCCCTCCTCCCCCTGCCTGCACTGCCCCCACCTTCCCCCTCCCCCTGCCTGCACTGCTCCCCCTCCCACCTCCCACACTGCCCCCACTCCCCTCCCCCTCCCCCTGCCGCACTGCCCCCACCTTCCCCCTCCCCCTGCCTGCACTGCCCCCCCCCTCCCCCCTCCCCCTGCCTGCACTGCCCCCACCTTCCCCCTCCCCCTGCCTGCACTGCTCCCCTCCCCCCTCCCCCTGCTTACACTGCCCCCACCTTCCCCCTCCCCCTGCCTGCACTGCCCCCACCTTCCCCCTCCCCCTGCCTACACTGCCCCCACCTTCCCCCTCCCCCTGCCTGCACTGCCCCCACCTCCCCCTCCCCCTGCCCCCTGCCTGCCACTGCTCCCCCTCCCCCTCCCCTCCCACTGCCCTACCTGCAGCTCCCCCTCCCCCCTCCCCCTGCCTGCACTGCCCCCCCCTCCCCCCCCCCCCTGCCTGCACTGCCCCCACCTCACCACTGCCCCCTGCATGCACTGTTTTCCACCTCCCCTCCCCCTGCCTGTACGTCCCCATCCCACCCTTCCCCCTCCCCCTGCCTGCACTGTTTTTCCCCCTATTCCCCCCTCCCCTGCCTGTACTGTACCCCACGTTCCCCCTCCCCCTGCATAACACTGCCCCCATCTTCCCCTCCCCCCCTGCCTACACTGCCCCCCCCTTCCCCCCTCCCCCTGCCCGCAACGCCCCCCACCGTCCCCCTCCCCCTCCCCCTGCCTGTACTGCTCCCCCTCCCCCCTCCCCCTGCCTGCACTGTCCCCACCTTCCCCCTCCACCTGCCTGCACTGTCCCCACCTTCCCCCTCCCCCTGCCTGCACTGCCCCCACCTTCCCCCTCCCCCTGCCTACACTGTCCCCACCTTCCCCCTCCCCCTGCCTGCACTGCCCCCACCTTCCCCCCTCCCCCTGCCTGTACTGTCCCCACTTTCCCCCTCCCCCTGCCTACACTGCCCCCACCTTCCCCCCTCCCCCTGCCTGCACTGTTCCCACCTTCCCCCTCCCCCTGCCTGCACTGCCCCCTGCCTTCCCACTCTGCCCAGCTGGTATGTCCACCCTCAGACCATACTACAGGAGCTGCAGGCAGGGTCCCCTCTGTCTTACAGTGCGAGCCTAGAACAGTGCCTGACACACAGGCCACGATAAACACAAACACGTAATGTGTATGACACTCTGAACAAACCGAAGGGAAACCAAACCGAGCCCACACAACCTTGGCCTGAAAGACCTGGACTCATGGATGTGAGGGGGATCTGGCTGCGACATCTGTCACCCCATTGATCGCCAGGGTTGATTCGGCTGATCTGGCTGGCTAGGCGGGAGTCCCCCTCCTCCCTCACCGATCCATGTGCGTCCCTCCCGAAGCTGCGCGCTCGGTCGAAGAGGACGACTTTCCCCCAAGAGGAGAGGACCAGTCTTCGGTCAAGGGTATAGGAATAGCTGCGCTCCCCTGCTAGAACCTCCACACAAGCTCTCAAGACCTGGACTCGTAGTGAGTTCCCAAGGAAGATCTCTCATCCTAAATCAACTTTGGCCATTTTCTGCCTGTCATTTTCCCGAGTAGGAGAAACATATATCCTCCTATATAATAAAAGGGTAATATGCAAATAGACCAAAAGCGGGACAATCAAACAACCAATCAAAGTGTGATATGCTAAAGACCCTCAACCACTCACAATGACATGCACTGACCACCAGGGAGCAAGACAGTCGAACAGGTGACCAGTCGCTATGATGTGCACTGATCACTAGAGGGCGGATGCTCCAAACGGTGGGTTAGCTTGCTGCTGGGTCCGGCTGATTGGGACTGAGTGAGATGGACCAGACACGCCCTGGAGCGGGTCCCTCCCCACAGTCCCTCCCCGGCCCAATTGTGCACCAATGGGGCCTCTCAGCCTAGCCTGCACCCTCTTGCGATCTGGGACCCTCTTGCAACCGGGGGATGGAGAGCCCATTTCAGCCCGATCTGGAGCCCACTCCCTCGGCAGGGGGCCAGGTGCAGCGCCCAGGACCGGTGAGCGCTGCTGCGGTGAGCCTCTCCCCGTCGGGAGCCAGCGGCAGGCACGGAGGCCAGGAGAGCGAGTGGTAGGTGGGAGCTGCAGGCCGCGCTGGACTGCAGGTTTCAGCCCAATCCCTGCAGGCCACTCAGAAGGACCCCACCTGTGAACGGATTCGTGACCAGGCCTCTAGTCCTATCTAATAAAAGAGTAATATGCAGATTGACCATCACTCCAACACACAATATGGCTGCCCCCATGTGGACACATGATGGCCACCACAAGATGGCCAACAGGGGAGGGCAGTTGGGAGGGAACAGGCCTGCAAGGGAGGGAAGTTAGGAGTGACCAAGCCAGCAGAGGAAGGACGTTGGGGGCAAACAGGGGAGCAGTTAGATATCAATCAGGCTGGCAGTGGAGTGGTTAGGGGGTGATCAGGCTGGCAGGCAGAAGCAGTTAGGGGCAATCAGGAAGGCAGGCAGGCGAGCAGTTGGAAGCCAGCAGTCCTGGATTGTGAGAGAGGTCCAAGGCAGTCAGATATCCCTCAAGGGGTCCCAGATTGGAGGGGTGCAGGCTAGGCTGAGGAACACCCCCCATGCACAAACTTCATGCACTGGGGCCTCTAGTCTATATTATAAAAGCCTATGTGACCATCATGGTGGAATGACCAGAAAGACCAGTCGCTATGATACACACTGACCACCAGGGGGCAGACACTCAATGCAGGAGCTGCCCCTGGTGGTCACTGCACTCCCACAGGGGGAGCACCGCTCAGCCAGAAGCCGGGCTCATGGCTGGTGAGCGAAGCGGTGGTGGTAGAGCCTCTCCCGTCTCCACAGCAGCGCTAAGGAGCACAAGCCAAGTGCAAGCCGAGCCACAAGGAACAGCGAGCGGGCAGGTGGTAAGGAGCGAGGGTCCTGGACTGCCAGGGTCCGGATCCGGGCCCCTAGGATATGTGTGTGTGTGTGTGTGTGTGTGTGTGTGTGTGTGTGTTTTAATATTCCTCAAACCTGACTACACACGAGCATACAGTTTTGAATTGTGCCTTTTTTTCATCCAATATTACAATTCAGGTTATATCTCTGTAAACTGTTGAAAATTCTCCAAGCCTCATATTAATAAGGTACATAATAAATGCACTACCATCTACACTGAATTTAGTCATAATCATAATTCAATCATTCTTGGGTTCATAACCAATTTCACCATCATAAATCCTGATAAAATAATTACATTATACAAAATCCTTGTTGGCATATCTGGTTTTTACCCCTTAGTATATACTACAAAGTCACTAAGTCAGTTATATTCGAGACAGTTTACACTTCTGATAAAACCCATTCAAATTACGGTAGTATTTATTTTGACTTTTATGTCTCCCTGATTTTTTTTTAAAAATATATTTTATTGATTTTTTCAGAGAGGAGGAGAGAGGGATAGAGAGCTAGAAACGTCGATGAGAAACATCGACCAGCTGCCTCTTGCACACCCCCTACCGGGGATGTGCCCGCAACCAATGTACATGCCCTTGACCAGAATCGAACCTGGGACCTTTCAGTCCGCAGACTGACGCTCTACCACTGAGCCAAACTGGTTTCGGCTCCCTTGATTTTTTTTTTAAATGAGTATTTGCTACTTTAATCCATCAGGACAAAGTTGTTTATGTTCCCATTGAAATAAACCAAGATTTTGCTCAAAGAATCAGTTTCTTAGGAAGCCCCACATATGAGTCTAACATCACCTTACCATTAAGAACTGACCTGCCCTCACTGGTGTGGCTCAGCGCATAGAGCACTGGCTGCAGACTGCAGGGTCCTGTTCTATCTGGATCCCCACGACAGGGCATGCATGAGGCAGCCGATTCATGATTCTCTCTCATCATTGATGTTTCTTTTTTTAAATATATATTTTATTGATTTTTTTACAGAGAGGAGAGAGATAAAGTTAGAAACATTTATGAGAGAAACATCGATCAGCTGCCTCCTGCACACCTCCGACTGGGGACATGCCCACAACCAAGGTACATGCCCTTGACTGGAATCAAGCCTGGGACCTTTCAGTCTGCAGGCCAACTCTCTAGCCACTGAACCAAACCGGTTAGGGCTGCTGTTTCTCTCTCTCTCTCTCTCTCTCTCTCTCTCTCCCTCTCCCTCTCCTCTCTCTCTCTCTCTCTCTCTCTCTCTCTCTCTCCTCTCTCCCCCTCTCTCCCGCCCTCCCTCCCTCCCTCCCTCCCTTTCCTTTCCTCTCTGAAATCAATAAAAATATATTAAAAGGAAAAAAAAAAAAAAGAACTGACCTTATGGTCCTGGTTAGTTGCTCAGTGCTTAGTGTCAGCCCTCACACCAAAGGGTCTCGGGTTTGATTCCCAGGCAAACGCATGTACTTGGGTTGTAGGTGTGACTCCTGACCCAGTTGTGGTGCAGAGGCAACCAATCAATGTGTCGCGCTCTCTCTCTTCCCCCTTCCATTCTCTCTAAAAATCAATGGAAAGCTGAAACCGGTTTGGCTCAGTGGATAGAGCATCGGCCTGCGGACTGAAAGGTCCTGGGTTCGATTCCGGGCAAGGGCATGAACCTTGTCTGCGGGCACATCCCCAGTAGGGGGTGTGCAAGAGGCAGCTGATTGATGATTCTCTCTCATCAATGTTTCTCTCTATCCCTCTCTCTTCCTCTCTGTAAAAAATCAATTAAAAAAATTTTTTTCTCAGAAAAAAAAGGGAGGGGCAGAAAATAATGAAATAATGTTTAAAAAATAAAAATAAAAATCATTGGAAAAAATATCCTTGGGTAAGAATTAACAACAACAGCCGAAACCGGTTTGACTCAGCGGTAGAGCGTCGGTCTGTGGACTGAAAGGTCCCAGGTTCGATTCCGGTCAAGGGCATGTACATTGGTTGTGGGCACATCCCCGGTAGGGGGTGTGCAGGAGGCAGCTGGTCGATGTTTCTCTCTCATCATTGATGTTTCTAGCTCTCTCTCTCTCTCTCTCTCTCCCTTCCTCTCTGTAAAAAATCGATAAAATATATTAATAAAAAAAAAAAAGAATTAACAACAACAAAGAAGTGACCTTACAAAGGAGCACAGATGAATCTCACTGAGCCTGGCCAGCGAAGGGGACTCACCGTGAGCGCGCGTGTGGTGGCAGTGACCAGCTGGTGCGACACGGCCGCAATGACCCGGGACAGGTTGTTCTCCATGGTGACGTCTGTGATGCTTGGCAGTAAGTTATAGCCTCTATATATTCTAGTAAGAAAAGGGTGGAGACTAAAGTGTATTCTTAGAGCGTATGACCTTTTCAAAATTCAAATGGCATTTAGAAGTTTAAGATTAGAGGCTACAAGAAGTTAAAGCAGTCTTGGCTTTTAAGTTAAAGAGTGGAAATATGATATGTTAAGGCCGCTCAACCACTCGCTATGACGTGCACTGACCACCAGGGGGCTTGCTGTTGGGGTCTGGCAAATCAGGACTGAGTGACAAGGTCAAACACACTCTGGAGCCCTCCCAAGGCCCCTTCCCGGCAGGCCAACCTCTCGTGTCCCTCCCAGCCCCGATCATGCACCCGGGTCCCTCAGCTTGGCCTGCTCTCTCTCACAATCCGGAACCCCTAGGGGGATGTCTGAGAGCTAGTTTCGGCCCAATCCAGCAGGCCAGGCCGAGGAGCCGCCTGTCCCTGGTCGCACTTGTAGAAGAGCTTTGGGACAAGCCTGACATGAAAGCGAGGCTGCTTCCTGAGGAAACGTGGACCCCCTGCGGCTCCCCACCCGTCGCGCACCGGCCTCTAGTCCTTCTATAATCAATGGCTGAGCCCTGGCAGGTGAGTCAGCTGTTTGAAGCTTCATCCCACACACCAAAAGGTGGCGGGTTCAACTCCCAGCCAGGCACACCCAGGCTGCAGTTCCATCCCTGGTCGGGATGCATGCGGGAGGCAACTGATCGATGTGTCTCTCTCACATCAATGTTTCTTCTCTTCTCTCTTTTTTTTTCCTCTCTCTCTCCCCTCTCCACCCTTCCTTCCTTCCACTCTCTCTAAAAGTCAATGGACAAATATCCTCAGGTGAGCATTAACAAAAAGTAAATAAAAGTAAGTAAATAAGTAGCCCACTCATCTAAAATTAAAGGGCACAGGAAGACCACCGAAGGGAACCATCCCATGGCCAGTTTAGATGAGGCAGCAGCAGTCCTACAGAGCAGCACACTCAGCACGCGGCTTGTGCTGGACTGAAGCTTAGGTGTCACTGGGCGTGACTGGGCGAGCTAAGGGGGCGGGAGCTAAATCCTGAAAAAGAACAAACACTATCAAAGGAAGACGATCTGCTCAAACACCGTCAGCTCCACACTGGGTTTTCGCCCTGGAAAGCCGGTGTAGAGGCCAGCCCGGAAGCACGGCCGGGGAAGGCGCTTTCCGGCGGGCCGGCGTACCTGGTTATGGTGCTGACGGAGAAGTGGGAGGCAGGCGGCGCCTCATGCATGAGGAGCTTCAGGTAGACGCTGCTCTGGTCTCTGGCCACGGCCACGACGGGGTCCGCCTGCCCCTGGTCGCACTTGTAGAACAGCTTGGGGACAAGCCTGGCGTGAAAGCGAGGCTGCTCGCTGAGGACGCACGGACCCCCTGCGGCTCCCCATCAGTCAGGGTGGCTAGGCCCCCAGCACGCCACCCCGGTCGCCCCCTTCTCTCCGGGCGGCGCTCTCAGCATGTCGGGGATCTCCCATCACAGGCCACACCCTCCCCAAGCTCCACGGAGCCCAAAGCAGAACCCGGGCCTCTCCCAGCATCCACGTGCGGAGCGTCCTGTAGGGTTTGTGTGAGTGCGGACTGCCCCGCTGGCAGGGGGGCGCACCACTCTCAGAAACAACCGCTGTTTTACTGGCAAACCCGGTATCTTTCCAACGAGACTTGGTCATCAAGCACCATTTTTCAAGGTATAAAAACTGCAATCGTCTTCAGAAGGTGGTACAGACCCAAAACCTCTGACCAGGCCAGTCACACAAACCCAGTTAAGGCAGCGAAAGCTACTCCGCTCGGGTCACTGCGAAATGCAAATACCGGCACTTGAAGCGGAAAGATGTCCCAGATTTCACGGGTTTCTTTGAGTGGTTTGGTTACAAAGGTTTTTATTTACTTTTTAAAATTTTTCCTTAGATTTTGTTCAGTAAAGATGTTGTTTTTTAAGAGAAATACCAGTTTCTTTCTAAAAAACTGACACATTTAACCTGCTCTGAACTATGCTGGGGAGCGGAACTGGCACACACAGTCTCGCCCGGGAGTGAGACCAGCCTGTGGCGGGAGCACCCAACCCAGAGCCCACTGCCAGGACGCAGCCACGAGAATGAAAACCTAAGTCCACACACAGCCTCGTGGGCAACGTGCCTCACGGGCACCAAGAGCAGAAATGGAAGTGCCCGCCACCTGTGAGCGAGTGCACAGAACGTGGGCCGGTGAGGGCCGCTCTGCACCTGCTGGCCCCTCAGGTCCACGCGGAGGAGCGGGGGCAGCAGCCAGCCACCCTGCGGCCCGCTGACAGGTCGTCCGAGGCCAGCCTCCGGAGCGGGCGCAGCTCTGGGCCTTGTGGGGCGATGGGAATGTTCTGCCCCTGGACTGTGGTGATGGCTACAGGCCGTGAGGGCACTGAAGACTTTGTACATTGCACTTGACTGTCTGCAAATTACACCTCAAAAAGCTATTAGAAAAAAAGTTAAGAACATCCAAAAGCTTGGCCTTAGTAACTCAACTTCCAAAATTATGCAGGAAGATGTTTGTGTAGCAGCGTTGACTGGAAGGAACACGGCTCAGCATTTAAATGAAAGAGCTTCAGCCCTGGCTGGCGGCGCTCGGCAGGTGGTGCCACTCTGCACCCCAGGTCACAGTTCTAGTCCCCATCAGGGACGCACCCAGGCTGTGGGCATGATTACCAGTTGGGATTCAGGAAGGAGACAACTAATTAATGTGTCTTTATCTCCCTCTCCCTCTCTCCCTTTCTCTAAAAAAAGTGAAAAAAAGATAAATTTAATATCCAACCAAATAATCTACCTAATAACAGGATAATAAGCAAATGGGTCGAGACGCTATCACATAACAACCGATCAGCAGCTGCATGCCCGCCCCCTGCGCCAGCCTAGTGACATGAGGCTCATGTCCCGATCCCGGCAACAGGCACCAGAAAGCAGAAATGAAATGTGGGAAATTTGGGATGGATTGCCCCAAAGAGGTCTGGCTCCGGCTCTTTGGGGCAATCCATCAAGGAGCCCGGGTAGGTGGCAGGGCTTATCCCTTTGGGGCGATGGCTTGCAGGGCTCCCACACTGTAAGAGGGCACAGGCCAGGCTGAGGCCTGCCCCCCACCAAGTGCACGGATTTCGTGCACCGGCCCACTAATATTTATAAAGGCTTATCACAATCACATAGTGAAAACTGGCACTAGTTAAAATTTCTCTTCTAGAAGAGTATCTGGCAACTGGAAGTTGCTAATATGTTAAGCGGCGATTACTAGATTACAAAACTGTATATATTTTGTCCCAATTACAGAGCAAAATGTTAAGTGATCATCTCCCAGCAGCAGAAGGGAAGGCGATTCCCTATGCTCAAAAGGCGTGGAACTGTGGCCTCAGGGGTCCGCGCCCTGCTGCTGTGTCGGTGACGTGTTGGGCTCTCGGCCGGGAGCAGCTGCCTCCTCGATGCTTTAGGAGCAGCTCGGCCTCCTAACGAAGCAGGAAGGCTGCCCTCTGGCCTCGGGACATCCCGTCCCCACCCCGTAACGCCGGGTGCTTCCGCCAGGTAAGGGGCCGAAGAGAAAGCCGCTGGCCAATACCTCACGAGCGACGTGGCGGCGACGCGCCGCACCCGGGGGTCCTCGTCCCCCAGCAGGCAGAGGACCACGCTGTTGAGCACCCGCTCCTGCAGCCTCAGCAGCTGTCGGAGGAGAGAGGGGCAGCTGTGCTCACCTGGGTTTGGCGAGCTGCTTCGGAGAGGCAGCGAGGAAGAGTGCGCGGTCAGTGGCACGAGGAGGCGGTGAGCCAGGCAGCGGCACCAGCACGCCCGCCGGGACGCTGGCTGCGGAGGGCACCCCCCGCGGGAGCGCTGCTTACCCCGGTGTAATGGTGAGCCCCTCTGTGAAGGTGTTCTGCTTTGGCTTCCAGAAAGCTCACCAACCTAACGAGAGAAACGTTTCACAATGAGAACCCATCCCTCCGCCAGCACCTGACAGACCCCGTGAGGGCAGGCCGCGGGGGTCAGTCCAGGCGCGGGAGGCGGGCAGCACTCACTAAATGGCGGGAAGACCACTGTGTCACACTCTCCTAATCCTAGGCTCCGCCAATCAGAAGCGCTGAGCAAACTGCTTTCTTCCAAAGCAACACCAGCGTGCATTATATTGGAAGACTCTGGGCCTGCAGACTCAGTCACGCGGGAGGCGCTGCACTGTCTCCCCTGTACCCCCGGAGGCGCTCACGCCCGGCTGTGGCCCCTCCGAGGGGCACAGGGGAGACAACCCTAATTCTCAGAGATGTTCCGAGGACGCAGCAAATGCTCGCAGAGGGCGGCCGGCACGCGCGTGGCACAGACCAGCCTCAAGGCGGAGCTCAGAGCCCCTGGGAAGGAGGGAACCCTCCTCTGACCGAAAGCCTGCGCTGCCGGGACGTGAGGAACCAGCCCCTCAGCTCAGGTTCCACACGGAGCGGCCGTCTGGCCCACGCCTGGGCGGTGAGCACGCTCCTACGGACCAGAGCTGGCAGGCCCTCCCCACACGCTCAGGTGAGCCCGGCACTGCCTCGGCCGCGTGGAGACAAGCCAAGCGCCGTCAGCCCCAAGCCCCTGGGCTCTGGGCACAGGCGACCGCCTGCACCAGCAGGGGCTCCCCCTGACTCTACCGCCGGGTCAGCTGGGACGCTCACTCCGGGGCTCACGGTGACCACCGCCCCTGCGCCAGGCCAGGCCGTTGGAGGCCCGCGCCCTCAGGGGGCCTGCGCCCGCACCTGAAGTCCGTCTCTGCGAGCGTCTCCAGCAGCTCCGTCCGCACCAGCCAGTAGGAGCTGCTCCGCAGGCTCAGCACGTCGGTGAGCAGCTGCAGCCCCAGGTCGCTGTAGCTGCTGTTGCAGAGGCTCATGACGCAGTGCTGGAAAGCAGGCCGCGTGGCGGCGTCAGAAGTCCACACGCTCACGCACACCGGTCCACGTGCACCTCACGTGAGCACACAGCGGTCCACGTGCACCTCACACACACACACCGGCCCACGTGCACCTCACACACACACACATTGGTCCCTGTGCACCACACGCATACACACACACACACACCGGCCCAGGTGCACCTCACACACACACACATTGGTCCCTGTGCACCTCATGCATACACACACACACACCGGCCCACGTGCACCTCACATACACACACATTGGTCCCTGTGCACCACACGCATACACACACACACACTGGTCCACGTGCTCCTTACACACACACTGGCCCACGTGCACCTCACACACACACACACACACACACACACACACACACACACAGGGTCCATGTCCTCAGAGACGTTTGCGATACACGCTTTACCACAGCAAACTTGAGTTTCAAAGTGTGTCCCTGTAATATAACTTCGTTTTCCTTTTCCTCCATTTCTGCCTCGGTCACGGCCTCTCCTCCCAGACACTCCCCGTGAACGAACATTCATCAGCAGAAAGAGGGGGTGGCACCATCTGCCGCCACTTCTAATGCATCTGGGACCCAGAGCCACCCCCCCTCGCCCTTCCTGACGTCACTGCGGCCTCGGCGCGGCGGGTGATGGTGAGCCCGGTGGACAGAAGGCTGCCCGGCTGCCAGGCAGAGCACGGGCCGCCCCCTCTCAGAGAGGTGACTGCCACCCCCACGCCTCATCCGCTGTGTGCGCTACGGCCTCACGGAGGTGTAGCTTTTAATGCAGGTTTGACACGCACATCAGCCAAGGTCTACCTCCACACACACTCTTTACAGCGAGGAACATTTCAAACCAGCTGACCCCTGAGGATATTCTGGGGATCAAAACCTTTAAAACAGTCCATCGAACTGTCAGTGTACAGGCAATGGTTGTCCCTAAAGCAGAGTGACGGATACACAGACGTTTATTCTCGTTGGTGACGCTGCGTGTGTGGACCCCTGCCGTCTTAGCTGTACTAATGGGAAGATCCCCAACACGCAAGGGGAGGCTCCCGGCGCTCACCCGCACAGCTGCACACGCCAACTTGCAAGTGACGGACGACTCATCCTTCAGCGTTTTCTGCAGCAGAGGAACGCAGTCCACCAGAGAAAACGTGTTTCCTGAACGGAGCAAGCCGCAAACCCCTCCGTGTGAACTTGAACTTGGCAATGACACCCAGAGGGCAACCCTCAGAAACTGGCCGCTACCTGTGAGCGCTCGGACGGAGCCCAGCCAGTCCCCCGCCTGGAAGCGGGACCTGCCGAGGATGGAGCAGACGAGCGCGCCGCAGAGGATGGCCGTGGCCCCGCGCACCTGCGGGTCTCCGTGGTCGATGTAGCCGAGGACGTCCGAGACGTACTGCTCCTCTGCGGGACCAACGCAGCACGTCAGAGCCCACAGAGCCTCCCGCAAAGGGCACGGGGTGGGGGGGGGCACCCGCAAAGGCAGGAAGGGGAGCACAGGGGCGTGGGAGGCTTGAAAATTCTAGATTTGCCGAAACCCGTTTGGCTCAGTGGCTAGAGCGTCAGCCTGCAGACTGAAAGGTCCTGGGTTCGATTCCGGTCAAGGGCATGTACCTTGGTTGCGGGCACATCCCCAGTATGGGGTGTGCAAGAGGCAGCTGTTCGATGTCTCTCTCATCGATGTTTCTTTTTTTTAATATATTTTATTGATTTTTTTTTTTTTCCACAGAGGAAGGAAGAGAGATAGAGAGCTAGAAACATCGATGAGATAGATACACCAACCAGCTGCATCCTGCACACCCCCCACCGGGGATGTGCCCGCAACCAATGCACATGTCCTGGACCGGAATCGAACCCGGGACCTTTAGGGACGCTCTATCCACGGAGCCAAACCGGTTTCGGCTCATTGATGTTTCTAACTCTCTATTCCTCTCTCTTCCTCTCTGTAAAAAATCAATAAAATATATTTTTTTAAAAATTCTAGATTTAAGGTGGCAGTCAACACAGCAGGTTAGAATTCCAGGTTGTCGGCTAATAAGCAAAATTCTAGCTTTCTACTTCAGGACAGATAAGGAAAATTCAAACTAGTCCCCAGTTCCTCACATGAATTCGGAAGCACAGGCCTGTCGCCGCCCAGAGAGAGGGAAGGCGAGAGGAGAATGCCAAAAGGGCCGCTCTGCCCACCACTCGCTCCTAACGCGGCGAGTCCCAGAGCGCGCCACCAGCCCCGGCACCCCGGCCCCGCTCCCGGCCCCCGTCTGACGTGAACCTGCTCAGTGGGACGTGCTGCAAACTGACTACACGCACATCTGTGCTCCCGGTAAAATCTACGGCGCCACTGGACCTGCGTTCCCAGAACTCTGCTGTGAGCACCCCAACTGAACACGGCGAGGACAGCCGACACCGGCGTGTGCCGTGCGGACACGCCATCGTGTGCCGTACAGACACCCCATCGTGTGCCGTGCGGACACGGCGGCCCATGCCGTGCGGACACGCCATTGTGCGCCATCGTGTGCCGTGCGGACACGCCATCGTGCGCCATCGTGTGCCGTGCGGACACGCCATCGTGTGCCGTGCAGACACGGCGGCCCATGCCGTGCGGACACGCCATCGTGTGCCGTACAGTCCCGCAGAGCGAGGCCGGTCAGCGCGGACACCGCTGCCCCCTCGCCTCCTTGGACGGCAGGAGGGAGTCTCCCAGGGCAGGGGCGAGGGCACAGGGCTGAGGAAGGAGGGCGGAGGGCTGCGTACCGGGGTGCTCCGCGGCGTCCGGGGGGGCTCGGTACAGCTTGCTGAAGAAGGCCTCCGGGTACAGGGCCACCGCGGCGCCCACGCAGCTGAGCGCCAGCGCCTTCACGCTCACCCGCACGTCCCTGTCCGGGACCAGCGCTGCAAGGACACCTGCCGTCACCGCAGCTCGCGGCAGCCAATGCTGAGGCCCCTCTGAGCAGCTGCCCTCCGCCCTCACCGTTCCTTCCCCCCACACCCCCTGCCCCCAACCCCCTCACCGTCCTTCTCCCCACACCCCTCACCGTGTCTCTCCCCCCACACCCCCTACCCCCAACCCCTCACCATGCCTCTCCCCCCACAGCCCCCTACCCCCAACCCCCTCACCACCGTCCTTCTCCCCACACCCCACACCCCTACCCCAAACCGTCACCATGCCTCTATCCCCCCCACAGTCCCACCCCCCAACCCATCACCATTCCTCTACCCCCGCCACGCCCCCCCCACCACCCACACCCCCAACCCCCTCCACCCCCCACACCCCCAACCCACCCACCCCCCACACCCCAACAACCTCAACCCCCCCAACCCCCTCCACCCCCCAAACCCCCCAACCCCTCCAACCCCCACACCCCAACCCCCTCCACCCCCCACACCCCCAACATCACCTCCACCCCCACCCCCAACCCCCTCCACCCCCACCCACACCCCAACCCCTTCCACCCCCCCACCCCCAAACCCCGTCCACCCCCCAACCCCCCCAACCCCCCCACCCCCAACCCCCTCCACCCCCAAACCCCTCACACCCCCACCCACCCCCAACCCCCTCCTCCACCCCCCACACCCCAACCCCCTCCACCCCCACACCCCCAACCCCCTCCACCCCCACACCCCAACCCCCTCCACCCCCACACCCAACCCCCTCCACCCCCCCCACCCCCTACCCCCTCCACCCCCACACCCCGCCTCACGGCTTCCCCCTCACCGTGCCTCCCCCCACACCCCCCACACACCCACACCCGCCTCGAGGCCCCCTCACCGTGCCTCTCCCCTTTCAGCAGGAAAGAGGCGGCCAGGAGGCGGATGCAGTGGGTGAGGGGCGCGGAGTCTCCGTCGTCGGGCCGGCCGATGTCGCCCCTGAGGCGGCAGGGCTGGAACAGACCCCGGCTTGTCTGAGGGGAACACACGGCACCCAGCGGCTCGGCAGGGCCCGCATGGGCGGTGCGGGCACAGGCCGATCTGCTGGGCGCCACCTGCTTCCAGAGCCGTCAGGGCCGGGGCTGGGCAGGGGCGCTCAGCGGGAGGAGCTGGGGGACGAGGGGACAGGGTGGTGCGCAGCGGGAGGAGCTGGGGGACGAGGGGACAGGGTGGTGCGCAGCGGGAGGAGCTGGGGGACGAGGGGACAGGGTGGCACTCAGCGGGAGGAGCTGGGGGACGAGGGGACAGCCCGGCGCTCAGCGGGAGGAGCTGGGGGACGAGGGGACAGCCCGGCGCTCAGCGGGAGGAGCTGGGGGACGAGGGGACAGCCCGGCGCTCAGCGGGAGGAGCTGGGGGACGAGGGGACGGCGGGGCGCGCAGCGGGAGGAGCTGGGGGACGAGGGGACAGCCCGGCGCTCAGCGGGAGGAGCTGGGGGACGAGGGGACAGCCCGGCGCTCAGCGGGAGGAGCTGGGGGACGAGGGGAAAGCCCGGCGCTCAGCGGGAGGAGCTGGGGGACGAGGGGACAGCCCGGCGCTCAGCGGGAGGAGCTGGGGGACGAGGGGACAGCCCGGCGCTCAGCGGGAGGAGCTGGGGGACGAGGGGACAGGGTGGTGCGCAGCGGGAGGAGCTGGGGGACGAGGGGACAGGGTGGTGCGCAGCGGGAGGAGCTGGGGGACGAGGGGACAGCCCGGCACTCAGCGGGAGGAGCTGGGGGACGAGGGGACAGCCCGGCGCTCAGCGGGAGGAGCTGGGGGACGAGGGGACAGCCCGGCGCTCAGCGGGAGGAGCTGGGGGACGAGGGGACAGGGTGGCGCGCAGCGGGAGGAGCTGGGGGACGAGGGGACAGCCCGGCGCTCAGCGGGAGGAGCTGGGGGACGAGGGGACAGGGTGGTGCGCAGCGGGAGGAGCTGGGGGACGAGGGGACAGCCCGGCGCCCAGCGGGAGGAGGTGGGGGACGAGGGGACAGCCCGGCGCGCAGCGGGAGGAGCTGGGGGACGAGGGGACAGCCCGGCGCTCAGCGGGAGGAGCTGGGGGACGAGGGGACAGGGTGGCGCGCAGCGGGAGGAGCTGGGGGACGAGGGGACAGCCCGGCGCGCAGCGGGACGAGCTGGGGGACGAGGGGACAGCCCGGCGCGCAGCGGGGGGAGCTGGGGGAGGAGGGGACAGGGTGGTGCGCAGCGGGAGGGGCTGGGGGACGAGGGGACAGCCCGGCGCTCAGCGGGAGGAGCTGGGGGACGAGGGGACAGCCCGGCGCGCAGCGGGAGGAGCTGGGGGACGAGGGGACAGCCCGGCGCGCAGCGGGAGGAGCTGGGGGACGAGGGGACAGGGTGGTGCGCAGCGGGAGGAGCTGGGGGACGAGGGGACAGGGTGGTGCGCAGCGGGAGGAGCTGGGGGACGAGGGGACAGCCCGGCACTCAGCGGGAGGAGCTGGGGGACGAGGGGACAGCCCGGCGCTCAGCGGGAGGAGCTGGGGGACGAGGGGACAGCCCGGCGCTCAGCGGGAGGAGCTGGGGGACGAGGGGACAGGGTGGCGCGCAGCGGGAGGAGCTGGGGGACGAGGGGACAGCCCGGCGCTCAGCGGGAGGAGCTGGGGGACGAGGGGACAGGGTGGTGCGCAGCGGGAGGAGCTGGGGGACGAGGGGACAGCCCGGCGCCCAGCGGGAGGAGGTGGGGGACGAGGGGACAGCCCGGCGCGCAGCGGGAGGAGCTGGGGGACGAGGGGACAGCCCGGCGCTCAGCGGGAGGAGCTGGGGGACGAGGGGACAGGGTGGCGCGCAGCGGGAGGAGCTGGGGGACGAGGGGACAGCCCGGCGCGCAGCGGGACGAGCTGGGGGACGAGGGGACAGCCCGGCGCGCAGCGGGAGGAGCTGGGGGACGAGGGGACAGGGTGGTGCGCAGCGGGAGGAGCTGGGGGACGAGGGGACAGCCCGGCGCTCAGCGGGAGGAGCTGGGGGACGAGGGGACAGCCCGGCGCGCAGCGGGAGGAGCTGGGGGACGGGGGGACAGCCCGGCGCGCAGCGGGAGGAGCTGGGGGACGAGGGGACAGCCCGGCGCGCCGCGGGAGGAGCTGGGGGACGAGGGGACAGGGTGGCGCGCAGCGGGAGGAGCTGGGGGACGAGGGGACAGCCCGGCGCGCAGCGGGAGGAGCTGGGGGACGAGGGGACAGCCCGGCGCGCAGCGGGAGGAGCTGGGGGACGAGGGGACAGCCCGGCGCGCAGCGGGAGGAGCTGGGGGACGAGGGGACAGGGTGGCGCGCAGCGGGAGGAGCTGGGGGACGAGGGGACAGCCCGGCGCGCAGCGGGAGGAGCTGGGGGACGAGGGGACAGCCCGGCGCGCAGCGGGAGGAGCTGGGGGACGAGGGGACAGCGCGGCGCGCAGCGGGAGGAGCTGGGGGACGAGGGGACAGGGCGGCGCGCAGCGGGAGGAGCTGGGGGACGAGGGGACAGCCCGGCGCTCAGCGGGAGGAGCTGGGGGACGAGGGGACAGCCCGGCGCGCAGCGGGAGGAGCTGGGGGACGAGGGGACAGCCCGGCGCGCAGCGGGAGGAGCTGGGGGACGAGGGGACAGGGTGGTGCGCAGCGGGAGGAGCTGGGGGACGAGGGGACAGCCCGGCGCGCAGCGGGAGGAGCTGGGGGACGAGGGGACAGCCCGGCGCGCAGCGGGAGGAGCTGGGGGACGAGGGGACAGGGTGGTGCGCAGCGGGAGGAGCTGGGGGACCTAGAGTGACGATGAGGAGGCTGTGGGCACCTAGTGCAGCCACTCCTCGCCCTCAGGCGTTCGCGATCCCTGGGGCAGGCGGCTCCTCAGAATCACACTGACCAGCCGCCCACCAGCACCGAAACCAGGGCCTCAAAGAGCCCCCGGCCCCGCCATCCACAACGGCCCGAAGGCGCACGGAGAAACAAAATGTGGCCGCACCCAGGACGGAGTGAGGCCACGCTTCACAGGCAGGAACCCACGCCTGCTACCACATGGGGCCGAGGACAGCTGCTCAGTGCGTCAGGGATTCCACAAAAGGGCAACACTGCAGGTCCCACACGGGGAGGCCAGGGAATCAATCCGGGAGCGCACGCTGAGGAGGAGGCCGAGGAGGGAGGCTGGGGCTGAGCGGGAGGCTGGGCCTGAGGGGGAGGCTGGGGCTGAGGAGGAGGCTGGGGCTGAGGGGGAGGCTGAGGAGGAGGCTGGGGCTGAGGAGGAGGCTGGGGCTGAGAAGGAGGCTGGGGCTGAGGGGGAGGCTGGGGCTGAGGAGGAAGCTGGGGCTGAGAAGGAGGCTGGGGCTGAGGAGGAGGCTGGGGCTGAGAAGGAGGCTGGGGCTGAGGAGGAGGCTGGGGCTGAGAAGGAGGCTGGACCTGAGGGGGAGGCTGGGGCTGAGGGGGAGGCTGGGGCTGAAGAGGAGGCTGGGGCTGAGAAAGAGGCTGGGGCTGAGGGGGAGGCTGGGGCTGAGGGGGAGGCTGGGGCTGAGGAGGAGGCTGGGGCTGAGAAGGAGGCTGGGGCTGAGGAGGAGGCTGGGGCTAGGGGGAGGCTGGGCCTGAGGGGGAGGCTGGGGCTGAGAAAGAGGCTGGGCCTGAGGGGGAGGCTGGGGCTGAGGAGGAGGCTGGGGCTGAGGGGGAGGCTGGGGCTGAGAAAGAGGCTGGGCCTGAGGGGGAGGCTGGGGCTGAGGAGGAGGCTGGGGCTGAGGAGGAGGCTGGGCCTGAGGGGGAGGCTGGGGCTGAGGAGGAGGCTGGGGCTGAGGAGGAGGCTGGGCCTGAGGGGGAGGCTGGGGCTGAGGGGGAGGCTGGGGCTGAGGGGGAGGCTGGGGCTGAGGGGGAGGCTGGGGCTGCGGTGTCTGTGTGGGAACAGGAGACGCTGGGAGACGGACATGTGGCAATCAGCAACGTGAATGCACTGATGCCGCTGAGCGGGCAGGTCTGAGGTTCCAGGCGTTCCAACCAGCAACCGGCCAAAGGGACAGAAGCGAGACGGAGCCCGGGGGCGGGGCCAGGCGGACGGCCCGGGGGCGGGGGCCGAAGGGGGGGGGGCGTGACAGACAGCGGCGCCCTCCTGGCCGGAGCCTCTCACCTTGTCCTGATCGCCTGGGTCGGCAGCGTCCTCTCTGGACACGGCCCGGTCCACGTTCCGGTCCACGTTCCGGTCCACGGCCCGGTCCACGCCGCCGTCCGAGCGCTGCCGGCGGTGGCCCACGCCTCTCAGTAAGTGTGCCTGCTGCAGGGCTGCCCGACACGCCCCGGTCAGCGACCGCCCGCGCACACGCACACGCACACGCACACGCACACGCACACCCGGGTCAGCGTGGGCCGGGTGTCAGGCCAAGGACAGGGCGCTGGCCCCTCGGCCTTCCTCCTCACCCACACCCGGGAAAGACACCGCGAGGACCAGCGAGGACCAGCGAAGAGGGGGCGGCCGCGCACGCCGGGACCACATACCTGCGGACGCGGCTGTGAGGGCGGCGGCGTCCTCGGGAAGGCCCCCGGGCTCCTCCTCCTCCTCGCACTCCTCCTCCTCCTCCTCCGGCGGTGCCCTGAGCTGCATCCCCGCATCCTGGCTGTCGGCATCTAACACCTGGACGGTGCAAAGGGCCGTGAGGCTCTGCCCTGCCGACCCCGAGCACAAGCCTGACTGCGAAGGCGAAGGCCAGAGCCACGCGAGACGGCGTCCTGCAGAGGCCACCCGCACAGGCACAGACGAAGGCGCCCCACGGCCCACGCTGCCGGGCACAGCCCAGCGCCCCCAGGCCTGTAACTCCAGAAACTTCAGTCTGGAAATCGCTATTTGTTACATTTCTACCCGAGAGGAGATTCCCCCCCCCCATTTATTATTATTATTTTTTTAGAGAGAGGGTGAAAGGGAAGGGGGGAGGGAGAGGGAGGGAGGAAGGGACAGAGAGAGGGAGAGAGGGAGGGAGGGAGGGAGGGAGGGAGGCAGGGAGGGAGGCAGGGAGGGAGGGAGGCAGGGAGGGAGGGAGGCAGGGAGGGAGGGAGGGAGGGAGGGAGGGAGAGAGGGAGGGAGGGAGGGAGGAAGGGAGGGAGGGAGGGAGGGAGGCAGGGAGGGAGGGAGGGAGGGAGGCAGGGAGGGAGGGAGGGAGGGAGGGAGGGAGGGAGGGAGGGAGGCAGGGAGGCAGGCCGGGAGGGAGGGACATGGATGTGAGAGAGCTTTTAGCAGAGCCCACACCATGGCCTAATCTAACTGCCCTCGCTCCACACGAGGCGCGGCCACGCCCGCAGCGCGGCCTCAGGAGGGCTCGGGCGGAGTGGGAGCCTCTGCACGGCCGGTGGGTCGGAGGGACGCGGTGCAGGTCTGGGCCTCCAGGGGAGCCCCATGCAGACACCGGGCACCCTGCCCACTCACGATTTCGGAGCTGTCGGAAGGGGTCACGGCGGAGTCGGGCCCCTCGGTGGTGGTCTGCGAGCTGTCGCTGAGCGGGGAGGAGGCCTGGGTGCCCTCGTTCAGGTCCAGGGCCGGGTCGGACGGGCCGGCGCTGACCTGGCTGGAGCTGCGGCTTAAGATATCCTCCTCGTCCCCGTCGGTGGCGCCGGCCAGGTCCACCGAGTCCGGCTGGAGCGTGTGCTGGGCCCGGGGTTGCTCTGTGATGATGTCGTGGCCCGTGGAGTCGGCCGCGGAGCTGACGGAGCCTGGGGTGGAGACCCCGGAGGAGGCAGCCAGCTCCCCAGAGATCTCGCCTTTGCCTGAGGCTGAAGACAAAAGGCCAGGACACATCCGCTGGGATCGAATGTTTGCAAAGACCCTCACGTTCACTGTCACTATTTAAACAGCAAACATCCTTAAACACAGTGAACATAGGAACTAGGGTATTTCAAAAGCAGGACAACAGTGCGTCCTCTAAACATGATCACAACCGCATCCCAGTTACTGCCCTTTCACCACGTCACCGCGTCATATTAAGCAGGTCGGGTCTGCCCTGGCTGTGTGGCCAAATGGGTAGAGCGTCAGCCTGAGGACTGCAGGGTCCCAGGTTTAATTCTGGTCAAGGGCACATGCCTGGTTTTGGGCTTGGTTCCTAGTAGGGGACATGCAGCAGGCAGCCAATCAATGATTCTCTCATCATTGATGTTTCTAATCTCTCTCCTTCCTCTTCCTCTCTGAAACCAATAAAGATATATGTTTTAAAAAATATATTTTTAGCCCTGACGGGTTTGACTCAGTGGATAGAGCATCAGCCTGTGAACTCAAGGGTCCCAGGTTCAATTCCAGTCAGGGGCATGTACCTTGGTTGCGGGCTCCTTCCCAGTAGGGAGTCTGCAGGAGGCAGCTGATCCATGTTTCTCTCTCATCAATGTTTTTATATATATATATATATATATATATATATATATTTTTTTTTTTTTTTTTTTTTTTTTTTTTTTGTTTAAAGAGGTGGGGTCAGCGCAGACACTGTGACATGTGTAGTGCTCCCAACGGTGTTCACGGCCTCAGCTGCGGCCGCTGGGCCCTATGGGGAGGGGAGTGCGGGCTCCCACAGCCACTGGGCCGTGTGGGGAGTGCGGGCGGCTCCCGCAGCTGGGCAGAGCCACGCTCACAGCTGCCCGCACAGCCCTCGGGCAAGCTGCTCAGAAGCAAGGAGGTAAATTCACCATCACCCCGAGGTGGCCATTCTTTCTCCTCTGACCCTGCTCACCTCCCCATGCCGCGCCTTCCCCGCGGCACAGAGGGCACATGCTCCCGTTACGCTGTGGCCCCATGAAACCACAGCCTGCGTGAGCGCCACAGAGCTCCCACTGTGACAGCGGCCGGCCCTGGATGCCGGCTCCGAGAGCATGTGGCCGTTATCACAGCCATAACGTTACTTTAACTTTGTTTTTGTAATCAGAACACTGATTTCTACTTTGTAAAATAAATGAATACATAATCACCATTGGGATGATTCAGATTTTCCTTCCCAAATAAGTTACCTAAAAGCATTCTTTCAAATAGAATTATACAACCCAAGCCACTCTCTTTTAACTCAATTATTAGTAACTTGGTCAATACTCATCTTTTAAGAGGTGAATAAAAAACTCATATCTGTGAACAAATGCAGAATTCTTCTTAAATCATCTGTAGACAATTTTAGTCCTTTTCCCCCTCACAACCAGGCAGTTCCCTCACCCACCACTTCCTACTCAGAAAGACAACGCTCAGGAGCATAGCCCTAATTTAAAGCAGGAAAACAGCAAATATGTGATGCAAGGAAACACACGTTTCCAAGGGAGCACTACACCAGAGGCCTGAACTCTCCCTGAGCAGCTGGCTGCACGCTGCCCGGAGCAGGGGAGGGGCCCGGGACAGGAGGGCGTGGTCCCCACGGCACCCCCTCACGCGAGAGCTACCTGCGAAGGCCGGGCTGCTGCCCTCGGACCGGGACTCGGAGTCCTCCTCCAAGGCCGCCGCTTCCCCGAGGAGCACCTTCCCTAGGAGAGAGGAGCGCCGTGAGCTGGGAGGACTCACGCAGCCGGCACGGGCAGCTGGTCACTGTGGAGGACACTCTGCCCTGGAGGCGGAGCACAGAGCCGGCGCCTGGGGCACGGAGAGCACCAGCGAGTCCACAGGAAAGCAGAGAGCCGGCTTCTCGGACAGACGGACGGACAGAGCTGCAGAGCACGGGGACAACTGCAAACACTCAGCCGGCTGCTGTGACCCCAATGGCAGTGACTTATCGCTACTTCACCTAAACCGGCACCATGGCCAGAACCACGCTGTCCGCCGGGGATGTTCCGCAGCATCTCAATTGGCCGCCAGAATTACACATGAAACCGCTATTCCTAGAGGCCATTTATTTTGTTATCTTTTAATTTGTTAGATTCTAAGGTTAATCATAACTCAAGCACTGTACAACCTGGGAGGCTGAAATAATATTTCATCTTTAGCAAAGTTCAAAAAGTACACTTTACCGTTTACAGTTTTCAGACTCCATCGTCATATGTTTCAACGTGACGTAACTGGGCTCCTAAGTCTCACGGTTACATCACACACCAGTGTCATCAAACACAGGAGCTGACCCATCATGGCCACGCGAAGACAGGGCCCAGGGTGACCACCTCCCCAGCGTGCACTCTTGGGACACCGAAGGCCAGTGAAGCACAACGGGAACAGTGGAGGTGACGGCACAGCGAGGCGCTGGCCGCCTGCTCAGGGTCCTGTGCCCGGCCAGGCTGCCCCTGCAGGGCCAGCAGGGCGGCTCTGGGGCCCCGGAACGGGGCTGCCCATCTGTCCCAGGGCAGCGCAGGTTTCATTGGAAAAGAGAATTCTGAGGCTACAACCAAGACGTTAGACACTACAGCCCTGACTGAAAAACAAGATAAGACAAAGGACGCAGGAAAGCAAAGAGCCTGAGGCCTCCCGGGTCTGGCGGGAGACAACAGGCACCTTCCCATCAGCGGGGGAGCAGGGAGCACCGAGACCAGCTGGCAGCACAGGCTCCCGAACCACCTTCGTGCTCACCCAGACCTCAAAGCCCCTCAGGGACCACACTGTGCGGCCCAATGGGAGCCTCCAGGTGCGAATAGGAAATGCTCTGGCTCGGCCGTCCCCGGGTCACGCGGGACTCAGGGACGGGTCTCATGCTTACGTGGCCATCCCCCGTCTATTTATAAAAAAAGTTCCGTCACTGCGTGTGTACACAGGCACTTTATGTTTCTTGTTACTTGTTTACAAGTAAAGGTCAGGAACTGTCTTTCTTTTGGTTCTCTTTGCTGTGTCACATCATCACTGCTGTGTCGGCTCCATGTGAGGGACACAGATGCTTATGGAGGTGGGTCCGACTCACGCGAAAATCGCCTTATGTCACCATAGGAGCGATCTCCGTCGAAACCCAGGACCTGCCGTGCTCCCGTGAAGACGGCATTCACCGCCAACAACATTGGGCGTCGGGCTCTCACACACAATACTCATGACACACACAAATCAGCATGTTGTTTGCCAATTACCCCTCAATTTTTAAAAAAAGAATTAGTCTTTTAAGATTTCAAAATAAAAAAAGGCAGCAATTACTTCCTACAGAAATCTAGACTGGAAAAGAAAATGAGTGCTGTTGCAAAGTGATAACATGTCCCCAAACTGTCAGATTTCATTAGAAACACTTTGATCTAATAAAAATAATCAATTGTATCAGGACACTTTGGCCTGCACAAAGCCAAATATGGTTGGAATACCCCAGGCCCAAATTAACTCATTAGCCAGTCATCTGTCTGATACAGTGAACAAGCAGGCGGGGAGGACGGTTACCTCACAAACATAACGCACTGGCGGCAGCAGACAAGGCAGGCGCACCCTTAGCTCAGGACCCGCAGGCTGAGGCCGAGGCCACAGGGAGGCCCAGGCGGCACAGGAACCGGCCTTACAGGAAGCTCTGCCCAGCCCCGGCCCGAAGGCAGCGAGTCCTGACGGCAATTCTGACGGCAGCGGGGAAGCCCTGCCAGGCCCAACCCGCAGCATGCACCCACAGGCAGGGCGTCACAGAACAGAAAACCAGCCGCCCGGACTGATTTCTGAAATAATCACCTCTTTGTTTTCTGGAAAGGACAGGGCTGCATGAAGACCCCCCTCCGGCTGAAAATCACAAAAGAATGACAGATGAAAGTAAGGCACAAGCTGTTGGAATTCAGAAGGAATTCAAATATTTTCAAAAAGCTCGATTCAACTTTAAAGCCAGAGAACATATGAACATATTCCCAAAAGGCAGTGCTCTGCTTTGATTTTGACATGAAAGTTACATTACCGCTCAAATACACATATAGCTCAGGCCTAAAATGTCAAGAGTGCACAGACAATGCACTTAAAAAGCCAAATTAAAGCCATCAGAAATCTGATTGTTTGGTCAACTAATAATCAAGTATAAATTCTCGTCAGGAACCACCGCTGGGAATGAGGATTCGGCGATTATTTGTAAGGCGTGCATCCCGCAGAGAAAAGGTTCTTCAGTACAAGGACAGGGAACAGGCACATGACCATTTTCTGCTCCTGACACGCACACGCACACGCATGCACACACATGCGCACACACTGCACTAAATGGACCGCATGCCACAAGACCGAGAGGCTGGGAGAAATAAAAACCCCCGGAGCTGCAACCCAAGGCTCCGTCTACCCCAGCTCCTAGGGGCGTCTCCATGTCAGGCAGGGCCACAGCTGCAGGAAAATCAGGGGGCTCCCAGGACAAGCATAGTGGGAGGAGCAGCGACGGGCAGGCGAGGAGAGCTTTTCTGAAGTGGGCAGGACAGCACTGAGCCAGAGGGCAGCAGAGACAAAAGCTCTGAAGGACCAGGGGTCCCATCTCTGGCCAAGTGACAGACGACAGGCCCTGGGATGCCCCGCGGCTTGTTCACTCCCAGGCAGACAGATGCCACTGGAGGCAGCCGCGCTCGCTCAGAGCTACCCACCTTCACCTCCTTCCCACCCGTCAGTTCCCTGCAGAGTCATCCCTGCCGTGGCCCGGGCTCCGTTGTAGGGGGGCCCGCTCAGCACTCACCGATGAGCTCCACGATGCTCCCGCTGCGGCTGCGGCCGCCGGGCTCCGGGCTGGGCGTGCTGAGCTGCGCCAGGCCGCCCGGCGTGGTCAGGGCGCGCAGCAGCGCGGGCGGCGGTGTCCGGAGCAGCTGCTGCAGGAGCTCCAGCGCCCCGGTCACCACGTTGTGGTCCGGGTGCTGCGCGTAGTGCAGGGTCAGCTCGTACACCTGGAGGGGAGACGGCAGCCGTCGTGGGCACTGGCGTCCCTTCCTGTGTCCGACAGGGGCAGAAAGGAAGGAACCTGTGCCTTCCTTTCTGCCCCTAAAACGGTGTCGCTTCTACCAGTGTGGTCAGCAGCCTCCGGGCGGCCTCCTAAGCTCCCTCGAGGCTTTTCACTGTGGTACCAATTCCTTAGGCCAGTGGTCGGTGACCACGCTCCGTGCGCAGAGGCATGGCTGACACAGTCCGAAGCGAGGACCTCGGTCGGAGTGCCACCGAGAAAGAGCTGACGAGGCTTGTAAAGGTCTCATGTCAGACCCCATCGTGCTTCTCACGTGACGTGAGCAGGGTGAGTTTATTCCTCCTGGGAGCTGCCTGTGCCACGGAGAGCGTTCGGTGTGACTTTCAGATACTGATGACTGCAGTGCGGCTGTGTGCTCTCCCGCAGCTCACACACACAACCACTCGCCATTTGCCTCAAGTTCGAAATTAACTGCACTTTCTACTTGCTGGTGGGGCAGCCTTCCCTTTAGCATCATAAAAGGAAAACGTCCGTTTCAGAAAGACAGAGAGCACGCGGACACAGACTAAAAGCTCAGGGCGGGGCCCTATGGCTCACTCTGGTTCTTCTGGGGCCTCCATCACTCCAGGTCGCAGGTCTGCAAACTGCAGTCCATGGGCAACCCGCCCGCCCCTCCGCCCAAGGTCTGAGAGGGCATGCCACGCCTGCCCATGTGCACGGCCTCTGGGCGGCGGCCCTGCCCGCAGGCATCTACCGCCTGCGGACAAACTGCCTGCACAGCGAGAACTCAGCGCCCCACAGCCCCACCCGCCCGCCCTCCTGAGTGCTGTCAGCGACATCACCTCTTCACACGGTTAGGGGTCACAACGTGTCACTATTTAAACCACGTGCTTTGCCCAGCAGTTCAGTCAAAACCCGAATTTAACATGGACTGCGGGGGCTCGATCCATGTTTACAGCACAGATAAACATGTGCCCGGTCTGGTTTAGGCACAGGGTCACAGGCTGTGCCAGGCGGGGCTATGAGGGCCTGTGTGCCACGCTATAACTTAGCAGAGCTACCTGCGGATCCCTCTGAGGTCACAGGGCTGGGGGTCATGACCTCGGACCGGAGCCCGTGCTCAGAACCCAGGCTGCGCCGCTCCCCTTCCCCGGGGCTGACACGCAGGCTGTCAGTCACGGCTGTGCCTGCACCAGTGACCCAGGGCTCCTACCTGCACCAGCTGCTCTGACGAGGGGGAGACTTCCATTTCCTTCCGGGTCACCCCAAAGCTGCCTTTCAGGCTGGTGTCCTGGACCTGCTGCTGCAGCAAGGGCACCAAGTACCGCAGAGTGAGCAGCGCTCCGAGGACCAGCAGGGAGGGGTGCGCGCCCTCGACGGGAACCAGCAGCCCTGGAAGGCAGCACAGCTCTGCATCCGGCTCCTGCAGGCCTCCGGGCTCTGCTCAGAGCCCCGCAGAGCCCTTTCTGAGCTGCGGGAGGCCCGCTGGCACAGACGTGTGCATCGCACCGGGCGCGGGCCGGGCGGCCCAGCACCGCGGCTGAGCGCCCGCACTTGCCGGGGTGACTTCAGTGAACGTGTGCGGGGGGGCCGGGCAGCCACACCGGGCAGAGCCGCAGGGCCGGAGGGACTCCCCACACTCAGAGCCACCACGCCGGCTGGGAAGTGTGGCCGCACGAGGGCTGGGCGGGCGTTGGGTGCACCAGGGCCTGTCCCCCTGCCCTGCTGGCTGGCTGGCCTTGGGTGCCCACGCTTCTGCAGAGGAGCAGCTTTTCCCACCCTCACCCCGACCGAGCTCCCGTTTCCCAGTCAGCAGGGCCCAGGGTCTGCCCACAGGCCACGGGACGGCCTGATCTCACCGTCTGTCTCTAGCAGAGGCCGGAGACACCCCCCTCGCCCGCCCCCTCCCCCCGGGCACCGTCATGCCCGTGCCTCACCCAGGAGCACCCTCACCCAGGAGCACGCTGAGCAGCCAGCTGTAGAAGTACTGCGTCCTCCGTGAGTGCTGGCACACGCTCACCACGCAGCCCGCCGCCGTCCGCCGCGTGGTGGGGGAGGGGGCCTTCAGGTTGGCGATGAAAGCCTTCAGCAGGACCTGTGGCCACGGGCCATGGAGAGGTGCATGAGGCCCGCCGTGCGTCCACAGCCTAATGCGCTCCCAACGCTCGCAGCGTCATCACAACCCGGACGCTCCGGCTGAACAAAGCCCCGCTGAGCACCCGAGCAGCGCCCAAGGCTCCAACGCAGAGGCCGGGCAGTGGGGGCCTCTGCTCTGGGGAAGCCGCCCACGGTGTTTGAGGGCGGGTCAGGGACCGACACCGATCACACAAACGCAGCCAAGAAACGGACACCGCACGAGGCCAAGGAGCAAAGAGCGGAGCAGCTACAGCCTCGTCCGGCCTCAGAGGCGCCCGTGGACCTGGCCGCAGACAAGCAAGCTGTCCCTGAGCCTGGAACAACCCAGACGAGGTTCCGGGCAGCGTGGAGGCCCTCCCCCTTCCCCGCACACCAAGCCCCTCTGCTTTCGAGGACACACCGGCCCCTCTTCACCTCCTCGCCCACCGGAGCAGTGAGAGGACAGCCAGGAGGCAGCCCCCCACGTGCCTCGGAAGGTCTGATGGGAATTATGGGCGGACAGGCCCCGGCTGGGTGGGTGGTTGAAGTGTCGTCCCAGTACACAAGGTTGGGCGTTCCATCCCCAGGCAGGGCACATTCAAGGATCGACCAATGAATGCATAAATGGAGCAACAGATGGATGTTCCTCTCTCCCTCCCTCCCTCTCTCTAAAATCAATAAATAAAAACTAAAAAATAGCCGAAACCGGTTTGGCTCAGTGGTAGAGCGTCGGTCTGCGGACTGAAAGGTCCCAGGTTCAATTCCGGTCAGGGGCATGTACATTGGTTGCGGGCATATCCCCGTTAGGGGGTGTGCAAGAGGTAGCTGGTCGACGTTTCTCTCTCATCGACGTTTCTAGCTTTCTATCTCTCTCCCTTTCTCTCTGTAAAAAACTCAATAAAATATATTTTTTAAAAAACTTCAATAAAAATAAAAAATAAATAAAAAATAAGTAAATTAGAAGTACTTTCAAATGACTGTCCCAAAGCCCCAACTCCCCAGATTCATTCACAGGCTTGTGACCTGAGGTAAGAATCATACCTTGATTTCATTGTCATTTGCAAAATTGCCAAGCGAAGCCATGATTTTGGGTATCGCCGCAGCCAAGGTCTCCTGAACAGACTCCTCGGGTCTCTTGCTTATCCGAGTCAGGCAAGGCAGGAGGTTTACCAAGTAAGGCCTGCAGGTGAGGAAGAACCTGCATTATTCTACCAGGACTACTTTAATACGTCCGGTGCCTGTTGGAGAAAAGCCAGTTTTTATAGCAAAACAGAACTCAGAGGAGAGGGGACAAACCTCAGCAACAGGAGGGTGAGCTGCACATGAAGTTCAAATGTTGGCAGACGCTCACCCTTCACCTCCCCCATAGCCAGAGGACTCTCCAAAACCCTTTTAAAAATTATATGCAGCCCAGCTGTGTGGCTCAGGGGTAGAGTGTCAACCTATGAACCAGGAGGTCACGGTTCGATTCCCTGTCAGGGCACATGCCCAGGTCATGGGCTCGATCCCCAGTGTGCGATGTGCAGGAGGCAGCCGATCCATGATTCTCTCTCATCATTGATGTTTCTCTCTCTCTCTCTCTCTCTCTCTTCCCCTCCCTCCCTCCCTCCTTGAAGTAAATTTTTAAAAATTTTTTAATAAAATAAACTTTCAAAATTATTTGCAGTAAATATTAAGTTATTATAACACTCATACTGTAAATTAGAAAATAGAGGTAATATAAGAAACATCACATTAGGAGGCGGAGGAAGGCGTGGGGGAGAGACAGCGATACGAGGAGACTTGCCTTGGGGGAAGGCACACAACAGCATACAGAGAGAAGGCCCTTAAATAAACACTAAGACAGACGATGAGGGAAACAGGGGTAAGGGATGAGATGAAGCTTTCTTGGAAAAGAAGCATTACAGAAAGGAGTAGTGCTCAAGCTGAACAGGCCTCAGAGGTAAGACCTGGCTCTAGAGAAAGCTGCCGCCATGCTGACGGACGGACAGACGGACGGACTGACGGACCAGGGCAGTCACAGGCTGGACAAGCCAGGATCTCAGGACCCCGCCAACCATGGGGAACTCGGCAGCGCCCTCTAGTGCAGGAACAGGCAAGAAGCCGTCTGCACCCAGGACCAGCTCCGGGAGCCTGGGTCACAGTCCTCAGGAGAAAACTGTTTCCGCAGGGACCCCAGGGTAAACAGATCAGCCATCAGAGGAAGAGCCTCTGGCTTTTGAAGAAGTATAATATAATAGAATCGGGCCAATGAGTCCACAGAGTGTCTGGGGTGACGGGGCCCTGGGGCAGGCTCCCTGGGCTGGAGAGAAGTCGGGATTGATCTGGACAGTCTGGGGGATGAGCCACAGTGCGAGTGAGGAAACAACGGGTCCAATCACATCTCCGGTCACTGTGGCTGCTATGTGGAGACTATAGCAAGCAGTTGGATAAAAAGACATTTCCCTTGTACTGCATCTCTGTTAAACGCAAACCACTGGAACCCATCACTGCTTCCTATTCACAGTGAGGGCCGGGCCACGCCCATTCCTAGGGACGTTTGCCAGTTAGGGAGACGAAGGTGGAGTTAAAAGCTGTGGTCCTTCTTTTGTTTTTTGTTTTTTTGTTTTTTTAAAAATATATTTTATTTATTTTTTACAGAGAGGAAGGGAGAGAGATAGAGAGCTAGAAACATTGATGAGAGAAATCATCGACCAGCTGCCTCTTGCACACCCCCCATAGGGGACGTGCCCGCAACCAATGTACATGACCTTGACCGGAATTGAACCTGGGACCTTTCAGTCCGCAGACCAACGCTCTACCAATGAGCCAAACCGGCTTCGGCTCTTCTTTTGTTTTTAAGATAGAACTGTTCCAGCCGAAACCGGTTTGGCTCAGTGGATAGAGCGTCGGTCTGCAGACTGAAAGGTCCCAGGTTTGATTCCGGTCAAGGGCATGTACCTTCGTTGTGGGCAGATCCCCAGTAGGGAGTGTGCAAGAGGCAGCTGATTGATGATTCTCTCTCGTTGATGTTTCCAACTCTCTATCCCTCTCTCTTCCTGTCTAAAAAATCAATAAAATATATATTTTTTTTAAAATAGAATTGTTCCATTAGTCAAAACTATTCGCAGTTTAACGCCCACAATTTAGTGCCCATATTGGAAACCCATGTCCTAGACACAGACACAGAGTCCCCTAACTCCTACTGTGAGCACTGGGGTGGGACTTGACCTCCAAACTCTTGGTAAGTCCCTTTTCACGTGCGTGGGCACTGCTGTCACACGGGACAGGGGAAGACCCTGCTGTTGGGGCACCCACCTCCTACGGGCCTCGGGGGAGGGGACGTGAACAAGCACACGGCGGGTGTGCAGGAACGCTCCTGAGCAGGGAGCTGTGAGGAGAACCAGGACACGGCAGCCCATCACAGCACAGGGCCCAGCTCGGGAAGGGACGTGTGAGCTGAGAGGGAGAGAACCCAGGGAGGCCTCCACCGGGACGACAGGAGGCCGCCGCCGCCCAGCAGTAACGCACCTGCACTTCTGAGGCCGGACCAGGTGCGCCAGCTCGGCGAACCGCCACAGCGCAGCACGCAGGCTCCGGGGAGCGCCGTTCTGCGTGGGTTTAACAGAGGAGTTACATGTTAGGGTCACGGAGGACGTCACGTAACAAGGGCATGTTTTCATGGTTAACTGCTATTTTTAGAGAAAGGGCCATTTGAATCTTTACTTTAGAAATGTTAAGGTTAGTGAATTTAACTGTAACAATATAAAAGGTAAGTCACCCTTTTAAATTCCCAACTCATCTAATAAGCAATGAGAGCAGAGGAGAGTAAAACTATGTCTACTGCTCCAAACAGCTCCTCACTCGTAGGTGAGATGGCACTTCCCCAGCTGCTCAGGCAGCGAGGCGGCCGCAGCGGGAGCGAGGCGCACCTTCTTGATCTCCTTGTAGAGCTCGAGCTGCAGCCTCGGGAGGTTCGAGTCCATCAGCGCCTGCAACACAACGAGCCCAGCTCAGGCCTGGCCCCGCTCAGGCCCGGCCCCGCTCAGGCGCAGCCCCCAGCCCCACTCAGGCCCGGCCCCCAGCCCCGCTCAGGCCCGGCCCCGCTCAGGCCCGGCCCCCAGCCCCGCTCAGGCCCGGCCCCGCTCAGGCCCCGCCCCCAGCCCCGCTCAGGCCCAGCCCCGCTCAGGCCCGGCCCCCAGCCCCGCTCAGGCCCAGCCCCCAGCCCCGCTCAGGCCCAGCCCCCAGCCCCGCTCAGGCCCAGCCCCCAGCCCCGCTCAGGCCCGGCCCCCAGCCCCGCTCAGGCCCGGCCCCGCTCAGGCCCCGCCCCCAGCCCCGCTCAGGCCCGGCCCCGCTCAGGCCCGGCCCCCAGCCCCGCTCAGGCCCGGCCCCCAGCCCCGCTCAGGCCCGGCCCCGCTCAGGCCCGGCCCCCAGCCCCGCTCAGGCCCGGCCCCCAGCCCCGCTCAGGCCCAGCCCCGCTCAGGCCCGGCCCCCAGCCCCGCTCAGGCCCGGCCCCCAGCCCCGCTCAGGCCCGGCCCCGCTCAGGCCCGGCCCCCAGCCCCGCTCAGGCCCGGCCCCGCTCAGGCGCAGCCCGGCTCAGGCCCAGCTGAGGCAGCGGGAGGCAGCCTGCACCGCAGTCAGGCCAAAGTAAACGTTAACAGCAACTAAAGGAGGAGCCTAATCACTGAGAAAAAAGCACATACGCACAGTGACTCACAGACTAGAACGGAAGCAAGTTTAACTGTTATCACCATCAAACACTACAGAACGGCACACCTAATGGCAGGTGTCTCCAATCCATTCAAACCTCTGATCGGAAACCCTGACCAGGCGAGTGCAGACCATGTGCGCTCTGCCAGGAGATCAGCATTATGGCAAGGCCTGGGGGGGCCGGGGCGGCGCACCCGCAGGTGAGAGCCTCGGTCTGTGTGGCACACGCGCCCACTCCCACTGCAGACCCGCATCCTCCTGAAGGTCTGGCCCTCCCTTTGTGTCCGGATGCGCCCAGCCTGTGGCCTAGGGACCCTCTGAGCCGGCAGCCAGCTGGGAGCCACAGGCCCCTCCCAGGCCCGCCTCCTCCCAGATGCCCGGCTCTCGCTCTGGCCCTGGCCCCAGCTCCCAGGCAGGCCTCCAGGGCACAGGCTTCCGGTCTGGAATAAGCACTCCTCCACCCGCGTCCGAACTATGCCAGAGCCCCTCCTCCTCCACACAGAGCACGAAGCCCTGGGACTGACCTCAGCACCCATGCTGGGCGGCTCGCAGCGCAGCTCCTGGCACCAGAGCCGGCCCCACGGTGAGAGGCCGAGCCTCCAGGCTCACCCCCAGCCCCCGCCAGGAACCTCTCCCCCGCAGCGACCACCCGCGGGGCGCGGCGTCTGCGCTGGGCACCGAGTGGCTTCTGCCAGGCCACCTCACACGGGACTGACGGGGCTGAGGGCAGAGCACGCGGCCAGGCTGATCGGGTCCCCAGAGCGCTTTCCTACATAAACGAAGGGCGAACTGCGCCCCATCTCCCCGCAGGGCCCGTGCAAGGACCCTGTGGAGAAGGGAGCGGGCACCTGCTGCGGACACAACGTGAGCAACGGCTCTGGAGAAAGTGCCAACACTCTGCCGGCGAGTCCACGGGGGAACGGCGTCTCAGTGTGCACACGCACGAACTCCACGGAGGCTAAAGGACAGCCCCCGGGTGGGCTGGGGACCCGGACGCGGAGCAGGGCCGGAGGAGGCACAGGACCAGTGACTGAGAATGAGGGAAGAAGGCGCTGGGCCGTGGCAGCAGGAAGCAGAACAGGCGGCAGCAGACTCAAACTCCACCTCAGGAAGCGATCCCGGGAGAAGACCGGTGTCCCCTTCTCTCTCCCTACCTCCCTGCCACCAGTGGCTTCTGGCTCACCTGCTGTCCCGGAGCCGCTCCCTGCCCAGTAACCTGCTGTCAAGTCACAGCCTGACCTGCAAGCAGCGCTGCCTGCCAGACCCCAGGGGGGCAGAGAGGAGCGAAGGAAGGGCGCTAGAGACCCCAAAGGATTCCAGGGCCTTGTGTTCTCTCTGGGATACGCCCCAACAGCGCACCCAGGAGTGGCCATCAGCACCCGCCCGCCCACACCCTGAGGGAGGCCAGAGGCCGGGCAGCCAGAGGCCGGCAGACAGCAGGCAGACCCGCCCACCTGCTGCAGCCACTCCGAACAGGGCCGTCAGGGCCTTGTTTGTTTATGAATGCATTTACGGTGCCGGGTTAATAAACCCGCAGGGTGGGCCGGCCCCTCACCTTGATGACCTTGTTGAGGCACTCGTCAGCCACCATCCTCACATCAGACTCTGCGTCGTCACTGCACAGCAGGAACAGCTCCATGGCGATGCCCAGCAGTTTCTGGAATTCCGGAGAATTTCTAAGTGAAGAGGAGAGAATGTCACAGCCAAGAGGAGCCTGAGAAGCCATGGCAGTTACACGTCCTGTCCAGGACGCTGGAGCACGGAACGAAGGCCGTGTCTGTGGCGTGGATCTGACTGGGAAACACGGACCAGTGACGCCAGAGGCCACGCTGGGAGCCAGGTGTGGGCACTGGAAACTCGGCAGCTCCGTCATTCTTCCGGGAATTAAAACTATTCTAAAATTTTAAAGTTTATTTACAAAAAAAGAGGTTGTCTTTGCAAGACAAATCTCATTTTTTAAAGTTTTAATTTAAATGTTTTTGAAAGACTGCTTTTTGTGTATTTTAACTCAACTTTTAAAAAAGACACTGCTTGAGCTTGGCTAGCCGGTTTGGCTCAGTGGATAGCGCGCCAGCCTGTGGACCAAAGGAAGGGAGCCCGGTCAGGGGCACGGACCTCGATGGCAGGCTCCTCTCCGGCCCACGCCCTGGTCAGAGCTCCTGCGGGAGGCAGCCAACTGATGTTCCTCTCCCCTGATGTTTCTGTCTTTCCCTCTCTCCCCCTCTCCCCAAATAAAAGTCCATGAGGAAAATGCCCTCGGGTGAAGATTACAAAAACACACAAATGACACCGCTTGGAATACTTGAACCCAGACAGTCTGCTCTGTGCCCCAGACCACTCTGATCCTCCCCCGAGAACATGCTTAGGGAAGGGAGGGGAGAGAGAAAGAGCGAGAGAGGAAGGGGGAGGGGGAGGGGGAGACATCTTAGGAGAAACATCAATGGCTGTCCTGCATGGGTGCCCAGCCTGGGGTGGGACCCTCAGTCCAGGTGTGTGCCTGGCCGGGAACTGAACCAGCGCCTCCAGGGACAGGGTGAGCCCCAGCCCACAGAGCCACATTCCACCGAGGTTTCTCTCTCTCCCCTCTCCCTCCCGCTCTGAAATCAATAAAAATAAATAAACGCAAAGGTATTCTCGGGTGAGGATCAACCACACAAAGGAGCAGGAGCTGCTCATGAGTGTCTGGAGCAGAAGTCTGGGACGGGCGCCTTAAGGCTGGGACAGGAAGTCACGACGAAACCCGCCGGCTTTTCTCCAGTTACCTGAGCGACTGCGCCACTATGTTCTCGCAGATGGTCAGGCAGTGGCTCACCCGGTCCTTCTTGGTGGCCGAGAGCTCCTTCTTTCTGAAAGAGAGGGAGGGGAGAGTGAGGCTGTGCTGAGTTAGCGCGCCCCTCCTCGGCCGGCACCGCCACGTCAGGAAGCTCTGGGGCAACTCCGAGGAACCACTGCTCCGCGCTCCGCGCTGGGGCAGAGAGCCGCCAGGGTCAGGGTCGGGGTCGGGGTCGGGGTCAGGGTCAGGGTCGGGGTCGGGGTCGGGGTCGGGGTCGGGGTCGGGGTCGGGGTCGGGGTCGGGGTCAGGGTCAGGGTCGGGAGGCACAGAGGGGCTCCACCCGGGCTTCCTTACTGGTGCTGCTCCGTAGCAACTCCAGGTGACCTATAACACACCCTACCTTCCCCAAGTTAGCGGAGAAACTTGGTCCGGGCATAAATTATAGACAAGGCGGACCATTTCTACCTCCCCAAACCGCTAAAACAGCCGCCTGCGGAGACTCTCAGCCAGGAGAGGAGGTGCAACCCAGGTGCGGGCGCCAGGCAAGAGGTGTCCGCAGGCTGCCCCGGGGACAGGAGGAGGAGCCGCCGGAAGAGGCAGCTTGGGGAGCACAGCCAGAAAAGAACGAGCATACTAACAGAAACCACCAGAACACCACTGGGTCTCTGAGATTCTATACGTCAGGGGGAGGGGCGGCTAACCTACAAGCCCCTGTGACCAAGGCAGCCCTCAGGCCCCACAACGTGCGCTGCGGCCAGGGAAGCCCTCCAGAGGCAGCCAGGGCCGGAAAGGACAGACAGGGTCCGGCGAGAAGAGCAGGGCCTGGTCCAGGGAGAGCGAGCGGGGCTCCTGGACTGCTGAGGCGTTGCCCGCCTCGTGCGGGCGGGACTGACACCAGCCAGCTGGAGCGGAGTGCTACCAGCCGCAGAACACGTCCTTCCCGCGGACGGTGCCTCCGCTCAGAAGTCCGTGGCCTTGCCTCCCTGCGGCTAGACAGACCCCACTCGGTTCCCAGAAGCAGGAAGGGAGGCAGCATGCGGGGCGCTGTCTGGCCCGAGTCTCTCCCCTCTGGCTCCTCGCAGCTGCCGCTCACTCAGATGGAGCTTCAAGAGGGAAAGCCCAGGCCCTAACTGAGCAGGAGAAGCTGAGGGGCCCCCCACCCTCCTGTCCTCATGAACCACCCACCTCAGAAGCCCTATGATTGGCCGGGCTGGCATGGCTCAGTGGTTGGGCATCGACCTATGAACCAGGAGGTCATCTGTTCGATCCCCGGTCAGGACACAGGCCAGGGTTGCGGGCTCGATCCTCAGTGTGGGGCCTGCAGGAGGCAGCCGATGGATGATTCTCTCCTATCATTGATGTTTCTCTCTCCCTTTCCACCCCCCCTTATTATCTATTGTATAAAATCCATAAAGATATTCTTTTTTAAAGAGCTCCATGATAGAAGCAACCCAAATGCCCTTCGCCCGGCAGGAGGAAAACCAAGCTCTCTGGCCAGACGGCGGCGCTGTGCTGCTTGGCAGGGAGGGGCGCCGCTCACACACGGGGTGAATCTCAGCGCGCCAGGCTCACGGCTCGGCTGGATGCGTCCATTCACCAGCACACGACGTCTGGGAGGACAAACCACAGGAACCAGAGTGACCAGTCTCCGGGGGCCAAGCAGCAGCTGACAGCAAAAAGGCATGGGCGTGGGGACAGGGTGGTTCCGGTTCTCAACTGTAGGCGTGGCTAATGGCTTTATGCATGTGTCAAACTGCACAGAACTGCACACTAAGAAGGGCCCGTTTCCCCAAGTGGAACTGTGCCAGTTTTAAAGAGAAAGAAGGAAAGTGCTGTGAGACTGAAAATGCTCTCTCCCTTAAACCACCAATCCAGTCTCACAGCAGCTGGTGGAGAGTCAGCTCCTTGGCCCTGCCCGCTGCACTAACCGTGCGAGTACTCATCCGTTGTCCATTATGCTGCCAGCCAGGAGAGTCCCTGTGCCAGAGGCTGGACCTCCTTGGACACGGGGTATCGGACAGAGAAGACATAAGAAGTTGTAGGCGTATCAGAGAGTCACTAATGCAGCCCAAGTAGCCACAGCTCCTAAAGGGCCCTTAGACAAAGCAGTCCTTGCTAACACAGTAGCAAACACAGGCCATCCCAGCAGAACAGCCTCACCTCAGCTGTTAGTAATACATCCTCCCCACAAAGCAGCCACCAACATAGGAGCATAGGAAGCAGCCGCACACCAGCTGGTCATAACACACTTTACGCTAACTCAGACAACAGTCTTCCTGCCAAACAGTGACCTCAGTCTCCTGGGGTACAGAAGAGCATGCCGCACAGTGCACAGATGGCCGCGTCCTTGCTTTTGCACCTGCGAACAGAAAATGAGCCTTGAGCACCCTGCTTAGGATTCCCACGCTCAGAGTGGCCTTGAACATCCGGCGTACACTGAATGACTAGGGTACCTAACACTTAGTTTCCCTAGTTTAAGGCAGCCATCAAGAAAGTAAAAGAGCAGTGATGAATTTAAGCATTTTAGAAAGCAAACAAACACATCCATTACTCCTCAATTTCCAAAGTGAAAATCTGCCCCCGGCCTTCGATGTGCTGAATCCACACTCCAGCTCCAGGCTGGAGGGGAGTGGCACTCCACGTGCAGTCTCCTACACTGCGTCTGAAGCGATTCCTCAGGGGCTGTACCGAGAACAAGGCTGACGGGCACTATTCTGATGGTGGTCAGAAAAGAAATTCAGACCTGGGTATTCAGCAAGTCAGAACCTAAGCAGAACCTCCATCCTGTGGTGCGTCCACCTCCAAGCCCAGCTTTCCCAGCTGGCACGGGAGAGGCTCAGCAAAAGTGAGGCGGAAGCCAGGTGTCCCGGATGGCTGACCTGACCAACTGGCCGTGGCTGCCAGAGCGCAGCCTGGAGAACACGCTGAGCTCACCTGCATCCAGGAAGAGCCCGCCCTGCTGACGGGCTGAGTCCGCCATAGGCAGGGAAGGAGTGCAAAATTCAAGTGTTTACGACACATAAAACGCTCCCTGGACTCCTCATGACAGCACTTACAACAGCCCACGTGTAGTGACAATGAGTCAGGGTGCCCATGTGCGCATCAGCAGTCAGCAGCGTCCCGAAGGAGGAAAAGCCACGCCTCACAGTGTCCCCCCGCCTGACGGCGAGCTGGCCGGCCCGTGGGCACCTCTCCATCTTCTCAGAAGTGAGATACACACATGAGTTTTCCTAAGAACGCTGTCTCTCTCCTCACTTGTGGCAAACCAAAAAAGATCGTTAGCAAGAAGCAATACTGCACGCTCTCAAGGCCTGCCCTGGTCCATGAAGGCCTGGTGCCCTGGTCCACGTGCCAGAACCTGAGCCAGTGAAGCAAACTGACCGCCAGAGACAGAACGTGGTGAGGCCTTCCGACCGGGAACAAGGCCCCTCCGACCTCCCTCCTGGTCCACATCCCGAAGCTCTGGGAATGGCCGGAAGGAACTCCCTCATGTGGTCGAGCATCTTAAAGCTCAGCGCCTGTGCATCCTATGTCCCTGCTCAGCACACCTGCTCCCTACCTGCTTCTGCCCAACAAACAAACCGGGAAGGTCAAAATCCCCCGCGGGATGGGATTAGGTTGAAGGAGCGATACGTCCGGCTGCCTCACTCCGCGCGGGGGGGGGGAGCGGGGGCAGCCCCGCTCCGGGCGGGCCTGGCTGCGGGGTGAGTGCCAGACGCACAGGGTCGGGGCAGTCCTGGCTGCTCCCACTGCAGGCAAAGCAGACACTTCAACTTCGCCTTCCACCTAAGGCAGAGCCCTCCGCCGCCCACTGTGCGGTGAGCAGTCTGCGACACACGCCTGGAGGAGGCCGCGGCCAGCCCACCCAGGCCGCCTGTGTGACCCGTCATAAGCCGCGTCCCAAAGGGGCCAACCCAGAGACACTAGATGAGCGGCAGGGACCAGGCGGACAGGGCAGTGAGAGCGGTGACGGCTGCAGAGCCCCGTGAACTCAGCACCGTCACTCAACTGCGCACTCGGAAATGGTAACTTATAATAATCGCAATCTCCCATTTCACTCTGCCTGCAAATCCACAGCTCTTCCTCCGCAGAGATCCCGGATCTGACACCCACCCCAACCCCCGCTCCCCCCACCGCCGCTTCCTTCCCATCCCTTCCCCAGGCCAGACTCCGGCTCCCGCACCCCACAGGGGCCTGGAGCTGCCCGCCCCTCCCCCCCCCCCCCCCCCCCCCCCGCTCACACCCCCAGCCACCACATCCCTAAGCCTGCACCACGCATCTGGCCTCCAGGCCTGAAACTGTGTCATTTCTAAAACGGTTTGCAAACAGGATCGCAGCGCGCAGTGTCGGGATGACTGTCCGTGCTTCTCTGAGCGCAGCGGCCCGGGCTGCCCCCTCTCGCTGCTCAGCAGATCAGTCACCTGTTGCAGGACAGCGCGCCGACTCCAGTTTCCGGTTTTAGGAATAAAGCTGCTCCGAGCCGGGGCCCAGCTTCCGGGCCCTCCGTTCTCCGGGGGAATGCCCAGGAGGCCGCGGCGGGAACACAGGGACTGGCGCACTCAGGGCAGGCAGCTGGGTGCCCACCGCAATGGCCCTGGCGTCATCAGTGACCTCTCCATGTCCGCCTCTGCCGGCGTCAGGCCCCGCGGCTGACCCTCGCTGACCCGGCCTCAGCCTCATCGCCTGCGCCTGCCCTTCCTTCCACCTGGGCACTGGCTCCTCACTCCTCGGGGCGCACTCCTGCTCCCCAGGGGGACGCTCGCTGCCTCCTCTGGCCCGTGTCTGTCCCCTCAGCACTGCGTCCCTAAAAACCCGCACAGCCCTCTCCGTTCCTCCATTAGCGCTCTCCACTGTGTTTACCTCATCGGTCCCATCCGCCGCTGGAACCCAGGGCCCAGAGCAGGGCCTGGCACACAGTAGCCCATCTAGTCGGCTCCCCACTAAGGTCCCCCCAGTAGCTGAGGCTCGTAATGCCCAGCTCACCGTCGGTGCCACACCTGTCTGCAGCCGCCCAGCGCTCCAGGGCCTAGGACAGGAGCTACACGCCCCGGCAGCCCCCGGCCCCCTGAGCAAGCCTCCCTGCCCATGCGCCACCGCACTGCCCGCACCCACGGAGGCCGCCCCCCGCAGAGCTTCCGCGCCCTCCTGCACACGGGCTGCCCCCAGGAGCCGGTACGAGGCGACTCTGACGCAGGAGGTCCGAGAGCGGGCACACTGTGCTTCTCCAAGCTCCCACTGACACCGAGCGGCTGCCCTGAGGCCCTCTTGTCTCCGTCTAGAATCAGAGCTTATCCCACTTAACACGGTGAAACAGTCCTTATGCCGTCCCAGGTGTCCTTCCGTCTGGAAAAGGCAGACCTATTATCCCCGGTGCCAAGTGGCTCCCTTGCAGGCCGGGGGTCACTGGGGTGGGGCCCTTAAGGTGGAGGACATAGGTGGAGCCAGGACGATGCTAGACCTTTGCCTCTGCGCCCCCAAGAGCCCTTCAGAGGTAAGCGCGCAGAGAGGTAAGCGCGCAGAGTAACGCAGCAGTTAACACGGTCCCACACACTGAACAAGACCCTCCACCAGCACCACGATCCCCACTCGCTTCACTGCGAGTAATAAACTGTGACCTTCAATCAGGCAACATTTTTTAGGTATAACAACTAGTGTGCAGCGGCCACAGACAAGACAAAACACTGGGTGAACTCATCCAAATTAAACTTTTCAATGGGGCCAGGGGAAATAAAAAAGTTAATTTTTTAAAAATTAAAAACATTTTGCTTCAAAGGACACTATAAAGAAAATAAAGAGAAAACCCACAGAAAGAACATTTTTACAAATCCTATCCTATCCTAATAAAAGTGTAATATGCAAATCAACTGAACAGCAGAGCCACAGAACAGCAAAAGGACTGGTCGCTATGATGTGCACTGACCACCAGGGGGCAGATGCTCAATGCAGAAGCTGCCCCGGTGGTCAGTGCCCTCCCGTAAGTGGAATGCCAGTCAGCCATAAGCTGGGTTCACAGCTGGCAAACCAAGCGGCAGGCAGCCAGTAAGGAGCGAGTGGTCCCAGACGGTGAGAGCCCTGGACTGTGAGAGGGATGGGGCCTGAGCCACCAGGCAGGTGAGGGGTCCTGGTCCTGGAATGGGAGAGCAGGCCGAGCTGAGCAACGCCACCCCCCCCCCAGTGCACTAATCTTGTGCACTGGCCTCTAGTATCTGACAAGAGTCTAGTACATAGACTAATTAAAGAACGGTTACAATTGGGTAACAGACAAATAACTAAGAAATGGGAAAGAATGAGGACAAGGGCTTCACAGAGTCTGGGTCTCTCATCTTCCTCAAAAGACAATACTCTCTTACCTGTGTAAGCTACTGCGGGAGGGTTTTGCTGTGTGCACTGAATATAACCCTAATGACAGCTAACAACAGCCAAACTAAATGATGCTCAGGAGACGGAGGCGAACAGGTCCCAGGGCCCTGCCTGGAAACCAGCCCCTTCTCAGTCAGTCACGTTGCCTCTGCGAACGCCCTGGCAGACCCCCCTCTCTCAGACGCTGCAGGTCCCTACCAGCCCGGCCGCCTGCGCCCTCACCTGTTGTCAGCCAGTGCTCACTGTGAAGTGGAAGGAGAGTCCAGCTAGTCCTCGGACCAAACGCTCCGATGACCTCCTATCCGCTGAGAATGAACACCAGTGCCTTTATTCCCTCGGGGGGGGGGGGGGGGGGATAATTGAATGGGGTGGGCCTCCTCCTCCTCTCTGGCCTCACTCCTTCCCACCCAGAGTTCCCGTCTGCTCAGCAGGTGCGGCTCAGGGACTGAGCGTCCACCTATGAACCAGGTCAGGTTGGATTCCCGGTCAGGGCACAGGCCCGGGTTGCAGGCTCGATCCCCAGTGTGAGGTGTGCAGGATGCCAATGATTCTCCCCATTGTTTCTCGCTCTCCCTCTCTAAAATCAATTTTAAAAATACTTTAAAGGAGCTTCCCTCACTAATTCAATCATTCAATCGGCCAAGCTGACCTCTGAGCCATTCCTCCTTGGGCCTGTTTCCCTGCCTAGAATGCCCGTCCGCCCCACTCCTCACAGCTACTTCCTGGACCGCTTCAGTTATTTACTCGAAGCCACCTCCTCCGTGGACACCTGACCTAAAATGTCAACACCTCACTACCCCGACGCGGCCTGGTCCCCTGGCCTGCTCTGCCGCTCCTCCTCCTGCAGATCTGTCTTCTCTGGTCCACTCCCTGTGCCCCAGAAACAGGAAGTTCCCTGAGTGCAGAGCTCAGGAAGCGTTTCTGGTGAGGAGACGATTAAAGTCAGGGGGAAGCAGGTGGGAGCCTGAAGGAGAAAGTGTCAAAAGCAAATGTCAGCCGCCTCCCAAGCTCCACAGGCCCTGCATGCCGGTCCCACTCGAACCCTCATCCCACGCAGGAGCCAGCCAAGAGCAGGCGCTCAGGTCCCTCCCGCGAAGCCCACGCGTGCCTGTGACCCGCCAGCTCCGCACTGCCTGGCTCTGGGACCATCACCCTCAGGTGCTCCTTACCCAGACGTAACATTAAAACAGCCACGAAAACAGAACCGGCACTTCCTAAGCTGCTTTGCCAACCCTCACTTTGGGGAGCGGGTTTTTCACCTGAAGCATCAGAACAAGAAATGCCAAGATCCAAACTTGTCATCAATGAGTTTGTTACTCAAAATTTATGAATACCTGCGTTTTCAACAGCAAAATACATAATGTGGTGTTTGTGCATTTTAGTTAAAAGGACTGTAGTTAAGCCTAATGCAGTTTGTTTCAGAGCATGCTAAGAACCTTTAAAGGTTACTATGTTGAAATACTTTTGTTTTTAAGTATTAATAACTTAAAATCTAGCCTCTCATATGCTCAGGTCACATCTGGAGGAGCGCGCAGGAGGAAGGATGATGTGCTTGCCTCTGGGAACAGTCAGGCACTTGGGAGAAAGGAGTGGGAGCGAGCTTTTTAATTGTTGCCTTTGGAACTGGCATCACATGCATGTACTGCTTATGCAAACACAATGGATTATCTTTTTTTTTAATATATATTTTATTGATTTTTTTACAAGAGAGGAAGGGAGAGAGATAGAAACATCAATGAGAGAGAGTCATTGATCAGCTGCCTCCTGCACACCCCCTACTGGGGATATGCCCACAACCAAGGTACATGCCCTTGACCGGAATCGAACCCGGGGCCCTTCAGTCCCCAAGCCGATGCTCTATCCATTGAGCCAAACTGGTCCCGGCTGGATTATCATTTTTAAGTGAGTCAGTCACATCACCTTAAAATAAACGAGTAAAACAGAGTCTAATTTGTCAAACCAACTTTAGAAAGAAATCACTTTATACCCACGTTTTGAAGATAAGCGAATTCAGCAGGCTCCTTCAAATCAGACCAAGAACACAGGGCATATTTTAAGGTTGACAACGTCTGGCCCAGCCACCGGGGGCAGCAGTGAGATCTTGCTTCCCACCCAAAACCCTGGTGCCCCCTGTTTACACAGGAGCCAGGCACTGAGTGAGCTGGCGTGTACCTCCTGGAGAGGCAGTGCCATCACTCGGGAATGGGTGTAGCTATAAATCACTTGTGGTAATAATTTATATTAGGAATAAAGTTGTTTTTTAAACTTTTCTCTAAGTAGCCAGACAGGTTTTCCACCTCTTAGAACAATTTATTTCTAAATTTTATTCCAACAGATAAGCCCACGTTACTCTGCAAATCCACATTTTCTCATTAAACTCTCAGAACACAGCCAGGATCATTTCGGAAATATAAAGAACAAGGATACACGGCAAAAGAGAAGCAGTCTGAGCAGAGTGCGCTTCTTCAAGAGGCTGACAGAGCTGTCCCACCTTGCACACCGCGGGTCAGGACCCGGCAGCCCAGCGGGGAGGCGGGCCGCTCCGGGCGCCCCAGCCTCTCCGCACAAGGACTGGGGGCAAGGGGCGGGAGCACAAGGGGTCTGCTAGACGGTGCTCTTACGGCCTCTTTCTTTCTGTTTCAAAAATTCTCGCAGGCACAAGCCTGGGAGACCCCAGTACCCAAGCCGGACCGGGATGTGGGCGGTGAAGCCCGGGAGCCGTCCGAGGTCTGCAGACACCCGCGTCCAGCCAGCTGGGCTACATCACCGGTGAGACGGCATCCCGCACCCAGTAGCTAACGCTCCCTCCGCGCGCTCATCCCAGCCAGCGCTCCCTAACACCACGCCGGTGTTATTATTTCTCTCTTGTTAATAATAACCATCGAAGTAGGTCACCCCTTCCTGGACAACCGCAACTCCTTCCACGACGTGCAGACCAAGCCTGAGCCCAGACAGCGGGCTCTCTCGCTGCTGCTCAAACGCCCGGCGGGCGGAATGCCGCGGAAGGTGGGCGCGCAGCCTCCGTCCAGGGCTGTTTCTAGGGCCGCGTCCGCACCCTCCCGCCGCAGGCATGATGTCATCTCACCCCCGCACCCCGCCCGCGCCCCCCGCGCTCCTCCGCTCCCGGGGGGAGGGCAGGGAAGTGGCCCGGAGGGAGCCGCACGGGACGCGGCCTCGGCTCTGCCAAGTTCTGCTCACAACACGCCCGGTTTCTCGCAAACGCGGAGCAGCAAGTTCCTCCCCTAACTTCGCACCGAAGGGACGGCGGGGGCTGAGGCCGGGCCGCCGCGGCGCCGTCCGGAGTGAGGCTGTGGCCGCCCGCGGACGGACGGAGACCCGCGCGTGGGGCCGGGAGGGGCAGGTGCCCTCCGCGGAGGCCCCGTCGCTGCGGCCCGGGCTACAGGGACAGGCGGGGAGCGGCTGGGGGCCCGCACTCACGGACGGTGCAGCGGCTCCTCGGCCACGGCCGGGCCGGGCGGCGGCGGCGGGGGCGGCGGGGGCGGCGGCTGCGGCTGCGGCGGGGGCGGCTGAGCCTGTGGCGGCGGCGCAGGCGGCGGCGGCTGCTGCTGCTGCTGCTGTTGCTGCTGGAAGGACTTGAGGGACTCGAAGGCCTTCATCAGCTTCTCCAGGGTCGCCATGGCGACCTCCCGCCCCGCGGGGACAGCGACCGGAGCCCTCGGGCCGGCTGGCGGCGCCGCTCAGCAGCGCGGCAATGAATGGGGTTCGCGGCCACTGGCAGGTGCGGAACCGAGGCGCCCGGCCATCTTGGACCAGTCCCGGCAGCCCCCGCGGCCCTGCGTCTGACGACGCTCCGCCGTCGGGGCGGGGCCAGGCCGGGCCGCCGAGATTGACAGCTAGAGGCGGTGGCCTCTGCCAATGGCCGGCCGGCGCCGCGCCCGTCCGCTGGCCTTCAGGAGTGGAGCAGCCACTGAGGTAGCAGCGTCCCTGGAGGCGGGGCCTGGCGGCGGGGGCGGGGCGTGGGGAGGAGCGCGAACGCTGCGGACTGGGCGTGCGCTGAGGGCGGGGCCTGGCGGTAAGGGGCGTGACGACGGCGGGGCCTGGTGGCGAGGGTGGGGCAGGTAGCGAGGGGCGCGGCCAAGCGGTGAGGCGGGACCTGTGGTGAGGGGCGGGGCGGCGAGGGGCGCGGCCAGGCGGTGAGGGGCGCGGCCAGGCGGTGAGGGGCGGGGCGGTGAGGGGCGCGGCCAGGCGGTGAGGGGCGGGGCGGTGAGGGGCGCGGCCAGGCGGTGAGGGGCGCGGCCAGGCGGTGAGGAGGCGCGGCCAGGCGGTGAGGGGCGGGGCGGTGAGGGGCGCGGCCAGGCGGTGAGGGGCGGGGCGGTGAGGAGCGCGGCCAGGCGGTGAGGGGCGGGGCGGTGAGGGGCGCGGACAGGCAGTGAGGGGCGCGGCCAGGCGGTGAGGGGCGGGGCGGTGAGGGGCGCGGCCAGGCGGTGAGGGGCGCGGCCAGGCGGTGAGGGGCGCGGCCAGGCGGTGAGGGGCGCGGCCAGGCGGTGAGGGGCGGGGCGGTGAGGGGCGGGACCTCGGTGAGGGGCGCGGCCAGGCGGTGAGGGGCGGGGCGGTGAGGGGCGCGGCCAGGCGGTGAGGGGCGCGGCCAGGCGGTGAGGGGCGCGGCCAGGCGGTGAGGGGCCAGGCGGTGAGGGGCGGGGCGGTGAGGGGCGGGGCATGTCGGGCGCCCCGCGGGTCGAGCCCCCTACAGACGCCTGGGGTCGCAGAGAGGCTGAGGGTGGGGCTTTTCCTGCAGGAGCACAGGTGGGTGCACCCTGCCCGTGTGGTAGGTGCGGAGACCGGAGGGGTTGGTCCTTCCAGCGGGAGGGAGCCCAGCGTGGCCCCCACAGAGGACAGGGAGCCCGGGGCCGGCTCCCGCGGGCGGCGCCCGGAGTCTGCAGCGGAGAGGAAGGGCCTGGGTGGGCCCTGGTGGCGGAAACCTGCCTGGCAATGCCTGCTGCCCAGCGCTCCGCGGGAATGACTGCCCACCCCGAGCGCCCGGAGGAAGAGGACTCCTGCCCCGCACTGCGCGGTGGGCGCCTCCTGCCTGGTGCCGGCCCAATGGGGCCTGGCTCCCGGGCCTCAGCACCGGGTGGGGAAGCCAGTGCGGGCACCCGCCCGAACCTGTTCGCCGGCCTCCTGGAGAACCGAGCTGGGGAGCCAGTGTGCACAGGAGGAGCCTCCGGCGCCCGCTCCGGGCAGAGCCTGTCCTGGGCAGGAGCCGTGCCTTCACCCTCCTCAGGGTTCAGCTGGCCCGCGCCGGTCCGGTGGGTGAACTGAAACCCAGGAAACCTTTTCATAGGGGACGGCAGTGCCCCGCAGGGGAAGGACGCATGTGCTAGCCTTGAGGTCCCTCCCTGCCGTTGACAGAGGCCTCGCCCCTCCACCCCTCCTTGGAGTGGGGCTGCCCCTGGGGGCTGGCTTCTAACCAGCACAGGGAAGAGGGCTTCTGTGGGGCTGGCCACAAGAGCTTGAGGCTCCCATCTTGCTGTCCGGCACCCTCCTGGCTCACATGTGCATGAAGCAAGCTGCCCCACCAGAGAGGCCCCATGGCAGAACGGAGCCCTCCCGCACACAGGAGCCGCCGGCCCAGGAGCCTCCAGGTGGAGGTGTGGTACTGACCACAAGCTGTGGGCGCGGGAGTGGAGGACCCGGAGAAGCTGGTCCATTCCTGGCCACACACTTTGGCCCTCAGTGAGGGTCGGACGGGCTGCCCGCCCAGCAGAGGCCATGAGCTGGCGGCCGGGGCTGCTCTACAAGGCGCCACAGCCTAGGGCCCAACAACAGAAACGGTCTTCTCCGTCCTGGAGGCTGGCAGCCCAAGACCAAGGTTGGACAAGGCCATCCCCCAGGCCTCTCCTAGGTGTGAGGAGGGCCGTCTCCTTCCTGTGCCCTCACAGGGTCTTCCTGTCCGAATCCCACCCCCTCTGCTCACAAAGACACCAGGCAGCTCAGATCAGGACCCACCCAGATGGCCTCATTCTTCCTGTTCCAAGTCCCCATCTCCAAATAGTCACCTTTGAAGCGCCAGAGCCGAGGACTCCGTGTGAATTCTGAGGGACCCGTTTTTATTGGGCATTGTCCACCGGTTAAAACAGCGCTGCCCACCCTTGCTTTGCGCAGGCTGCAGCCACATGACTAAAGGAGTCCTGGCGCCGAGATTGAAGTAGGATGGACACGTGTTCGAGGCTCCTGCTGCCTGAAACGGGGTGTACTGTTGGCACCTGGGCGCTTGCTTTGGATCACGAGGACAGCAGCCCAGAAGGAGCCAGGGCCCATGCGACTGGGTGATGCCCTGCCAGCCTAGCCTGCCCATCTCATGAGAATCTGGGAGAGAGAATTCTATTTTGTGTTTCTGTGTTTTTTGGTGTGTTTTATTTCTTTTTTTATTGATTTCAGAGAGGAAGGGAGAGGGAGAGATAGAAACATTAATGATGAGAGAGAAACATTGATCGGCTGCCACCTACATGCCCCACACTGGGGATCGAGCCCGCAACCTGGGCACATGCCCTTGATCGAAATCTAACCTGGGACCCTTCAGTCCACAGGCTGTCGCTCTATTCACTGAGCCAAGCCAACTAGAGCTCCATTTTGTTTAATCCACTGTTATTTTGGATTATTCTGTTTATATGCTCCTGAACTAAATTCTAATCATTTCAGAGAGACATAGGTCATTGAGACCTAATATTACCACAACAGATCGTGACTGCTTCAGCTGTGGAGAAGAGTTATCTGCCTAGAAATTACTATAATCCTGACAAGAAATCTTATAAGGAAGCCTTACAGAAAGGGACTGTCAAGAAGGCAGGTTTTTTAAGTTCAGAGAAAAGCTTGGTATACTCCAGTGGTTGGCAAACTCATTAGTTGACAGAGCCAAATATCAACAGTACAATGATTGAAATTTCTTTTGAGAGCCACATTTTTTATTTTATTTTTATTTTTTTTATTATTTTTTAATATATTTGAGAGCCACATTTTTTAAACTTAAACTTCTTCTAATGCCACTTCTTCAAAATAGACTCGCCCAGGCCGTGGCATTTTGTGGAAGAGCCACCCTCAAGGGCCCCAAGAGCCACATGTTTGCCGACCACGGGTATAGTCCAAACGCAACAAAGATTAACACAGCTGGGTGGGCAATCTGGCATGTCTCCAAAATCTTCACAATGGCACAGGCCCTGACCAGCAAATTTACCCAGGAAGGTGATCGTGGATGTGCGAGGACCATCACTACCTTCAGCAGCACCTGGGACAAAGCAAGGGAACAACACGGAAGCTGGACGGGATGGGCTAACTGAGTCAGGATAGAGCCATAGGACGGAAAACCAGTCATTTTTAGAAAGCACAAAAGGCATGGAAAAGAGTCGACAGTGCATTCACAATTGCACTGGTGCACATACTCCTACCTCTCTTTGTAAACAAAGGGAAGCGCACACTCCCTGGCCAGTGTGGCTCGGTTGAGCATCATCCCATGCACCAGAAAGTCGGGGCGAAAGCCTGGGTTGTGGGCTCAATCCTTAGTAGGGGGCATGCAGGAGGCAGCCAATCAGTGTTTCTCTGTCACATCAATGTTTCTCTCCCTTCTTTTCTCTCTAAAATTCAATAAAAACATTTTTAAATTAAAAAAAAAAAGCAACATACACATACATAGAAAAGAGACCTGGTCACCAGGTTAGTCACAGTGACTCTCAGTGGGCAGGGCAATTAGAGGGCAGAGGGCGCATAGCACAGCACAGTGATTTATATCTTAATCCGTATGCTTTTTTGCAGTGTTCAAGTCTCAGCAAGGAGTGTGTGCCATTCAGGAAAAAACAAAAGAATAGGTTTTGGTGAGGAGCTAAGAATAAATGCCTAGCAACACACATGTGATGGGTCCTGCCCAGGAGGAAAGGCAGGTGCCTGGATGAATAAAGCAGCCTGGCATCACCCCTCACACAGGGCCCTGTCATCTGCCCTGAATGCAAGACCAGATGGAATCTGTGGGGGCGAGGCTTGGGCCAGAGTAAGAAGGAAGCATGAAGCAAAGCCAAGAGGCACAATGACTGGACACACACACACACACACACACACACACACACACACGGCGTAGGGCATGGAAACGGCCACTGCTGTTCTGAGCAGTCAGCATTTATTCCACTGCCCTCTCCCCCCCACCCCCACCCCCATGTGCCGTTTCCATTCCTCTTCCCTCCTTCCTGTCCCATGATCTTCCATCCAGACCATGTTCCTCTGCCTGGAAAACACCCGTTAGAATTTCTCTTCCATGGATCTCTTGTTGCTGAAGTCTTTCCATCTGTTTATCTGAAAATGCCATTCTTTTCCATCATTCTTAATGGACTTGTGGCTGGTATGGAATTCAATGTTGGCAGACACTTCCTGTCAGCAAATGAAAGACCTGAACTGCATTCCACCCCCCGTTCTTGTTGAGAAGTCAGTCCTTGCTCCTTTGAGTGTAATGGTTGGTTTGGTTTCCCCTCCGGCTGCTTTCATGCGTCTCTCTCTCTGCTCCGTAGTTCACTGCGCGGCAGGGGTGTGAGGAGAGAGGACCGCGTGTCTGCAAGTCCAGCAAACAGGTTCTCGGGGGGAGGTGAAGGGATGAGCTTTGTTTCGAGGTGCGGGCCTTTGCTGGTACACTGAGAAGCTGTAAGTGTTCTCCTGGCCAGCAAACCCATCCCCCACGCCGGAAACCTGCCATTGTGGCATGATCGACCCAGGAATCCCTATTCCCTTCCCGTCGCCCTGTAAGTACAGCGAGCAGGCCGCTTAGATCACCCTGGTCAGGGAGAGCGACAACAGGCCAAATTAGTGCCATTAGTGCCAGCCAAACCAAGAGCCATGAAGCCCGGGAATAACAAACAACAACACCCCCCCGCCCCCCCATTAGAGCCAGACAAATCCAAGGTAGAGGTGAACCTGACCAGCGTCCCAGCCCCACTAGACACTCACTTTGATGCACCAGCAGTGGGACACCTGAAAAGCTGGTGGATATTCTGATTGAGACGCCCCTGAAGTTCCCACTACAGAAACCAGAAAATCCCTCAGCAAAGGCCCAGCTAGTGCATTCGTGTTTTCGCCTTTTATTTTTTGATTTTTTAAGAACTTATTTCTGTTCAGTAGCCATTGACTTTTGCTTTTGTCCATTAATTCCTTCTGTTTTTCTTGATGTTTTTTTCTATCCTTTGAGTTAGAGGCTCAGTCCTGGTATTTCCACGTGCTCACTTTGGTTGGTCTGATTAGAAGCTATAAATGTTCTCTGAGCACTATTCTAGTTGTGTCCCATTCAGCCAGACCTAGAGGAATGGTGGTCATTTTCTAGAAGTTCTGTACTTTTGGATTATAGCAGAGGCTATAGATTTACCACATTTGTAATCAGATATTCTTGACTATATTTCTTTTCAAATTTTTTATTAGGATTTCCTTTGTGACATAATAGTCACTTTTGATGCATGTTCTATGGGCATTTGAAGAGAAGATACATTCTCTATTATCTACATGTCGTGTCAATATGTAGTATGTGTATGTCTCTCTAAAAGCATGTATCTACACACACCCACCCACAGGATGCCCCTCACCATGCTCCAGGTCCGCTCTCTCCAGACTCGGAGGTGGCTTCACCTTCCCCGCTCTGCTAGGGAACACCACGGCTGTGCTTGGTGAGCAGTTACTTCTATTTTGTCTCATCTGAGGACTGCGCCTTCAGCGTAACACGTGCCTTCTGCTTGGCTCAATGCTTTTGGCTGGGTTCTGCCTTGTCAGACATTCCTCAAATTTTGCATGGTTTATTTTCCAGTCTTCCCTGGCATACTTCTTTTTTTTTTATTATTGAGTTTTTACAGAGAGGAAGAGAGAGGGATAGAGAGTTAGAAATATCAATGAGAGAGAACATCGATCAGCTGCCCCTTGCACACCTCCCACTGGGGATGTGCCCGCAACCAAAGTACATGCCCTTGACCAGAATCGAACCTGGGACCCTTCAGTCCGCAGGCTGACGCTCTCTCCACTGAGCCAAACTGGTTCTGGCTGCCCTGCATGCTTCTAGCCCTACAGATTCACCTGGGTCGTGGCTAGCCAGTGCCCGTGCAAGGATGCTCTGCCCACAGCGCCCAGGTCACCATGTGGCCACTGTGGTGATGGGCGCCAGGCTTGGCCGCGTGGCCTCGTGCTCTGGCCAGGATGACCAGTTTCACTTCGCCTTGTGTCATCACCTGCAGAGTCTGTGTGTACCCAGCACGGACTCCCCACTTTCCATGGCAGGAGGGAGCTAGAGTGGATTGGCTCCACCATCTTCCTGCCTCAGGTGTGGACAGCCCCCAACCAAGAGCAGCTGCCAGGATGGCCGGGGAGCAAGAAAGTGACACGTTATTTTATGTCATGACACACACACACCTCCCACTAAACTGGATTCCTCCCGGGTGCGCTTGGACAGTGCCTGTCCTCGGGAGGGGAGCTGCACCGGGGAGGGGAGCTGTACCGTGAGGGGAGCTGTACCGGGAGGGGAGATGTCCCGGGAGGGGAGCTGTATGGGGGTGGGGGTGGGAGAGGAGCTGTACCGGGGAGGGGAGCTGTACCGGGGAGGGGAGCTGTACCGGGAGGGGAGCTGTACCGGGGAGGGGAGCTGTACCGGGAGGGGAGCTGTACCGGGGAGGGGAGCTGTACCGGGGAGGGGAGCTGTACCGGGAGGGGAGCAGTACCAGGAGGGGAGCTGTACAGGGGGGGGGGGAGAGGAGCTGTACCGGGGAGGGGAGCTGTACGGGGGGGGGGGGGGGGGGGAGTACCGGGGAGGGGAGCTGTACCGGGAGGGGAGCTGTACCGGGAGGGGAGCAGTACGGGGGGGGGGGGGGGGGGAGGAGCTGTACCGGGAGGGGAGCTGTAGCGGTGAGGGGAGCTGTATGGGGGGGGGGGGGAGGAGCTGTACCGGCAGGGGAGCTGTACCGGGGAGTGGAGCTGTACCGGGGAGTGGAGCTGTACCGGGGAGTGGAGCTGTACCGGGGAGGGGAGCTGTACCGGGAGGGGAGCTGTACCGGGAGGGGAGCTGTACCGGGGAGGGGAGCTGTACCGGGAGGGGAGCTGTACCGGGGAGGGGAGCTGTACCGGGAGGGGAGCTGTACCGGGGAGGGGAGCTGTACCGGGAGGGGAGCTGTACCGAGGAGGGGAGATGTACCGGGAAGGGAGCTGTACCAGGGAGGGGAGCTGTACGGGGGGGGGGGGGGGGGGTGAGGAGCTGTACCTGGGAGGGGAGCTGTACCGGGGAGGGGAGCTGTACCGGGAGGGGAGCTGTACCGGGAGGGGAGCTGTACCGGGGAGGGGAGATGTACCGGGGAGGGGAGATGTACCGGGAGGGGAGCTGTACCGGGAGGGGAGCTGTACCGGGAGGGGAGCTGTACCGGGGAGGGGAGATGTACCGGGAGGGGAGCTGTACCGGGGAGGGGAGATGTACCGGGAGGGAGCGGGAGTCGGTGCATGCTAGAGCAGCCGCTCCTAGGGCGCCTGGCGGGACAGGTGTTCCGGAGCTCTGTGGTTGCCCCGCCCTCAACACCTTTCAAGGTGACGTGTGACAACAGAGAAGACCCATAAGTCACATTTTAATGACATCACCCTGCACGACGCCCCTCCCCCCAATAAAACAGAAGACTGTTCCCCAGCCCCGCTCCTGGAGGGTTCCCAGGCCTCCCTCCCCGCACAGCTGGCCCCTCCACAGGCCAGGCCATCTCCTCTCACACAGTAAGAGCGCAGCCAGGTCTGGGGGTCTGTGCAGAGCTCCGCGAGGGAACCGCTCTCCCCAACCCCAGGAGGTGAGCTCCTTCTCTCCAAGCAGCCTGGGCCCTGGCCTTCGGCTCAGTCACCTGACCCCATCCTTGGAGGCACTGCGGGCACGGACTCACAGGCCGCTGCACAGAACCCCTTGAACACAGTCCAGGGCTGGTGAGGAGCCCCCGACGGCCAAGTCCTGGCCTCAGGGCCTGGGGGCACCTCTACCACTGGAGGGCAGGGGCGTCTGGCGACCAGCAAAGACCCGCACATGCAGGGAGGCAGACGCTCTGCACACACTGCGGAAGCAGACGGGCGGCTCTAACGCTGAGCCCCAGGCCAGGAGGGCCGGCCTGCCGCTTCCTGTGAGCACTGGAGGAGCTGATGCCCAGCCCGTCTCCACCCTCTCCGTGGGGTTTGGGACGCCACACCATCCTTGAGGGGCCTTTCCTTCAGGCCAGCTGTGGTGGAAAAACTGCAGACTCACGGGCACGCTAAGCTGCGTCAGACCTGTTTATTGCCTTCACAGCGAGGACGAGCACGGAGCCAGCTCCTGGCGTGGGGAGGGCTCTGCGCCGGCGGTGGACCCGCAGCAGCTCCTCCTCGCGGCTCCGCAGTTAGCTCAGGCAGCCCTGCAACACAAGCCCCGTCAGTCCTGTTCGGAGGCAGCGCTTACCTTTCCCCAGGAGAGAGGGACGGGGCGAACTCTGGGTGCTCACACGTTTTCTTTACTTCGTGGCCTGCAGTACTCTCGGGGCACACTGCCCTCTGGTGGCTCTCTGTGCTCCCCCTCGCACAGGCGCTCCGAACCACCCACCCCGCGCTCTGGGGAACCAACAGGGCTCGGGCCTCACAGCACACCCCCAGCTGCGGTTCCGGTTCCCACAGGCGCCGGGAGCGTGATCACAGGACAGGCCGCGCTGAGGCAGGCTCTCCGGTGGGCCCGAGTGCTCTCCTGCCCCTGAGGCGTGCCTTCAGATTGTGAGTGGACAGCTCTGAGGGAAGCCCGGGGAGTGGGCAGGGGCCAAGCAGGAGCCCACCTGTCCAAGGAGAGAACGTCACGGGGAAATGCTAACCGCAGCTGCTGCGGAAAGCCTCCAAAGCAGCAGCAGCAGCCTTCCCGCGAACGCGGCAATGAGCAGCGAGTGAGGGGAGTGGCAGGCGTCGTTCTGAGGCTGGCCTGTGAGACACTCGTCGCGAGCCCAGTGGCCAGCGCGGCCCGGCTGCCCTCCGCCCTCCCTCTGGGTCAGAGCAGATCCACGCACAGCAGAGGTGAGGGGTCCGCTGGCTCCACAGCACCACAGCTGGCTCCACACCACGTGCCAGCCGGAGGCAGGAGGCGTCAGAAACGAAAAGCCAGCTCCAGCACGGTGAAACATTGTCCTAACACATCACACTGGAAAGCCCACAGTGCCGAGGCCGGGACGCTCACCGCTCTCCTGAAGAGCCTGTGGAAGAAGCCTTCCTTCTGCAGCGGCCGGGCTGGCTTCTTGGGGTAGCTTTTGCCTTCCTGACGGGGGTCCTGAGCTTCCCGGGCTTCCCGGTCTTCCCTGTCGTTGATGTCCTGGAAGCATCCCGACTCGATCATCTGCATCGCAGAAGGCAGGGCAGAGCAGCAGGCGGACAACGGGTCAGCCGGCCCCCATTTCTATTGGCCCTGCCTCCTGGCCTCTTCTTGGGTAACCTGCCCCCCCTCCCTCCCCGCGGTGCCTCCAGCCCAGCTTAGGCCAAGGGGCTCAGGGCCGGGAGCCCCCTCGGACCCAAATGACCACCTCTGCCCGCCACCTGTGAAGGGCCCAGGGACAGCGGCCGTGGATAATTCTACCTCACCCTCACCCAGGTGTGTGTGACAGCTGAGGAGATGCCGTCACACATGTACACACACATCCCGGCACCCTGACAAGCAGTACCTCATTCTGCCAGGGGATGGGGACACAGCCCGTGACAAGCTGGCTGTAGAAGGTGGTGTCGGTGGCGTCCAGGTAGATGCCTCTCACCGTGGAGAACTGGTCGATATCCATGACGTCCTTACAATAAACCGCTTGCGGCTGCGCACGGAGAACAAGGAGGCGCAGGCCGTGAGGCACTGGGTACTGGGTCTCCCTCACCACTAAGTCACATGCACGTGGAGGGCGGCCTGACCTCTCCCTCCGGTCCTGATCTGCGGAGCCTCTCATGGGAGCAGTCTGACCCTTCCCTGAACGCTGTCATTAACTGAGGACACTGTCATTAGCTGAGGACACTGGCATTAACTGAGGACACTGGCATTCAGCTGAGGACACTGTCATTCAGCTGAGGACACTGGCATTAACTGAGGACACTGGCATTCAGCTGAGGACACTGTCATTCAGCTGAGGACACTGGCATTCAGCTGAGGACACTGGCATTAACTAAGGACACTGTCATTCAGCTGAGGACACTGGCATTAACCTGAGGACACTGTCATTCAGCTGAGGACACTGTCATTAACCTGAGGACACTGTCATTAGCTGAGGACACTGTCATTAACCTGAGGACACTGGCATTAACTGAGGACACTGGCATTAACTGAGGACACTGGCATTCAGCTGAGGACACTGTCATTAACTGAGGACACTGTCATTAACTGAGGACACTGTCATTCAGCTGAGGACACTGGCATAACTGAGGACACTGGCATTAACCTGAGGACACTGTCATTCAGCTGAGGACACTGGCATTAACCTGAGGACACTCTCATTCAGCTGAGGACACTGTCATTAACCTGACTAGGAGAACTGGCATTAACTGCGGCCACTGGCATCAGCTGACACTGGCTAATGGACACGGCATTAAACTGAGGACACTGTCATTCAGCTGAGGACACTGGCATTAACTGAGGACATTGTCATTCAGCTGAGGACACTGGCATAACTGAGGACACTGTCCGGCCAGTGCTCCTGCCCACACACCTGAGACGCACGCCTCCCTTTCGGCAGTGGACAACGGGTTACAGGCAGGCCAGGGGAAGAGGGTGGTCGGGTGCTCCCTGTCCCCGTCAGAGCTCATCTAGGTCCCAGCCGAGGGAGGCTGGTCTGCAGACCCTCCTCAGGGCCAGGGGCCGGACTGCTGTCCTCAGGGCCAGGGGCCGGGAGCAGGTGGGACGTGCCAGTGCGGCCGCCTGCCTGGTGGGGAGTGAGGAAGAGTGCACAGCGGCCTGGCCTACTGAAGGCAAGGGGCGCCCTGCAGCTCCCAGCACGCACACCACAGTGAGAGGACCACTGGGTCCTGTCCCAATGCCACCACAAGGGGAGACACACCAGGGGAAGGCTGGCGGAGCTGGGCCCCAGCCCAAGGCCAGAGCCTGTACTGATCCCCACTTAAGTGCCAGTGCCTGACACGTGGCCATCAGACTGCTGTCGCCTGGCTCCACAGTCCGCTGGGGGAACTCAAGGGAACTCCCAGAACCGCCCAGACCTCTGGCCTATGCGTCCTAGGCCACACCTGTCACCTCCCCCCTCAGACAGCACTGTTGCCGGCCTTCCAGGTGCAGGCCCCGGGGCCCCAGGCCTGGTGGAAAGAAGGCTCGAAGGACCAGCCAGTGGCCCATCGGAAGTCTCTGTCTGGGGCTCTGCTCCGGCTGTAACTGCCTCACTGCTGACCTGCGCAGCCTGGAGCCGGTGCTGTTCTCCCTGTGCCGATACCACAGCATGTCACCAACATGCAACCAGACCCATTTCCGGGGAAGAAGCACTGGTGTAAGACACATGGGTACAACCCGAGTCCCGGACTGTCACGCTATCACACCCTGTTGGGCCACCTCACATCCGGCCCATCGTCTGTGCTGTGTGCCTACCCAGCACTGACACGTGCCCACGCCTTCCCCCCACGCACTGAGGTGACCACCGCCGGGCCCTCCGTGTGCAGCCAGGACTCTGAGACACACGCTGGCCGGCACTGCCATCAGAAGGGGCCGCTGCCCAGGAGGTCTGAGGACACACTGGCCGGGCTCAGCTCTGATGGCCCACAGCGGACACCAGGTCCCAGCCTGAAGCCAGAGCGCTGCTTAGAAGACTGTGAGGACAGGCCTGGGCAGTGGGGGCCGGGGAGGGAGGAGGAACCAGATGTTAGGGGCCTGAGCGGAAGCCACACCCACTGGCTGCACCGGGTGACCCTGAGCTGCTGGGCAGAGGCCCGCCTTTGCTGGGAGCCCTGCTGGTGGGCACAGGGTACTCACGTCAGGGCAGAACGGGGGCTCTAACATGTGCACTTCCAGCCTCTTGAAGTTAATGTTCTGGAACACGGGGTGCTTCCGCACGCCAGCGGCTCCGTCACCCATGCAGCCCAGGCGCTCCTTGTGGTTCTTGGTGAGCAGCTGGAAGCAGAAATGGAGTCAGAAGCTCCTGGGGAGAAAGGAACGCAGGGCAGCTCCACGGCCAGAACCACGGAATGGGGTGGGCACCACCACCGAGCAGAGGCCCTCAGGGTGCAGTGCCCACCCGCCTCATTAATTCAGATTTGACCAATTAAACAAGTGAGGCTTCAAACAGTTAAACTACAGGTTCCCTTTGAGCTGTCAATAAATAAAGAGTTGGCTAAGTAAATCCCTAAGTAAAACAATAAACTTTCTAAAAGAAATAGCACCATTCAGCATTCCGAGGAACCACTTACCGCTCAGTCACATTAGAAACACTCACAGCTGCTCTGTTCAGGAGGGGGGTCGCTGGCTCAGCTGGAGACGACTTAGCAAGCCCCGTTCAGAAATCACACCACTTACAGTCAGCGGGAAGGATCTCTTCCAGGGCTTCCCACCCACGTTTGTAATGATCACAGTTCAGGAGGCCGTCCTCCACAACCGACCAAGAAGGTCTGGCTGGGCTCACGCACCACAGGACAGACTGGAGCGAGCACACACGGGCCCCGCTGCCTGGGCTGCTGACCCGGACGGGGCGGGAGCACAGCGGCTGGGGTCAGCGGCCCTGCTGCGCCTGCACCAGCAGCGGGGTGAAGAGCCTGAGGAAGCACAGGAACCTCCATCTTGTGTAAAAACCACTGTTTGAAACTCTGCTTTGTTAGGGAGGCCCTAGTCCTATAAACTGTCACTTTAAGAGTCTCTTATTCTATAAAATTACTTTGTTTTTAGTTCAAATAATAGAAAAAGATAAACTTAACTGTCTGACCTTGCAAGCTAGCCATCCAATGCACTAGACAAGTCGTTGGCAAACTGTGGCTCGCAAGCCACATGCAGCCCGCAAGCCGCAGTTTGCTGCTCTATTGACTGAGTTTGCCGACCACTGTAATAGACTGATGTAGACTAATACTGATAGTAATTCCCATGTTCGTATTCCAAGTACTAACTCATTATATATTCAAGGTTACACTGTAACAATAACTCACACAGAGTCCTTCTGTAATATCTGCAAACAAAGAGGCTCGAAAAGTATAAATATGGGAGACTTCCTCTATTTTGGGGCTCAGATTTGGAAGAGACACCTCAGGACTCCTAATTATTTGGGTCATTAAGGCGTCTTGAAGGAGGGGTATGTATGGGAGGGGGGGCAATGTTAAAATATGTACACAGATAATAATTGAATTAAAAAATGGGGGGGGAGAATAAAATAAATAAATAAATAAATAAAATAATAATTAAAAAAAAAAAAAAGGCGTCTTGTATCTCACTTGTAGTTGTTTTACGATACAACCCGGACGGACACCAGGGCCCCGAGGGCCTAAGTGGCACTGGTCATCTGGCCCCTCCAGTTTGCTGACCGCTGGCCAGATTCACCTGCTTCTCCGGAAATAAACCCAATTTCCAGGCAGAGGCCAGAGAGCATTCTGGCTCCAGCCTACCTGCTATTTACTTATTTATTTATTTATTACTTTTTCTTCCCCTGCCTTTCACTATAGCCACGTTTCTGGCTGTTTCAGCCTGCCAGGAGCCCGTGAGGCCTGAGGCAGGCTCCATTTCTCACTCAGCTTCCCACATCCCTGCAGCCACCCGAGGGCAGCAGCACTCGAAGTATTTGTGAGCGCACGGACAGCAGCTTGGCTGGGAGCTGACTAAACTCTGTCAGTCCAAGCGAGCAGCTGGAAGAAAGGCCCGAGCCCACTGCCAGTGCCAGACACTAGCACTGCCACCCGCCCCGGACACACGGAGAAGGAACCGGAAATGGCTACTGCCGGAACCATCACCCCCTGAGCTACTGACACCCTTCAGTAACAGCTGCCTGCTGGAGATGCCAACACCCCGTCCCACCAGCCACTCCCCCAGGTCACGCCCTCCCCTGCTGCCTCCTCCGTGTGGCCCGTCTTTCTAACCGGAGGCGGCACTGTGGCTCCGCAGCTGTGGCTCCTGTGACAGGAGCGTGACCCACAATGGGGCCTCGACCTCCCGCCTCCTTTCAACCCCGCGGCCCCCCTCCTTCACCTCCTCAGCTCCCTCCCACCCGGCGGCTGGGGACCTCCGAGACCAGCAGCCACAGGCCGTGCGGAGCTCGCACTGCGCGTCCACGCACCAGCATCACGTCTCCGGTGCCCTCTGCCCCACACTTCACCTCTCCTGCCCCTCCTCTGGGTGCAACCAGGCAGTGTCCAGCTTCTCCCCTCCCGGCAGGGCGGACTTTCATCAAACCCTGTAGGCGCCACCTCCCTCTACGCTGGAATCTGACCAGGCCTGGCTGGCCCCTCCGTCCTCCTCGCGGTCTCTTCCCGGCACGGCCGCCCATGGAGCCGTGACGGCTTCCCCGTCAGTGGGCACTGGGCCTCCCTGTGCGAGTGACAGCCCACAGCCCTCCGGCCCACCCCCACTCCTGCGGCAGTATGAGCCCTGGGCCGGGGCCGGGCCTGGGAGGACAGGCCCACGGGAGGTGCACACGTCCTCGCACACGGGAAGAAGGGAAGGAGTGCACTCGGAGGTCTACGTCCTGGCTTTGGGAGGGGCAGAGAGCCCCTTCCACCCCTCGGTGGCGGCCGAGGACACAGAGTGAACGAAAGGGCCTGCCCAGCCGGAGCACAGGGGGCAAACTGCCTGCGCCGGCCCTGCTCCCCGCAGCGACCGCAGCCCCGCAGGCCCGACCTGCACGCACTGAAGGACAGAGACGTGGGCGAGGGGACAGGCGCTGCCTGAAGGTCCTGCTCAGGTTAGTTCCACGTGACGTGGTCAGCGACACGAGGCTCTGCTGTGCTCTGAGAGAGGCACAGCGGCCCCTCTGAGAGGCAGCCCTCCCCTCGGCTCCCCTCGGCTCTGCGTGGTCAGAAACCATCACGTCATTGCTCCCAGCGGCATCCAGAAGGTTCCCTCCTGCCTGACTCGGGAGGAAGTCCCTGGTATTGGCCTCAAGCACCGGAGGACCTCGGCGGCCCTCCCGAGCCAGGGCCTTGCTCACTGGACACAGACGCCCCTCGGGGCGGCCATGGCCGCGGGAGGGAGAAGCTCACGCCCCCGGAGCCCACCCACCATCCTGCAGACGGACTCGGCGTCCTCCGAGAAGCTGGGCGAGTACTCCTCCGTGTCCTCCTGCACACGTCGCTCCACCTCCTGCCGCTTGACCTTCTCCCGGAACCCCCTGAAGGGGGAGTGCCCCTGGATCATCTCGTAGAGCAGGCAGCCCAGCCCCCACCAGTCCGGGCTGAAGGTGTAGGCCTCGTTATTGATCACCTCAGGAGCTGCGTGGCAAATACAGCAAAGGCAAATTAAATTGTAGCTCTAAATTTCCTGGTAATTAATTCCAAACAACACACTGTAAAGGTAACATGTCTCAACATGCATGAACCTACAAGCATGTTAAGCGAAAGAACCAGAGCAAAAGGCTGCGTAGCGTGTGACTATTTCTAAGAAACAGGCAGACTCGCCAAGGGCCCGGGGACTGGGGGCGGGGGTGGGGGTGGGGGGAGAGACAGGAGCTGCCAGGGATGGCACGGGTTCTGCTGAGGGGACAGAACTATCTGGACTGAGACAGTGGTGGGTGCCCAGCGCTGTGACGCCCGGGACCACGCATGTGCACTCGAGGCCGCGGGCTTCACGTGGCGAATGACCTTCCAATGCAGCTGGCCCGGAGGCTGTACTCTCGGAGCGGGAAACAGCCCCCAGCAGAGGAGCTACTGGGAGGGGGCTCCCTCCAAACAGAGCCACAGCCCCGGGGTCCTGGCCGTGGCCATCTACCCTCATCTATCAGGTCCCCGCGGCAGCTGACGGCAGAGCAGCGGCCAGGGGAGTCACCGCAGGCTCCCGGCCGGAGCTGCGAGGTCACTGCTCTGGAGCTGGCCGAGGCAGGGCCCGCGCACCCAGGCTGCGGAATGGCCAGGGACAGTTCCCTGCGGGGACTGCGAGGCCGCATGCACCCGGTGTGGCAGCGGCAGTGAGATGGGCTGTCCGGTCCCGACCTGCCTCCATGGAGCCCGAGCCGGCTCTGGGCCTCAGTCCCACCTAGGAGAGGAGCGGACGGGAGGCCTCCTCACTCCCACGCCGCCGGCACCACTTCAAACGCCACCTGTGCCTCAGGCAGAACGGACTCCAGGTGCGTTCGCATTTGAGTGTCTGTGTCCTGAGGACTCGGGCACCTAGACAGAAAGGGCAAGGCTCGCTGAAGGGGGCCTCTACGTACCCATGTAGCCGACTGTTCCGACTCTTCCTCGAACTGTCTGCCCTTCTGGGATCTCCAAGGCTAACCCGAGATCTGAAATCCGGATATGTCCTGCGTGTGTTTAAATACATGACACCGATCACAGGGGGGCGTGCTGACGCTTCCACACCTACAGAACGGAAAAGCATCTACACATGGCGAGGCACAGCGGCCCCACGGCAGACTGCGGCCTGTCACAGACCTCTCCGCCTCTGCTCAAAGACCACCGGGCGTGCAGCTCCACTAGGCGGGGGCATTAGTGTCTGCCTGGCTCGGGGCGGGAAGCCGTTTGACCATCGACACCAGCTGACCAGCTCCCCAGGCACGGAATCGTTTCAGACCAGTCTACACAGCACTCGAGACAGGAAGGGGACCTCAGACTGAGGCTGCACCACAACACAAATCCCATCATGCGCTGGGCGCGAGCCCACCCAGGAGGCAGGAGGGGCAGGGGGCAGAGCAGATGCTGGACCGGAGGCCTGGGTGAGAGTCCCAGCTCTGCCACGTTTCAGCTCGTCTGGGTTTCCTCCTCCCAAACAGACAGATCCCTCGGCAATTTGGTTTTCTATATTTTATGTTTAAGCAGAGTTCACGCATGTTGCAAAATTTTAAGTTCCCCTGTCTCATTTTTCTTTTAAAAGGTGATTCTTTTAAACTGAGAAGGGAACAGCAAGCCTACTGGAAGCACTGCACGTTGGAGGCACGGCCTGGGGGGTGGGGACACAGGCACACTCACGCTGGCTGAGCACTGTCCCATGCAGCAAGGGTCCCTGGGTGGATGCCCGGCGAGGGCACATGCTGGGAGGGGGCTCCGTCCCCAGGAGGCGGTGTGTAGGGAGCAGCTGACCGATGCTTCTCTCTCTCTCTCTTCTTCTCCTACTCCCTGCCTCTCTCTGTTCAAAAGCAAACAAAACCACCAGCTCCACACCCAGGAGGGATGTGGCAGAACTGCACGTGGCCTGGCCTTCGGCCTAGCACCCACTCTGATGGCCCCCCACCCCACCCCACCCCTGGCGACAAGGGCCGGAGGTCTCTGTGTGCGGGGAGTGGCCTCTGCTGCATGTTAAACAGCAAAGTGAGGAAACGGCATGAGGACGTTGAAGCCATCAGGGCCTGTGCCTCAGCACCGGAGGAGGACGCGCAGGGGAGGAGAAGGGAAGGCCGATGTGAACCAGGGTGAATACTCTCTTCAAAAAAAGAGGCGGGGCACGTTTTCTCCGCCCACTCAGCAGGCCCAGGAAGAATGGCCACAGAGCAACGAGGCCGCGGGAGCAGGCCCTGGGGAGCAGGGGACTCAGGTCTCGGCATGCACAGGGGCCTGGAACATGACCATAGCAGAGAGCACATCCACTGGCACCTGCTGGCCAGGCGGGCAATGACTCCGATGGATGGACCCACAGCAGTGCTAGAACGCACCAGTTCCTCACGAGAAAGCAGAAAGCGAGCCCTCTGGCCGTGAAAACCAGGGGACTCACAGCCAAGTGTCTCACCTGACTTCCCTGAGCAAAAGGTGAACAAATGCAGATGACACAGAGTTCCCTCTCACAGGGACTGCGGCAAGGACGCGCAAACAGAGCGATGGCGTCAGCGTGCCGTCGCTGTGAGTCCCGGTTATGACATTGAGACACTGACCGTTAAGCCATCAGAGAAAAGGCTGCTGACCAACAGCCAGCCCCACGAGCTGCTCCTGACACCCTCACAGGCTCCCGCGTGGCCATGTGCACGGCTGCCCCAGGCCACATGCCCTGTAAGGAGGGCCACCTGCAAGCAGTGTGCCCACGCTGAGGGATACAGCAAGATGCGGGCCACGAGCAAGTCAAGGACAGAGCACGTCCTCACTGAGTGTAGCGAGCCTGCTGCCCGCCTAACCCCGGAGGCAGGCCACCGTGCCATCCCGGCGCCTCAGGCTCCCGCTGTCTGCCGTGTCTACGGGCCGCACGCAGGGTCCGCACTGACTGCCCCCGTCCCTCTCAGCGAAGCCTGTGCTCCGGGGGAGGCGCACTCACCGTGGTCGTCCAGGAGGATGTTCTCGGGCTTTAGGTCTCTGCGAGGAAGAAGCGACAGGAAGCTCGGTTAGGAGGAAGCTGACCCTGTGCTCATCAGCAGCTGCAGCCACAGCCACGCGGGCTCAGCGCCCGACAAGCAAGAGGACACTGAGAGTGAGCACAGCGCCCGCAGCTGAGGCCCAGTGACCCAGGAATTGAGTGGGCAAATGCTCAGAAGGAACTTGTGGCCAACGGGAGGGTTTGAGACCCTGGGATGTCAGGAGAGAGGGTGAGGCTGGCAGGCCTCCCAGGGAGCGGGCGCAGGCGAGACCACCAGGGGGAGATGAGAGACACTGCAGCAGCTGCAGGATGGGCTGCTTTCCCTCCGACAGAGCACATTGCTGACACTAGCCAGTGCAATTCATTTCGTTTTCTTTACTGAATTCTAAGAGACAGAAACAGCCAAGTGCGTGTGACTGTGAGGCACGTAAGTGCTGGGCCATTGGCTGGCAGCCCCAGGCCGCAGCACTGCTCCACGCCGCAGATGTCGGAAATGGTTCTTACTCGACGTCAGGGGCACTGCCCACGTCTGACCAACCGAACGGAGAGCTGCTCAGAGACGAGAAGCCGCCTCTGAGGGCCACAGTGTAAGCGGCTGCCCCTAGGGAGCGCGGGCCCCTGGGGGGGGAGGCCCGCTCACCTGTACACGATGCGCTCCCTCTGCAGGTCCTCCAGGCCGCAGCACAGCTCCGCCGCGTAGAACACCGCCCTCGGCTCCTCGATGCCGGGGCCGCCCAGGTTGTAGATGTGGTACTTCAAGTCCCCGCCGTTCATGATGGTGAGCACCAAGCACAGGCTGTCTTTGGTTTCGTACGAGTAGCATAAGCTCACCTGGAGGCGGCAGCATCACAGAAACAACGGACACCGGCTCAGCCCGGGCCGCACCCACGGCTAACCGCATTACGAGCTCCCACTCCCTGCGCCAGTGCGCCGCTCCTGAACTGGAGAGAACTTGCCCACCCCCCCAGGGGTGGGTGGGTGGCACCACTTCACAGACACTGGATCATCATCCCAGGCTACCCTCACCCGCCCCCACAGCGCCCGGGGGACTCCCAGCACTTGCGGGCAGCCAGCCGGGGGGGGGGGGGGGCGCTAACTGCATGGCTGTGACCACGCAAACACAGGTACTCCTCATGCTTTGTCATATGCTCATGAAACCCATTTTGCCTGGTCAAGGTTTTCACCTACGTTCCTATTGGTTTGCATGTCATTCACACACACACACACGTACACACGCTGCCGGGCCCTGCTGGACTGCACTGAATTCATTTCATCGCTGCATCAATCCGGGCAGAGCTGATGCCTTCGGACCAGCGAGTTTCCCAACCCACGGACGCCTTGGCTGGGGCTTGTCATTTTCTTTCCTTTTTGAAGTGTTCTCTCAACACAATGTTGAAACTTTTTAAAGTGGTTTTTTAGCAAGAGAAACACCGATCCGCTGTCCCACTTATCCAGACCCACTGTGCTTGTGGTATGTGCCCTGACTGGGGGTCAAACTGCACCTGGACATATGAGGCGAATGCTCCAGCAACTGAGCTGCCGGCCAGGCTTCTGTCATTTCTGAACTAGCGTTTTATCGGTCTCAGTGGAGAAGTCTTGCACATTTTCAATTTTTGCCTAGATCTCGCTGTTTTTTGATGCTATCATAAGTGGTGTCATAAACAGAGGGGAGGAGCACCTGGCTGGTGCAAGCTTGCAGAGGGAAGTCACTGCCAGACCAGGCGTGGTGGAAGCAGCGGCTCTGTTCCAGGCAGGCTCCCCACTGTCTTACATTTATTAAGAATTGAATAAGGAAAGAGAGGGCTGTTACTAAAGCAAAGCTGTTCCCAACACCTACGGTATGCGTCTTATCAGCACAAGATAGCAACCGCACACGCACTCAACCAAGCAATTCCCACGGCTGGAAGGAAGGGGCTTTGAGGCAGGTCGTTAAGAAAAGTGCTGGTTACCCGGATCCTCAGGGAGGACGAGAGGGGGAACTCCCTACAGATCTCCTGGGCTCTCTCAGGGTCCCGGGAGACGAGGGGAGGTACTTACTACAAATCTACTTTGCACTTTTTCTAAGAGTCTTTTCTCATTTAGGGCCATGGCTTCACCATTCCGCCTCTTTATTCTTTTCTTTTCTAGCTTTTTGCAGGCATACATCTTCCCCGTAGCTCTCACTTGACAGGCATAAACCTGGTGTTAAAAAAAAGGAAGAGGTTTGCACGGAGCTGAGCTCCCCAGGCTACAGAGAGGCGTCTTCTGTGAGAAGCCTCTGGAAGAGCAGCGACAGAGCTGGCCAGCTGCCCCTTCCTCCCTCAGCTACCTCGTCTACGGCAGGGCGCGGGGGCAACATGTGAACAGACATGCTCTAAAGCCCAGGGCAATGGACAGAAGGGACTTGTTCATACATGATCATGGTGCACTGGTTACCATGTCTCCCTCCTTTTTTGTACAAAAGCAAAAGTTTTAGAAACTAGATTCTTGACTTTCATACATTTACTATATTTAGTTTTAAGTGATATTTACATATTATTTAATTTTATATTATGAACATAGCAAAGCAAGACCCCACGTACCAGTCCCCAGGCTCTGGACTATCAGCCTATGACTCCTACCCACACACACATACACACACACAAACCCCCACATCCCATGCACAACTGCTCCACAAACACACACACACACACACCAAACAAGGCTTACTTATAATTTTACCCATCAATAAAATAAACCTTATGATAAAACATAAAGTTCACTGTGGAAAATATTTGAAGTATTCAAAAGGACAATGATTAAAAACTCACCTGAAATCCCAAGAAAACTACCATGAGTGTTTCTGGCTAGCTCCCAGCCCCTCCGTACACGCACCTGTAAGAACATGGACCTTGTCCCGCCCGCCCTGGCTGACATGTTCCTACTGAACTCCTAAAACCCGTGTGCCTGTGACAAGAACGTCACTCTTCTGTGCACACAGACCCATGCGCTTGAAGCTCCCTCTCCTCTTCCCCTGACAAAACCCAAGCTCTGGCCTGGACGTCATGAAAGGAAGGGCGGGAGGAACTGTAGAGGTGTCCGCACGCGACAGACTCCCCACAGCGATGTCCATCATGAAGGTGCACACACCAGCACTTGGTTGGATCATGCAAACGTTCTAAAAGGTCTGAGACTGCCCTGGCCGGCGAGGCGTGGTTGGTTGGGGATCATCCCCAACTCCAAAAGGCAACATGCAGGGGCTGCGGGCTCGATCTGGGTGGGGACCGTGCAGGAGGCAGCCGATCCACGTTTCGCTCTACACAGATGTTTCTCTCTTCCTTCTCCCTTCCTCTCTCTTCTAAGAGTTGATTTTAAAAATATTTTAAGAACAGTAACTACTGAACGAGAGGTCTGGAGAACTGAACAGGTGCAGCACCGCTGCCTCTCTCGCGGCGATGGCTGCGCGGACGCCTTCCCGCGCCGTCCCAGCGGGTCCCCGGGGGTCACTCTCGGGTCAGCTTTCCAGGCGTGAGAGGAATGCCGTGGCCTTGGCTTTGGCTGTCACGGGGAGTTGGGGAGATGTGTGCGTTAAACACGGGCGGCAGGGTGGGCCCCTGGCAGCATCCACTTTCCTTCCTTCCGGCTCCCCCGCGCTGGGCCTTCTACACGCCTCACGAAACATGCTCATGAAGCAACGGCGTCTCCTTCAGTCACCTCGGCACACGTGCACGTGCGTCTGTCCACCCACTACGGTGGCTCCACTCCGCCCGGCACAGCCATCACGTTTAAAACCCACCTCTCCTGTATTTGTGGGCAGTTTCCCCTGGATTTTCCTAAATGTCCACGTTCTTTAACACCTTTTGCTGGAAGTGGAAGATGAATGTATGTGCAAACCGAGTTAAGCTGAATAAGCGCATACAAGAACATGCTTTTGTCCTAATGAACTTTTCGACTAGCCCTAAATTATGGAAGTATAGTCACAAAAAAACCCACAACAGACACAGAACTGTCCGCCCTGGCCGGGAGCTCAGTTGATTCAAGTGTCGTCCCGATACACAAAAAGTTGTGGGTCTGATCTCTAGCCAGGGCACATACAAAAAATAGTCAGTGAATGCATCAAGTACATGGAACAAATCGATGTTTCTCTCTCTCTCTAAAAAAAAAGTCAACAAATTAAAAAAAAGAAACAGAACAATTTTTCAATCAGGACAGACAGAACATACACACTGGACATGGGAATCAGTGTCTTTATGAAGTGAAAGGTAAAAGCAAAAGATAATGATTTTTTCCCAAAAACAACTTCCTGATTTTTTATTTTTATTTTTTTAAATATGTTTTTATTGACTTCAGAGAGAGAAAGAAAGGGAGAGAGGGACAATAACATTAATGATGAGAGAGAATCACTGATGGGCTGCCTCCTGCCTGTCCCCTATTGGGATGGAGCCCACAACACAGGCATGTGCCCTGATCTGGAATCAAACCATGATCTCCTGGTTCATGGTCGATACTCAACCACTGAGCCACACTGGCTGGGCACTTCCTAACTTTGTTAAAAGCTTTTACTAAAGTACTTTTTGCACCAAGTTCAACCTTAATGCTTGTGCTTGGCTAAAATTATGCCCTGATAGCTGGTGTGGAAGTCAGTGTGCGAGTTCAATGGATGGCGACTTGCAGCAAGTGCCTCTCCAATACCTCGCTGGCTAGCATGGCTCCCATTGGTCACATGACACTTACCTCTCCAAATCCACCTTTTCCTAGAACTCTGTAATGTCTAAATGTTTTCTTTGTTACTGGCCGCCTAAGTAACAAAAAGAAAGTTTCAGGTCTCACGTCACATTGTTATTTTAAAGCAGAACAGCCTACCTCGCTGGTGTCCTAGGCTTAGTTATGGAACTTCACTGGTCCAGGGGAGGGCAGGAAGTCTGTAACTGGGGACTGTGGCCCTCCAGGGGACAGCTCTCAGCCGCACTCAGCAACAAGCACACGGAACCTTTTTCATTGAAAACACTGATGACAGATGCAGAATGGTCCAGTTATCTTTAGTTGTGAAAGACAAGTCTGCACTAGCCCCCATGTGAAGTATTATTATTCTCAGGCATCCCCCTCAGGCCAGTCAGAAAGCTGCTGAGGAAAAGGACGGGTCTACAGCACGCTATCCTTTAAAAAACTGGACATCTGGAAAAATATGTCTGAACTAGAACTGGAAAAGTGGTCAGTCTATCTATATATATAAAAGGCTAAGCAAAAACCTAAGCTACTGGCCAACGGGCCGGTAGGTGTGACACACACTGACCACCAGGGGGCAGATGCTTAACGCAGCAGCTGCTGAGCAACACAACTTTGCAGAGTGTCCTCATGGGATGTCAAGACTGCCAGTTTCCACCCGATCCAGGCTGAGGAACCCCACCAGCTGGAGGGACCCCGCTCACTCTGCAGACACTGGGGCAAGACCATGGAGGTTGGCTCCAAGGTGTGCTCAGCCCGTTTCGCCCAGTCCCACCCCACTGGCCACCTTCTAATTAATTTTCTTTCAATGTGCATGAATCTGTGCACCAGGCCTCTAGTCAATAATAACTGCAGCCCTGGCCAGTGTCACTCAGTGGTTAGAATGTTGGCCTAAGCACTGAAGTGTCGAGGGTTTGATTCCCAGTCAAGGGCATGTACCTGGGTTGTAGGTTTGATCCCCAGCCCCGGTTGGGGTGTGTTCGGGAGGCAACCAACCAATGTACCTCTCTCACATCAATGTTTCTCTCTCTCTCTCTCTCTCTCTCTCTCTCTCTCTCTCTCTCTCCCTTACCCCCCCCCCCCCAATTCCAATCTCTCTAGAAATCAATGGAAAGAATATCCTCACTCTTCAGGTGGGATTAAAAGTAAAAATAATAACAACTGTAATAACAACACTAGTGGCAGCTAAGACTTTGTGAGCACTCACTCTGTACACAGGACTAGGAAGGCTAAGCATTTCACACACATTCCTCAGGCGACCTGGGCATCTAGAAGTGTGGATCATGAGCACCTCGGGGAACACAACCAGGACCTGAAGCCAAAGGCTAAGTCACGTGCCTGAGGCCATAAAGCCACAGGAGGCCGCACAGCCTGAGACCCGTTACATTGTATGTCTGTGACCCAAGGACAGACTTTATTTTCTACCTGCTGCACCAAGTAGGCTGACAACAATTTAAAAAAGACAGAACAGCTGAAACCGGTTTAGCTCAGTGGATAGAGCGTCGGCCTGGGGACCAAAAGGTCCCAGGTTCAATTCCGGTCAAGGGCATGTTCCTTGGTTGAGGGCACATCCCCAGTAGGGGGTGTGCAGGAGGCAGCTGATTGATGTTTCTCTTGCATCGATGTTTCTAACTCTCTATCCCTCTCTCTTTCTCTCTGTAAAAAAAAAAAAAAATCAATAAAATATATTGTAAAAATAAATAAAAAATAAAAACAAAAAAGACAGAACAGAGTCAACTGAATGAGGAAAAACTAATAACACACATTAATAATTTCTGTACAGAAATACCATATGAAGGCCAACATTTCCAAGAGTATTTTGACAGATGGAAAGGTATACATCAATCAGGGTGATTATGAGAAGTTACCATTGTTTTCACTGAATCAAGAGAGAACATACCTTTCCAGCCATTTCCACTGTAAAAATCGAGAAAAATATGGGCTTTCTTGGTATTCTTCAAATGGTTTTCCACTTAAAAAGTGATGGACAACTCTAGAAAAAGATTGCATGCAATTATACACCCCTGTTTCATTACAACATGGAAGCAGCTGTGTTATGCGCCTAGGAGCCCTGGACACGGGCAGGTCCGTGTCTCTCTCTCTCTCTCTCTCTCTCTCTCTCTCTCTCTCACACACACACACACACACACACACACACTATTCGGTACTGAACTCGAAGTCACAGGCATCCACAACAGGCTCCAATGTGTCCGTGAGAATATGGAGGGAAGAATTCAAAGGAAATGAAATCAATTTACCCTCCCAGTCAGAGGTTCTCTTTATGTATATGGACATCAGAGAAACAAATACTTTATAAAAACAATCTGTCTGTAAAAGGACAATAATTTAAAGCATATTCAAAGTGTGTGTGCACGCATAGGCCTGTGTATTTCAGGAGGGGATATAAACATTTTATAAATACAATGGAGGAATGTCTGACTGATAATAGTCACAAGGCAGAAAATGTTAATACGTGACACAACCGTTTTTGACACTGGGAATAAATCACTCAATAAGTGACTTTGCGCTGCACGTTTTCTCAGGTGTTCTGCCATGGCCATGCCGCTAGGTTTATTTATAACTGCTTTAGAAGTGTTGCCGAGACCGGTTTGGCTCAATGGATAGAGCGTCGGCTTGGGGACTGAAAGGTCCCAGGTTCGATTCCGGTGAAGGGCATGTACCTTGGTTGCGGGCATATCCCCAGTAGGGGGTGTGCAAGAGGCAGCTGGTCGATGACTTTCTCATCGATGTTTCTAGCTCTCTATCTCTCTCCCTTCCTCTCTGTACAAAATCAATAAAATATATTAAAAAAAAAAAAAAAAAAAAAAAAAAAAGAAGTGTGAGAGTCTTCTAGGGAGTGGTAAGGGGTGGAAGGCAGCCGGACGCTGGAAGGAACACGCCTCGGAGGTGCCCATGGCTCCGAGGCTGGGGAGCTGGGCAGCACAGCTGCACTCAGTGACAGGAGCCCACCCCCACAGGGCGTTCCAGACGACAGTGGGTGTCGGTGGCTTATGACTTTTAAAAAGCATAACTACATAAGCAAAAGCTCTCCGTCCGCCACGCTTCAGAGTGGGCCGGTGTGAACCTGAGAGGAAAGGCGTGAACAGCTGCCACGCTCACTCTTAGAGCTGACACCGCTCTGGGCTCCCGGCCGCCCAAACGTTCTCGCACACAGGCCTGCTCCCAGGGGCGCTCACAGCCGCACTTAGAGTCAGTGGAGGATTCTGACTCGGCTTCAGCTACACCGTCTTTATCAAGGTATTTAAGAATTTCCATGAAAAGTACAACACAAACAGTAGCTGATGCTACAGGGTGAGGCAAAGCAGGCTGACCGTTTCCACGTGGACAATAACACAGAACTAGTGAAGAATAGCACAAGACCGGACTCTGTTCTGCACTCCAGCTGGAAGCCACTCTCCCTCGCCCTGCGTCACGTTGTGTACCTCACAGTCCATACAAGTCAACGGTGACCACCAACCTACCAGCGCTGCTCAATTTCACTTCCTAACACCCCACCTCAGAACAGTGAACTGCTGCTGGGCTCTAGGCTGGGAAACAAGGCCACCGCACACATTGTAAGCAATTACAACATTTAAAACTGCACAGTGCTGGCCGTATTTCCAGTGGTTATTGTCAGTCTGTGTACCAGGAGAATCTTGGGTTCAATTCCCAGTTAAGGGCAAGTGCCTAGATTGCAGGTTCGATCCTGGCCCTAGTCTAGGTGAGTGCAGAAGGCAACCAATCGGTGTCTCTCATACTGATGTTTCTCTCTGTTTCCCTTCTCTCTCTAAAATCATTTACCATTTTGTATAACTCTTTCATCCTGGACACAAGCACAGAGCAGAGGGCCAGGAGTCGCGGAGGGATGCTCCTGCCCAGCTCCGCCGGGACTGCCTTGGTGGGTCAACGGGGCGAGGGTGATGACTGCTCCTCAGCCCGTCCCCGTGAAAGTGCATTTCAGTTTCGACAGAACGCGGTTAAGAACATGCCTCCCGCCGAGAAGCCTGCAGCGACGGGCAGCGGGCAGGGCCCTTACCTGACACATTCGTTGAACAGCTCCTTGGAGGGGTTCTCCTTCAGCTGCAGCCTGCACACTCTCACGATGCGGGCAGAAATCCGGGGCAAAGGGGCTGCCGAGGTCTTCACAGCACAAACCAAAGACACGACGGTTAGTGATCTCACCAACTACAGTCCTGAGCAAACCTAACGCCTACTGTAAAAACGGAAACACCAAGTGCGTGAGGTCAGCCTGGTACCACCGTCACTCTGCCCAGCCTCACCTCCCAGGGTCAGCGTGTCACCTCTCCCTGGGACATCGAACAGGGTGGGAGCCGAGTCTCCAGAGATACTGCGCCCCACGGACAGCATCACTCACACGACAGCCCACGGTGGGCGCCACCCAGTGTCCGTGGGTCAACAAGATGTGGTCCACCATTCAAAGGGGTATTATCCGGCCTTAACATGGACCTGCCACCTGCCACACACGAACGGCCCCGAGGACAACATGCCCAGTGAAATACGCCGCCGGGGAAGGGCAAGTTCTGCGCCTCCAAGTGTATGCCGTCCCGACAGCGTCAAGTTCGTGAAAGACAACAAGAAGAGCGGGGCCTTGGGCTGCGGAGGGGCCATGAGGGGCTGTTGGTCACCGGGGACAGAGTTTACTTCTGCATGATGAAAATGTTCTGGAGAGGATGCTGGTGACCACTGTACAATGGGAATGGACTTATGCCAAATTTTATACATTTTTTATCACAATTAGAATGCAAACACACACACACAAACGCTCAGAAATACACACACTTTTCCCTCATACAAATGGAATAAAAACTATACACAGATGTTCCTCAACTTATGATGAGATTATGTCCCACCAAACCCATCCCGAATTCAGAATATCATAGGCCAAGCCTACCTAACACCCAGCTCAGCCACACTGACCTGAACCGTGCTCAGAGCACGTACATCAGCCCACACCTGGCAGCTGTCCTCCACCGCCTTCCCTCTCTCCTCACAGAGGAGTCAGGGGGGATTTTGTAGACATGATGGGACACAAAAAATCTCCAGAAAATGCTGACAACATAGCACACTGCAGAACAGAGGTGGGGAACCCTTTTTCTGCCCAGGGCCATTTGGATATTTATAACATCGCGAGAGGCCTGGTGCACGAATTCATGCATGGGCGGGGTCCGGCAGCCCGCTCCCCCTTACCCCCCACATCAGGCCAGGCCAGCTGGGGGGAGGGGCCCCAGGAGATTGGCTGGCCAGCCCTGCTCCCAATAGGGGTGGGGAGACTGATGGGGGCAGGGCCGGCTGGGACGGGAGCATGGAGTGGGGGCTGAAGAAGACTCACTGAGCCGGAGCTGAGCACAGGCCCAGGCTGCCTGGCCGGCGGCCTCAGCTTACGAGAAACCCCAGAAGGCTCTGCGAACACCCTGAGCTCCCCTTGGCCGGGCGGACTCGGAGCTGGGGCCTCCAGCACATTAGACACAGCCAGCCCTCGCCTGTCAGCCAAACCCTTTGCGTCGAGAACCGAGTTCCCCTTCTTCTCTGGGGCCCTGACAGTGAAGCGGCCAATTGGAAGATCTCACTTGAAAGTTATAGGGAACATGTCCACCTCAGAGACGTCCTCTGGAGTCCTACGGCTCTAACTCCCATGTTGGAGGGCTCGATCCATTTGGCATTATGCTGTGTGTGTGGTGTGAGGTAAGGGCCACCTGCATTCTTTTGCATGTGGACGTCCAGCTGTCCCAGCAGTCTGTTGAAAGGTGACTCTTTCCCCAGAGTGCTCGTAAGCTGTTGTAAATTGTGGGAAGCCACCCGTTGTCCTCACTATCAGAGAAGCATAAACAAGGAGCCCGGAATGCTAGGGAACCTTGAGCCCTGGCAAGGGCCAGAGCTATGCACTGATTGTTTAGTCCAGACAATGGGGGCTCAAGCAACTTCCTGACCAAATGGTCTCAGAATAAATCTTTCTAATATTTACTGACCTTTAGGATATCCTGTCTCCTCAAGTTTTCTGCCTAAGGGCTAGATGTGCATCCAAAACTGAATAAAAGGGTGGCAAGCCTGAGCACCAGTGGAAGTCCTTTCCCCTGCACTGGGCTTTCCGCTGGCCCCCAATATTTACAAATTATTATCTTGTCTCGTCTCTTTAATTTGTGTGCAGCCCTTCTCCAGATCCCGAACCCTGAACCATGAGGGACGTGGGTCTTCACAGTAAGTCAGCTGACTGCAAAGGGATGTGCCGGCTCCTGCGTCAGTCCCCGCCCACTGATGGGGTGACTGTCCTTGTGCCAGCACCATGCGGCTTCTCAGATCAGTTACCAACTTCTGCAGAAAGGGGAGCTTGGGAGTACAATGAACCTACAGTCATGGTGGGGAGTGTTGTCATCTTAAAAAATATCAAGTCTTCTAATCCATGAACATGGGAAGTCTACTTACGTTCTTTAACTTCTTTCAATGATGTTTTAAGTACAAAAGTTTTGCACTTTTTATATTTACTCCTTTTTGATGCGCAATTGAATTTTGTATGGTGATCAAGTGTCCTGCAACCTTGACAAACTCAATTATTAGTTTTTTCTCCCTAATGTATGTGCGGACACCTTGAGATTTTCTACTTACAAGTGTTATGGTCTGCATGATTCCCTCAAAACTCGGATGCTGAGATCCTACCCCCCAAGTGACACTACTGAGACGTAAGACCTTCCGGAGGAGCTTAGATCGGGAGAGGGAGCCCGAGAGAGGGGTCAGGGCCTCCAAGAGCCCACGGAGACACCAGTGAGACGTGCCAGCTATGAGCCAGGGAGAGGAGCTTTGTAAGAAAGAAATGTTAACATACATGTTACTCCAATTAAGTAAATGGCTCTGCACTCTAATTACATAAGTTACTTACAGATCTTTATATCTGAAGAAGAAACACACCTCATTAATGAAGAACGTTTTTAAGATTAACTGTCCACGCTCTCTTCGGTCCTCGTCAAGGGTGACTTCATATTCTGCCTGAGTGCAGAGACGACGGGAAGAAATGTTAGCTAACTTCTCACCGACGTCAGGCGGCTTCAAGTCCTCTGGCTTCCAGAACTGACTGGAGCCCACGACCAGAGAGCAGCCCACTGTGCCAGGGCCTCCCGAGAGCGCTGAGGGCTAATGATACAGCAGAGCAGCCCATTCCATGATGCTCCGTCTGTACTTTCAGCCGCGAACTGCGGCCAAACAAGCAAACAGCTCACGGACCCGAGTGCAGTTTTCAAGGTCTCAGTCACCCACCACAGGGCCGGGGAGACTGTCCCGGACTCAGTCACCCACCACAGGACAGTCAGTCGAACACAACGCCGCTGCTGCCATGGAGAGGCACCGCTGGATCCGCGAAGGGAGACGCGCCTGGACGCCCGGTGGGCCCGGCTCAGTCGCTGACGGTCAGACAAGCAGAGTGGGTCTCCCCGGAAGAAGTCCCTGCCTACCACAGTGGCTTCACCCCGTTCTGGAGTTCCGCCCTGCCCTTTCCCTGGCCTGCCTTACAGATGGCACCCTTTCCTAGCCAGACCTCACAACCAGGAAAGCCAGTTTCTTTTGGTAAATCCCTTCCTATCTACCTCGTTCCTTTCACTGAGCCCTGACGGATTCAGATAGCATAGGTCTCTGAATTCCTAAAATATAGCAGCTTGGCAAATATAACCCAACTAGAGGCCCAGCGCACGAAATCCTGCGCAGGTTGTGTCCGGCTGGGGAGAGGGGACTCGGAGGCTGGCCGGGTTGAACTTCAGGTCGAGGGGGGGGACAACTTGCCATTAGCCTTTTATTATACAGGGTATGTAGACGTACCACATTCTACCAGAGCTGAGTAGGCAGCCCCACTGCATCCGAATTCTTCCTTTAAAAAATAATTGCCTCCTTTACAGCCTCGTCTTTTTCTACTGAAGGCACCAGGAAGGAAAGGGGGAGCCCCAGGGAGTAGGGAGCAAACAACAAAATAGGCAAGAGCCTCGAATGCTTTTCTGAAAGAATACATTTAAACAGGATTATCTTAAAAGCTATGTCAGAGGCAAAAATGAATGAACACTCAATGGCATAAGAGAATACTCTAGGTACAATACGTAGTCAGCACTTACTGGCTGATACACCTAGGACAGAGAAACAGTGTTAGTGCTTAGGGTGAGGTCATAAGTTTGGTAAGAGAGCTTTTCTGCTAGATTCTGCCAATTTTCTACTGTTAAGTTGCTTCTGAATTTCAGTTTCAAACTCCTACATCTGCCAGAACTAAAGATTCAGAAACACGGGATTTCTTTGCCTCTCAGAAAAACTCAGTGAATGCCAAGTATGACGCGGAGAATGTGGGACACTTTACATGTCACAGTGCGCTCCACTCCCTATCTTTTTTTTAATTTTAAATATTTTATTGGTATTTTACAGAGAGGAGGATGGGAGAGAGATAGAGATCTAGAAACGTCGATGAGAGAGAAATATCAACCAACTGCCTCTTGCATACCCTCTACCGGGGATGTGCCCACAACCAATGTACATGCCCTTGACCGGAATCGAACCTGGGACCTTTCAGTCCACAGACCGACGCTCTACCACTGAGCCAAACCGGTTTTGGCTCCCTGACTATCTTTACGCTCAGTTCACTGCTCCCTCCTGGGTGCTGGAAGCAGACAGCACTGCTCAGAAGGAGGAAGGCCACTCGCAGTGGCTGCCTTAAGCACATCGTCTTCATTCATTCGCTGTTCAACCTCCTCACAGATCAAAGCAGCAAGTTTCAACATTACTCACTGAGCACACGTGCCTCCGGCCCTGAGGGGCAGTCCTGCGCGAGTGGCCGCTTTACACTACAGCAGAGGGAGACATAGAGGCCACTGCCCCCCACCCCCCTCACCCGTCACAGCCCACGTCAACTAATTCAGGCTCCTCCGAGCACAGAGCAGCTGGTCAGCACAGGTGACCCACTCACCACCGCATCCAGGAACTCTATGCAGCGCTTCAGGTTGTCTCGGGTGTCGCAGAACTGCCGGAAGAGCAGCCTTCCTATTGGCTGCTTGTCACAAAGACTGCTGTAATCCTCTTCTGCGTGAAGAAAGGGGATAGAGTCATTACAATTCAGAAAGTGCTATTTCTGAACCTTACATACCAGATACAGTAAGAGTGAAAAATTGTATTTGCAGCATTTTTTAGATCACTGTTTTGCTTACCAATTTAGACTGGCCTATCCTGACGAGTATTTAAAACTAGAGGCCCAGTGAAATTCAGCACGGGAGGGGGGATTGTCCCTCAGCCCAGCCTGCACCCTCTCCAATCTGGGACCCCTCGAGGGACATCCCTCTCACAATCCAGGACTGTTGGCTCCCAAATGCTCACCTGCCTGCCCTCCTAATTGCCCCTAACCACTTCTGCCTGCCAGCTTGATCACCCCCTAACCACTCCCCTGCCAGCCTGATTGATGTCCAACTGCTCCCCTGCCAGCCTGTTTGCCCCAAACTTCCCTACTCTGCCAGCCTGCTCACCCTTAACTGCCCTCCCATGCAGGCTTGATCACTCCCAATTACCCTCTCTTGCAGGCCTGGTTCCTCCCAACTGCCCTCCCCTGCTGGCCATCTTGTGGTGGTCATCTTGTGTCCACATGGGGGCAGGATCTTTGACCACATGGGGGCAGCTATCTTGATCTTGTGTGTTGGAGTGATGCTCAATCTGCATATTACTCTTTTATTAGATAGGATAGAGGCTTGGTGCACGGGTGTGGGCCGGCTGGTTTGCCCTGAAGGGTGTCCCAGATCAGGGTGGGGCTCCCTTGGGGCGTGGGGCAGCCTGGGCGAGGGACCTGTGGTCATTTGCAGACCAGCCATGCCCCCCGGCAACCCAAGCAGAGGCCCTGGTATCTGGGATATATTTATCTTCTACAATTGAAACTTTGTAACCTGGAGCAGAGCCAAGCCTTCTGCTTGCTCTGTGGAGGCAGCCATTTCTGTTGGGATTGATTCACCTTCTACAATTGGAACTTTGTAACCTTAAGCAGAAGCCTGGGCCGGCCAAAGTGTGCGGAAAGCTTGGCTTCCTCTATCGCCAGGGAAACCCAAGCCTCCCTCCTGCTCGTTCAGTGGCTACAGCCATCTTGGTTGGGTTAATTTGCATAATTATTGGTCAATTTGTATATTACTCTTTTATTAGGTAGGATACCTAAGCAGAGCCAAAGATCACTGGAAAAATTGGCAACTAAGGCGTGCAAAGCCACTGGGTCATCCTGCTCTCCAAAGGAAACACAAAAGGAGCAGTGTTCAGAGGGGACCGAGGTCACGGTCACACCACGGAAGGGGGAGAGGTGCCTGAGACAATTACCAGCAGGAGAAATACACCGCAGGAAGGCGCCGAATTAGATTTCAGAAAGCTCTCTCCCATTTGGCTGCCTTCTAGCAGCTCACACCTTACAGGTGTTGCTGATGCTTAATGATGTTAGCTGTTCTTGGGACTGTTCTTCCTTGTCTTCTTAGCGAAATCATATGCTATACACCTTACCCCTAAACACTAACACTGTTTTGAGAACAAGGCACTAATGTTTGGTCAAAGTGTCAAGGAGGATATAAACTAATATGTTCAAACCAAGTTAATTTAAAGGTCAGCGAGAGAATCGGCTGCCCTGTTAGCAGTGACTTTGAACTTAAATGAACATGGCCGTGTGCACTCCTGCAATGAAATTCGTGAAAGCCAGATGCCACCACCAATTCCTCAGCTGCGGGCGGACGCCGGGTACACAGGGAGCCCGGCCGCCCGCTCCGCATGTCTGCGCATGCACACAGCACAGGCCAGGGATGGACACTCGGGGCCCGGGCACAAGCACAGGCCCTGATACCAGCAAAGGTGCTGTAAACCTTCTGTGACCCGGTCAAGGGCATGTACTTCGGTTGCAGGCTTGATCCCTACCCTGGGCCAGGTGTATGTGAAAGGCAGCCAATCCATGTCTGTCTGTCTGTCTGTCTCTCTCCCCTCCCTTACACATTCTCTAAAAAGTCCATGGAAAAATATCCTCGGTGCTGACCCATAAACGTGTCTCCAGCACAGCAATTCTTCCATTATAGACACAGCGGGTCCTCATAGCCAATTGGTCTGGAGGTCAATTCCTCCCAGTGACAACAACAACAATCAAGACTTAACTACAACAAGGCTGTACACGCAGTCCACAAAGGGGTGCACCAAGAGTGTCCACATCAGGTAACTGGGAGGCTGACCCACTGAACCATACAGGACACCCAGCACACAAAGCCACCCTACCAACTCAGGGAAGCAGCGAAAACGCCGAGACAAGGAAACAGATCACAAACGAAAGAAATGGATGACAACAAATGACTGGACATAGAGTTCAAAACCACAGTTACAAGGTTTTTCAAAAATTTCCTAGAAAAGGCCGATAAAATTAACGAGACCCTCAAGGATATGAAAAGGGACTAATAGAAATTAAACATACACTGACTGAAATAAAAAATATTATACAGAGACCCAACAGCAGACTAGAGGAACGCAAGAATCAAGTCAAAGATTTGGAATACAAAGAGGCAAAGGACACTCCTCCAGAGAAGTAAGAAGAGAAGAGAAGCCAGAAAGTTGAAGATAGTGTAAGAAGTCTCTAGGACAACTTCAAGCATACCAACATCAGAATTATGGGGGTGCTACCCTGTTTCCCCGAAAATAAGACAGTGTCTTATATTAATTTTTGCTCCCAAAGATGCGCTAGGTCTTATTTTCAGGGGATGTCTTATTTTTCCATGAAGAAGAATACGGTACACATTTATTGTTAAATGAAAATAAAGGAAATTTATTACCTGTATACGGTAAGGTAGTACGGTAGTTGTCAACACAAACCAGACAAACTGTGAATCCTACAGTATCAAGAATTTACTTATTTATTCAATGACAATCATGTCATCATCTTCTGGAACATCATCATAACAATCCAATTCCTGAATTTCCTGATGAATTTCTTGTGACTCCATTTCTTTCAGAATCAGTGGACCAAATCTCTCATGTTTAGCCTGGGGGGGGCCTTATTTTCAGGGGGATGCCTTATATTTCACTCAGAAGGAAACCTGTAAGTAGGTCTTATTTTCGGAGGATGTCTTATTTTCGGGGAAACACGGTAGAAGAGAGCAAGATATTAAAAACCTATTTGAAGAAATAATGACCAAAAATTTCCCCCACCTGTTGAAAGAAATAGACTTACAAGTCCAAGAAGTGCACAGAACCCCAAACAAAAGGAATCCAAAGAGGACCACACCAAGACACATTATAATTAAAATGCCAAGGGCAAAAGACAAAGAGAGAATCTTACAAGCAGCAAGAGAAAAACCGTTAGTTACCTACAAGGGAGCACCCATAGGATTATCAGTGCATTTCTCAACAGAAACTATGCAGGCCAAATGGGAGTGGCAAGAAATATTCAAAGTGATGATTAGCGAGAACCTACAACCAAGATTACTCTACCCAGCAAAGTTATTCAGAATTGAAGGGCAGATAAAGAGCTTCACAGATAAGAAAAAACTAAAGGAGTTCATCACCACCAAATTACAATAGTATTATATATAATGCTTAAACGTATTCTTTAAAAAGAGGAAAAAGAAGAAAAAAGATAAAAATTATGAACAATAAATACATATCTATCAACAACTGAATCTAAAAGTCAAATGAATTAAAAATCTGAGGAACAGAATAAACTGATGAATATAATAGAATCAGGGGCATAGAATGGGAGGGGATTGATAATTCTCAGGGGGAAAGGGGTGTCTGTGTTGGGAGTATGGGAAGAGACTGGACAAAAACCATACTCCTATGGATGAGGATGGGGCAGGGGGGAGGTAAGGGCAGAGGGTGGGGTGGAAACTGGGTGGAGGGGAGCTGGGTGGGGGGAAAAATGAGAAACAATTGTAATAGTCTGAATAATAAAGATTTATTAAATTTAAAAAAAAGAAAAGAAAAATATCCTCGGGTAAGGATTAAACACACACACACACACACACACACAAACACACATGTGCCAGTTTTAACCCTTTCCTTCCAAACACGAAGGGCTGGCAATGCCCCTGGTTCCAGGTGAGGCTGGCAGATGTGCACAGGTAGGCCTGTCTTCTCTCCCCGGTCCCTCCTGAACGTGCTGAGCGTGACCACAAGAGCAGAGCCACACGGAAAGCATGGAGCCTCCCATGGGGAACACAGGTGCCCTCACGGGTCAGACGTGAAGTTACCTGGAAGAGAGAGCTGCTGGGGCTGGAGTTAAAGGAACATCGGCTGAGACCCCAGAGATAAGCTGGGCTCCCACAATCCTCTATGCCGGGAGCTGCCAGAGGTATCGGTGGTGGCAGACCCCTCTTCACGTTCTGCCGTCTCCAGGGAGACCTCACGCACTGCCAGTCTGTGACTCCTGGATGCCACCTACAGCTATCGCCTGAGTCCGACCTACAGCCCAGACTTCTCTGAGCCCTAAAAACACACCTTCTCTCCCACTGTGAGCACCCCTCTGAATGGACCAGACCTGGAAGTCACCTTAGTTCCCCCTCCCTCCTTCCACACAGAACTCAACTGGATTCCGCTTCCTGAATTTTCTCATCGTTCATGTCCTCACCCCCCCCCCCACCAGCTGCCGTCTCCTGCCCGCACAATGGTGGGTGCCCCATATGGCCTCCCTGTCCCCTCCTGACCTCTCAATCTCATTCTTCACACTGAAATCTGAGAGACAGACGCCTGGGAAACGTGAATCTGATGGCATCCTTCCTCCCTAAAACCCTGACGCCAACTTTCTGCCTCTAAGACGACAAAAGCCCTCAGCGGCCTCCCAGCGGCCTCCTGTGCCCTCCCAGTGGGCCTTGGCAGGAGGGAGAGGCACTCAGGGAGGAGCGAGGGCCGGGGAGGGAGAGTGCCGCGGCTGCTTGAGAGGCAGGCAGGCAGGTCCCAAGAAGTGAAACAGCTGGTTTCACAGAGGCGCCAGCTCCGTGGTGACAGAGCAGTCACTCCCGTGAGTGGTGCTGAGCCACTGGCTCTCCGGGGGAAATGGAACTGGTCCCTCTCACCCCCACACAGACTAACTGCACTGGGTCCAGCACCCAATGGGAGGGAGGCGGCGTGCACTTCACAGCGTGGGGTCCGGCAGTGGTTCCTATCCACAACACCAAGCGCACGCGGCAGCAGCAATCAGACCAGCGGGGCTTCTTCAGCACAGACTGTGTTCCCCAACGGGCATCGCAGGAGAAAGAGAGACCAGCCCGAAGTGGGGGGAAGTATGTGCCATCAGGGATCTGATGTGGCACGCTCACGTCTCCATCTCAGCATGAAAAGACAGCCCCATTTAGCCATGGGAAAGGGAGTCGTTGAATCCTTTCCAAGGGTTGATTTCTCAAAGTGAAAGGGAGGGAAGAGGAGAGAGAGAGAAAAGCATCAACGTGAGAGAAACACATCCACCCACTGCCTTCCGCATACACCTTAAAAGGGAGGCGGGATGGGACGTGAACACACACAGGCAGTGCCCTTGACAGAGAACCGAAGCCACACCCCTCCGAGCTCAGGCCAATGCTCCAACCACTGAGCAACAATGGCCAGAACTAAAAAGGGGCCAAGAATTTTAACAGACATTTCTCCAAGCAAACATAAAAATGGCCAATAGGCACAGGAAAAGATGCTCGGCATCGTTAGTCCTGGGAAATACAGAGCAAAACGCAATGGGAGGCCACTTCACAGCGGCCGGCTGCGCGCACACAGAGGGAGGAGAAGCCTGGGAAGGGTGGGAAGAAACCGGCTTCCCTGCACTGCCGGAGGGACGTAAGAGGGCAGCACTTTGGATAACAGTTTGGCACTTCCTCAAAAAGTCACACTCAGAATTCCCTACTACCCAGCAGTTCTAATTCTGGGCACACACACACAGACAGTGAGCCAGGCACTCAAACCAACGTCTACACAGCCACCAACGTTCCCTGAAGGCGTGAAACGGCCCATGTCCACCAACAGATGAGCGACCAAATCCAGATTCCCATGGAATTTTACTTTAAAATGGTTAAAATGGCAATCTTTATGTATTCTTCACCACAATAAAAAAAACTTGTAAGCAAATGTTCGTAGCAATATTATTCATCACTAGAGGCCCGGTGCACCAAGTTCACATATGGTAGGGCCCCTAGGCCTGGCTTGTGATCAGGGTCGATCAGGTTCCCCACCTCCCCACCTCCTCCTTCCCTCACTCCCTCAGCACCCCGCCACTGCCACTGGTTGCCCGCCATTTCCCATGCCACCCCTGGTGGTCAGCATACGTCATAGCCAGCAATCGAACTCCCGGTCTCCCGGTCGAACTCCTGAGTGGACACTTTGCATATTAGCCTTTTATACAATGAGTGGCCAAATTATTATGATCTCTGAGGCCCGGTGCACGAGGGGACATGGGCGGTTGGCCGGCCTGCCTGCTGGTCAAACTCCTGGTCGAGGGGACAATTTGCATATTAACCTTTTATTATATAGGATAGTGGCCAGATTATTATGCGTTCAGAGTTCATAATAATCTGGCCACTCAGACATAAAAATAAAAACAATCCAATCTATTAACTGATATATAGATACGGTAAATAAAATGCAATATATCCTCGCAACAGACAACTTGCCAACAAAAGTGGATTGAGTACTGATTCATGCTATAGCATGAATGGCCTTGAAAATGTGTTAAGTGAAAGAAACCAATCATAAAAGACCACCAAGTACATGGTTTCCATTTACATGAAGTGTCCAGAAAAGGCAAATCCAGAGAGCAGATGAGTGGCTGCCTAGGACTGAGGAGGGGGAGGGAGTGGGGAGTGGCCCCAATGGGCACGGGGCTTCTTTCTGAGGTGACTGTGGTAATGGCTGCACAATGCTGTGACTATAGAAAAAGCCACTGAACTGTACACTTTACGGAGGTAAACTGTATGGCATGTTAACCACGTCTCAATAAACTGCTATTGTACACACATAATGAGGCTGAAACAACTGGGTAGGTTTTTTGGGGGGGAACTACCTTCTTTAGACTGTCTGAAATTATTTAAAATTTTAAAATATTTTTATTTATTTCAGAGAGGAAGGGATAGAAACATCAATGATGAGATAGAATTATTGCTTAGCTGCCTCCTGCACACCCTCTTCTGAGATCGAGCCCGAAAACCGGGCATGTGCCCTCGGATGGAATCAAACCTGGGACCCTTCAGTCCACAGGCCGATGCTCTATCCACTGAGCCACAGCAGCTAGGGCTGAAATTATTTTTGATAGTTAAAATATCTAAACTTTCTTAAAAAGGAACTGTAATAGTATTAAAGAAAAGATGGATTGATTTTTTTTTTTAATTAATCTTTGGTGTCTTCCCTAAGCACAAGACTAAGTACAAAAACTAAAACGATTGATATATTTGTCTACATAAAAAATTAAAACCTCTGCCAAAACCGGTTTGGCTCAGCGGTAGAGCATCGGTCTGCGGACTGAAAGGTCCCAGGTTCGATTCCAGTCAGGGGCATGTACGTTGGTTGCGGGCACATCCGCGGTGGGGGGTGTGCAGGAGGCAGTTGGTCGATGTTTCTCTCTCATTGATGTTTCTAGCTCTCTCTCTTCCTCTCTGTAAAAAAAATCAATAAAATATATATATTTTAAAAGAATTAAAATCTCTGTATGGGAAAATATACTGTATGCCAAAAAAAGCAGACATATACAATATATTCACATTTGAATATCAAAAGATAAGTTCCTTTCATACATAAAGAGCTTTTACAAATGAGTTAGAAAAAGCAAAAAAAATTTTAAGCTTCATGAAAATGTTCAACCCCATGCATAAATTTTCAAATTATAGTTTATCTTTATTAAAAATATTGAAAACAATACCATTATTTTAATATGTTAACAAAGTCACAGGCAAAGGAACCTTGTAACATATTGTTGGCAGGAAAGTAAAGGGATACAACCTCTTTGGAGATTAACTTGGCAACATCAAAATTTTGAATGCAGCCCTAGCTGGTTTGGCTCAGTGGATAGAGCGTCAGCCTGTGGACTGAAAGGTCTTGGATTCGATTCCGGTCAAGGGCATGTACCCTCGTTGCAGGCACATCCACAATGGGGGGAGTGTGCAGGAGGCAGCTGATCAATGTTTCTCTCTCATCGATGTTTCTAATTCTCTATCCCTCTCCCTTCCTCTCTGAAAAAAAAAATCAATAAAATATATTTTTAAAAAATTTTTGAATGCATGTATCCTTTGAACTGAAACACGCATCTTTTAAAAAATACGATGATGCCTGCCCTGGACAGGGCTCCCCACCTGACTTCCTGTGCGCACATCAGGACCCATAGCTAACACACTCCTCGCAGCCGCAGAGTACCTGTAAGTACCTTCCATCTGCCTTTCCTGAAGTTACCCTCAGTCATTCTTGTCCACGTGCAGAGAGAACTGTGTGTGGAGACTGAGAAACAGTTAACAGTGTCCCTTCTACAGCCATATACTTTATAACATATACTTTATAACCTACAGGCTTTTCCTCTGGAAGAACCAAGGACTATAAGAAGAATGTACATCGTTTTTGAAACAAGAAAGGAACTCAAGAAAGAACACCTAACGAGTGATACAATGCTCCGTTTACTCACCAATGCACTGTCTCAGCTGGTTGCACTCGCTAACAGGGGGCAGCTTCAGCATCTCCCTCCATTTTTTACTACGACCACTTTTTTTGCCATATGCTCCTAAATTTGGGGGGAAAAGAGGCATTTTTTAATGGTCAGAAATGTCTAATTATAACAATTACTTTCACTAACAGCATTTACAATAAGCCAGATACTTTCCTAGAAGGTTTGCCAGTCTGTGCTCACTAAATCCTCCCATCAACCCTATGAGATATACTGTTGCTATGCTCTTGTCATAATCCTAATTTTATGGGTGAGAAAACTAACGCAAAGACATGTGAGATAATTTGCCTGGCCGGTGTAGCTCAGTGATTGAGCAAGTCTTGTTCACTTCCTGGTCAGGGCACAGGCCTGGCTGTGGACACCTTCCTCAGGGAGGGATGTGCAGGAGACAGCCAATCAGTGATCCTCTCTCATCACTGATGTTTTTGTTTTGTTCTGTTTGTTAATCCTGATGGTCCATGGACCAACACTCTACCCACTTAGCCAAACCGGCTAGGGCTCATCATTGATGCTTCTATCTTTCTCTCCCTCTCCCTTCCTCTCTGAAATCAATGAAAACATTTTAAAAAAATATATTTTATTGATTTTTTACAGAGAGGAAGAGAGAAGGATACAGAGTTAGAAACATCGATAAGAGAGAATCATCGATCAGTTGCTTCTTGCACACCCCCTACTGGGGATGTGCCCACAATCAAGGTACATGCCCTTGACTGGCATCGAACCCAAGACCCTTCAGTCCGCAGGCTGATGCTCTCTCTATCCACTGAGCCAAACCGGTTTCAGCATCAATGAAAACATTTTTTAAATAATAATTTGCCTAAAGTAGTTATAGCTAATAAACAGAGAAGATGGGGTTTGAACCCAAGTGATGACACTACAAATGGGGCCATGCTGCACTAAGGGGGTTATACTTGTCACCTTTTTCTTGAATTTAACAAAATAACAAACCACCCCCTTCCTCTCCAATTGCTTACTAAGTACCAATTAAATGGCTAGCACTGAGAGGGATACAAAATAAAGATACAAACTATGCCCTGCCCTTACATAGATTACAATTTAATCTACGAGTCCTTGACTACACTGTGTTAAGAACCCCCAATTCCCAATTCCCATTTCCCAAAGGGCAGAGTGTCACCAGGCTGGAAGGAAGCTACAAGAAGAGGATTAAAGTAAACTGGAACCTGAAGAATAGAAACAACTGAAATAGGGAAAAAGCACGAAATGCCCACTACATAGAAGGTTGGAATTGAAAGCACACTGCAATGTGCCCGAATGAAAACCAAAGCTGTTCATTTCTACAACAAAATGCATTAAGTAGCTCCAGTCGTGGGAACAAATTAAGTGCAATGAAGGAAACAAAAATGTTGGCTAAACTATACTAATAAAAGGGTAATATGCTAATTAGACAGAGAGGAAGAGAGAGGGATAGAGAGTTAGAAACATCGATGAGAGAGAATCATCGATCAGTAGCCTCTTGCACACCCCCTACTGGGGATGTGCCCACAACCAAGGTACATGCCCTTGACATCTTCCAGGTATCCATCTTCCTTCTGGATAAAGCCACGGTGGCGGAGGCTCAGGCAGAGGTGGTTAGGGGTGATCATGCCAGCAGGGGACCAGTTAGGGGACAACCAGGCTAGCAGGGGAACAGTTAGGGTGTGGCCAGTTGGGCAGGGAACCGGTTAGGAGATGATCAAGCCAGCAAGTAGAGGCAGTTAGGGGCGATCAGGCAGACAGGTATAGTGGTTAGGGGTGATGAAGCAGGCAGACAGGCAGGTGAGCAATTAGGAGCCAGGAGTCCTGGATTATGACAGGGGATGGGGCCTAAACCATCAGTTGGACATCCCCCAATGGGACCTGGATTGAAGAGGGTGCAGGTCAGGCTAAGGGACCACCTTCCCACCCACCCCCCCGCAATCCTATGCATAAATTTCATGCACCAGGCCTCCAGTGTATGTGTGTGTGTGTGTATATATATCAATATATCAATATATCAATATATCTATATCTATATCTATATATATATATATATATATGATATATATATATATATATATATATATATGATATATATACACACACACACACACAGACATACTAGAGGCCCAGTGCACGGATTCATTCACCAGTGGGGCCCCTCCGCCTGCCCTGAAGGGATCAGGCCGAAACTGGCTCTCAGACATCCCCTGAGGGGTCCCAATTGAAAGAGGGCACAATCCAGGCCAAGAGATGCCACCAGTGCACAATCAGGGGCCAGGGAGGGACCACAGGAGTGCTCCAGGGCATATCCAGCCTCTCTCTTCCAGTCCCGATCAGCCAGACCTAAGCAACAAGCTAACCTACCAGTCGGAGCATCTGCCCCCTGATGGTCAGTGCACGCCATAGCAACTGGTCAAACAAGCGGTCAGACAGTATATTAGACTTTCATTGTATAGGATACATATGCATATACGCATACCTCTGGACTCAAAGGGTTTAGAAGCTACTTCTAGCAACTTCCTGCAACCAAAAATTCTGGGTTGGAAGCCTCAGATGCTAAACAAACTACCTGAGTCAAAAGGGTACTTCAACGTCAAAGACAAAATCTGATTAAGTGTGCCTACCCTACACGCCCACCTCTGCATTTATGCTGCCAATTCACCAAGAGATAAAATGGAGCTGAAGTCTCCTGATAAGCACATGACCATTTAAGATGTTAAGCAATTAAAGGTCATAAATTGTGTAACAAATGTATTACACACACAAAATCCTAACTTTTTTTAAAGAATGACTTTTATCTGTTATTTTATTAACAGCATGATTATTTCATACTTCCTTAGAGTGTGCCTGGCATACTGGAACACAACTTCTTCCATGCAACATCACTTGCCAACATGAATATTTCCCCCAGTCATCGTCAATACGGGGGGAAGGGGCGGGGCAAAAGTAGGTTTGCGTTGCTTGCATGTAAAGTAACAAACAATTGATAATCGCACAGGAATAAACTGTTTCACCTGCACTGTAAACCTACTTCTGCCCCACCTGTCTCGGGTTTCGGGCGTACAGCACGGTGGTTAGACAGTCCCATCACCTGAGCCCCTGGACAGCCTAGCACCAGGTCCCTGAAAGGAGAAACGACTCCTAGGTCCGGTTTGGAACCAAAGCGAGAGACCGACTTCATTCTCAGTGAATCTAGAAAGTGGCTGGACTCGCTTCCATCGAACAGCCCTGCGATTACCAGGAGAAGCCCGCGCTCTCACGCCCCCAGGACGCGCAGAGCCGCGAGCAGCCACCGGGCCCAGGCGGCACTCCCCGGGAAACGCGCCCCCGCAGCGCCCCGGGCCTCCCGCGTCCAAACCTCCGCGGGGAGCGCTACCTGCCTCCGCGGCTCCCACAGCCCAGCAGCATCCCCTCCGTCTCGGTCCCCACGCACACGTGGCGCCCGCGGCAGAGCCCACGCCGGGCGCTCGGAGTGAGGCAGCCTCAGCCGCCGCCCCAGAGCCCGCACGGCGCCCGCAGCCCGAGCAGCGCGGCCTCCGCGTGACCGCCCCCGCCCCGCCTCCCTGGGACCCCGCCTTCCCACTCGCTCCTGGGGCTCCGAGAATCCCGGTCCCACGTTCGGGGCTGGGCACTCCGAGGCCGGCAGCCACTCGGTGGGGTCTCCACGAGCGGGGGGGCTTCCCGAGGGAAGGACCCGAAGCCCCAAACAGCCGCCGGCGCCTCTGGGCGCTACCACTCCCCCGCGGGCCCGGGAGCGCCCTGGCGACCCCGGCCGGAGCCGCTCCGCTCCGGGGGCGGGGCCGCGGCGGCACCCAGGCCGGCACCGCGGGAAGGTGGGCCTGGAGGCGGCCCCCGGCCCGCCCGCCGGGCACCCACCGAGGCGCGCCTTGAGCAGCAGCGAGTTCGCCACCAGGTTCTCCAACTCCATGAGCCGCAGCCCGTGACGCCTCGGCCGCATCCGCCGCTTCCGCCGCCGGGCTGTGCGGGCTCGAGGACGCCGGGCCGGGGCCTTCGCGCGGTGCCCGCCGGCCCGCACCCGCCCGCCGGGCCCCGCACTCGGCCGGGAAAGGCTGCTCTGCCGTAACGGCCACGACCACGGCCACCACCAGTGCCGCCGCCCCCGGGCCCGCTGGCCGCGACGACGCTGCCGCTGCGAATGATGCCGCCGCCGGCCCAGGGCACCGGCGGGGACGGGGCGCGGGGCGAGGGCAGGCCGGCCTTCGGGCTTCTCCGCGGTCACCACCGCCGCGCCGCCGCCCGCGCCCTCGGCCCCATCACCCGCGCTCGGCGCGCGTAGCTCTCCTCAGGGCCACGGGTCTCCGAGGAGCCCGACCCCAGGGAAGGCTTCCCGCAGGCCGCCGCCCCCGGCGGCGACGGCTACTGCCGCCGCCGCCGCCGCCTCCTCGCAGCGCGGCCGGCTCTCCGCTAACGGCTCCCGGAGGGTGGAGCTCCAGCGCCCCCTCGCCCCCACCTGAGGCGGCTGCGGCGCCCCGCGGGGAACTACGGCTCCCAGAAGTCCCCGCGCAGAGCGGAAGCGGAGCGCCGGGAGAGCGTGGCCTCCTGGGAGTTGTAGTCCGCCTACTGGCGAGTAGTCTGAGCCCGAGGTGTCTCTCAGTGCTCGGCTCAGTTATCGCGACACCAGGGCGGGGGCGGCTCCCCGTCCCGGCACGTGTCTCCGGAAGGGGTCCGCACTCCGCCCGCTGCGCTAGGCCGTGGCTCGCTCCTCCGGTCTCGCAGGCCGTGCGGAGTCGAGCGCCTAGGGGTGCGGCGAGAGTTGGCCATGGGGAAGGCCAGGGCGACCGGGGCGCGCCCCAAGGCCCCCGGAGCCCCGGCGGGCGCGCGGGGCGGCCGGGCCAGGCCCAACCCCAACCCGTTCGAAGTGAAAGTCAACAGGCAGAAGTTCCAGGTTCTGGGCAGGAAGACGCGCCACGACGTGGGGCAGCCCGGGGTGTCGCGCGCGCGGGCCATCCAGAAGGTAAGGGCGGTGCCACCCCCTCGGGTGGCCGTTTCCTGCCAGGGACCCCTCACTCCCCGCCCGGCCGCGGGACCCTGCTCGGGGACCACCACGCTCCCCAGCGCGGCTTTCCCTGCTCTCCCCGGAGAGGCAGACTCGGGGGCCGGCCTGCCCGTGCTGGAGCCACTCTGGCTTGCCCGTGGTATGCTATTTCTCTGTGCCTCGGTTTCCTCGTCTGTAAAATGGAGATCATAGCAATACCTACACCCTGGGTAGCTGGGAAGGTTCAGTGTGTGCATTGACGTCCTGGGGACAGCGCAGGCACAGCTGGACGGCGTCCGTGTGCTTGTCCTCCACCAGGTGGACCGCGTGCCTCTTCGTGCCTCTGCGTGTGCGTGGGCTGGCGTGACCTTTCCCTGGGAACTGCCCCTCCCTGGAGACCCAGCACCGTGTGACCCCTTTTCCATGCCACTCTGCTGCTGGCATCTGCGCAGACTGTGGCTCTCCTGGCTTAGGGACCGCGGCCTTGTCCTCACAGGCCAGGGCCTCCCACAGGATGCGCAGTGGGTGCTTGATGCTCCCTCTCCCTGGAAGCACACCGCTTGTGCCGTGCCAGGGAGGGGACAGGCCTTCCGGAGTGCACGGCCCGGGGCGCCCTGTGGTTTCTGGGGCCGCTGGCCTGTAGAGCAGTAGTCTGGCCGCTGAGGAAGACACATCAGCAGGCTGGCGGAAAAGGCCCAGGAGGACAAGTGAGTTTCCTCACCTGTACAGCGGCCAGGGGCGGGGCTTGCACCCAGTTCCCTGTCTGTGAAGCCTTGATGCTCCACTTACATGCACTTACATGAAGTCTGTCCTGGCTGCTGGGAGGTCAGATGAATGAAGACAGCCTTGGCCTCCAGGGGCACACGGTCTGTCTTCTGTCCCCGTGTGCGGCCAGTGGGTCTCCTATCGGAATCTGGTGTGGGAACAGCAGACAAGACTTCCCACGGGGTCCCGGTCCCCAGGGCTCACCCTGCAGGCGTTGGGGGCCGGAGCCTGTGGGCTCCGACACAAACAAGTTTGTGTTTGCTTGCGCCTCCGTTTCCTTATTTCTGAGGTGGGACCCTGACAGCCTCGGGGCGGCTGTGAGGGCAGGTGGATGTGCACCGGGCACAGCGGGGTCCTTAAATGCCAGCTCTCTGACCGTCTCAGCTCGCCGCCCGCAGGCGCCTTCACCATCTGGACCCGGCCTGTTGTCCTTGTTTTGCCTTTTGCAACTTAGGTTGTCCAAAAAGACCTGTTTTATCCCCCAAATCTCCCAGAGGTGCCCAAGCCACCACTCTGACCTTTCCCAGCCCCCCTTTCCCCCCCAGATTCCAGGAGGTGCTCACACCGCCAGCCCCTGGCAGGTCCTCCCTCTGCCGGGGACAGGTGGCCTGGAGGGCACTTCGCTGCTTCTTCCGAATCCCCCAGGGCTTGGCCCACAAGACAAACTTAGGTATTAGAAGGAGCCAGAACCTGTGCTTGGGGGCTCGCCATGGCTGCCCATGTGGGGGAACGTCCCGGAGCATGTCTGGCAGGGCGCAGGCTGTCCAGTTGGGTTAAATGCAGAGGGGCAGTGGCCGGCGAGGCAGGCTTGTGTGACGGTCCCTGGGAGTGAATGGGCTGTCCCGACAAGGAGTCCTGTAGCTGGGACCCAGCACAGACACAGTGCTTACCACTCACAGCCTCCCCTGCATGGCCGGCTGCTTCTAGGGCTTGGCAGCCTGAGTCAGGACCACCCTGGCTCCTCTCGCAGGTGGGGCCGGGCAGGGCCTGGCTGCCTCAGCCCCGGCTGGCAGTGGAGCTGATGGGACCTGGTGCCCACACTCCAGGCTGTGCGTCCTAGGCCTCGTGCCCGCGTCAGTGCGTGGCCACAGAAGTGCTGCAGGTGTTGGGTTGAGGTTACAGGTAAACCGGCAGGCAGGCAGGCAGGCAGGCAGAGTACGGACATGCAAGTAACAGGATTGACTTCGTACAAATACTGTAAACGTGTGTCTGTAACAAGCGAGGAGGAAATGTGCTGCCACGGTCTGTGCCTTCCTGTCGGCTGCTGGTTGGGAATTTCCCTTCCGCTCAGCTGGGGCCTCTGCTCCTCCAGCTTCTGAGCCTGACTGACCTCCGAGTGCTCGGCTCCGCTGCTCCTTAAGCCTCAGGGTCCCCTTGGTCCGAGGAGGCCACGGCCTCCCTTGGGCAGCAGCCCGTTTCCAGCCGGCAGACTGTGGCCTCAAAGACAGAATGGCCGGCGCAGGGTCACCTTCCGGGCAGGAGAGCGGCCGGTGTCCCCTGGGGAGCGTTCCCCTCGGGGCGCGGCGCCCAGCAGCGTGCTCTCTGTTCCAGCGCACCCAGACGCTGCTGAAGGAGTACAAGGAGAGGGACAAGGCCAACGTGTTCGTCGACAAGCGCTTCGGAGAGTACAACAGCAGCCTCAGCGCCGAGGAGAAGATGCTGCGGAGGTTCGCCCTGGAGCAGCAGGTGCAGAGGCGGCGGGGGGTCTCCTGTGGGCACTTGCCCGCTGGTGCAGAGGGTGGGTCCGGAGTCCTGGGCCCAGGCTGGCGAGGCCGGAGGGGAAGGGCCGGCCGCAGGCATCGCTGGTGGATCCGTACGGCAGCCAGCGGCTCGGCGGGGCTGTGTCCTCGAGTTCTCACTGAAGTGCTGGCTCCAGCTCGGGTGGGTGGACAGCGAGTGGCCGGTGGGTCCTTCCCAGTGGGCAAGGCCTGTGGGACGTGCCTGGCCCGTTGACTGGCTGGCCCGGGGTCTGCATGAATTGAACGCTGCTCCGATGACACAGAAGGTCTGAAAGCCGCCAAGGCTGCCCTGTCGGTCACACAGCAGCAGGGAGTGACGGGGTCCCCTGTTCAGTGGATTGGGGTTTAGGAAACTTCCCTCTCCTGTCAGCGGCACCATGAAAAGAGGAACATCTACAACCTAAACGAAGACGAGGAGCTGACGCACTACGGCCAGTCTCTGGCAGACATCGAGAAGCTGAACGACATTGTCGACAGTGACAGCGACCCTGAGGAGCGAGGAACGCTGTCCGGTGAGGGCACGGCAGGGACAGTGTTTGCTCACCCCGGTCTGGCCGCCTGGCGAGGGCTGGGTTCCAGTGTCACTGATCATAAAGCTCTGAGAAACCCCACACATGACAGAGTCTCATGTGTGAGCTCCAGAACCTTCAGAAGGTGCCTGGCAGTGCAGGTGGCAGTAGACAAGACAGCTTCTGTGGCTAAGAAAGCACCAGCACCCTGACTTTGTTATTCATCCTTCCCTGAGGGTATTTTCCACTGATTTTCAGAGAGTGGAAGGGAGGGGGGCAGAGAGAAACATCGATGTGAGAGAAACACGGATTGGCTGCCTCCCCCATGAACCCCAACCGGGGCCAGGGATCGAGCCTGCAACCCAGGTACGTGCCCTTGACTGGAATCGAACCCGGTACCCTTCAGTCCCAGGGCTGACGCTCTGTCCAGAGCACACAGCCAGGGCAGCACCTTCCTTATTGAACATCAGCCTCCTTCACTGTAGCCGGGCGCTCAGAGGGCCAGCGTGAGCCTGGGTGTGACTCTGAGGCGCCGGGCGGGCTCACCCTCTGCTTCTGTTCTGTGCAGCCGAGCTGACGGCGGCCCATTTCGGGGGCGGAGAGCAGCCCCACAAGAGGACCGCCCAGCAGCTGGGCCCGGAGGCGGAGAGGCCCAGGTCCCGCAAAGAGCTGATTGAGGAGCTCATCGCCAAGTCCAAGCAGGAGAAGGTGCCCAGCCTGGGAGGCTCCGTCGCCGCTGGGCTCGGGGTTTCCCGCGGGCTCGCTGGCCCCTGCTCGTCGGCCGCAGGGGGCTCACTGCGGGGGTTGGGGGGGCTTTGTTGGCGGGCTGGTTCCAGTGCTGGGGCCTGTGGCAGGCTTTGCAGACACCACGGCGTTTGCCAACAGCAAGAAGCTCACGGCGGCAAACCGTGCTTATCGCCGTGGCCCTTGTCCTGCCAGCCCGTGGGTGCGGCTCAGTGCCGAGGGCCGGCAGGAGCCGCAGTAATGCTGTGCCTCTGCTCTTCCAGCGGGAGAGGCAGGCCCAGCGGGAAGACGCCCTGGAGCTCACAGAGAAGCTGGATCGCGACTGGAGGGAGATCCAGGGCCTCCTGGCCCGCCGGCCGCCCCAGGCCCAGAGCAGAGCCCAGGAGAAACCCCAGGTGGGCAGGCGGGGCACGCCCAGCAACGGCTTGAACATGCTCTTTCTCCGCAGAAAAGGGGGTGCAGGTGTCAGGGTCCCGTTTCTGCTGAAGTTTGTCAGGTGACCTGATATTCCACGTCAGGGTGGAAATTGACTAAAAATTACTCCAATACTTATTTAAAGTGAATTAATTTAATCTAAGTTGTTGATTAAGCCGCATGTCTGCCCTAGCTGGTTTGTCCTCAGTGGTTAGAGCATCCGCCTGCGGACTAAAAGGTCCCAGGTTCGATTCCTGGTCAAGGGCACATGCCCAGGTTGCAGACTCAATCCCCAGTAGGGGGC